ACGCGAACATGTCGCGGGCAGGAGCCAGGACGCGACCATGCCGCGTCCAAGAGCCAGGACGCGAACATGTCGGGGGCAGGAGCCAGGACGCGGACATGCCGCGTCCAAGACCCAGGACGCGAACATGTCGCGTCCGAGAGCCAGGACGCGGACATGCCGCGTCCAAGACCCAGGACGCGAACATGTCGCGTCCAAGAGCCAGGACGCGAACATGTCGCGTCCAAGAGCCAGGGCGCGGACATGTCGCGCCCAAGAGCCAGGACGCGGACATGCCGCGTCCAAGACCCAGGACGCGGACATGTCGCGTCCAAGAGCCAGGACGCGGACATGTCGTGTCCAAAAGCCAGGGCGCGGACATGTCGTGTCCAAAAGCCAGGCCGCCAACATGTGCGTGGCGGGCAGGAGCCAGGACCCAACATTTGGCGTCACAGAGCCAGGACGCCACCACTTGGGGTCCTGAAACCGGCACGCCAACATGCGGCGTCCAACAGCCGGACGCCAGCATTTGGCGTCCCGCCCCCACGGCTGGAACGACAGCGCTTGGCGTTCCGGAGCCAGGACGCCAAAATGTGGCGTCCTGGAGCCGGGACCGACCGCTCGCCGGAGCGGAGGGCTTCATGCCTGACTGTGAGATACATTGCAAGCTCCACAAACTCCAACGACGAATTCCAGCCGGAGGTCGTCGGAAGCAAGGCCGCTTCTGAGGAGGGATACTCAGACGGCGCACCGCGTAGCGCTGTCATTTTTGCAGGGGCCACGAAAACCTGCCGTAAAACGGGCCCACAACAAACACAAGCTGAGATACGAAATCCTGCTCGACCCTGATTTTCCCCCCGAAATCCCAGAAAAAGAGGTGCCGAGCCCGGAATTTCCCCCCGAATCCCGGGAAAAGTCCGTTCCTGACCTTGAATTTTCCCCCCCGCACTTTTCCGAGGGGCGGCGAGCTGGAGTGTGGTTCTCCGAGAACCGCACTCGCAGTACCATCCCCACCCACTCCAACCTGAGACACGAAATACTGCTCGGCCCTGATTTTCCCCCCGCAATCCCGGAAAAAGCAGTGCCGGGCCCGGAATTTCCCCCCAAATCCAGGGAAAAGCCTGTGCCTGACCTCGAATTTGCCCCACCGCGCTTTCCCTAGGAGCTGCTCGTTGGAGTGCGGTTCTCCGAGAGCCCTGCTTCACCTGCTAGTTGGAGTGCGGTTCGATTCCACCTGCTTCCCGCCGGCGGGAAGCAGGTGAAGCTGGGGCGCCGATCTCGGCTCCGCCTGCTTCCCGCCGGCGGGAAGCAGGTGATTGAAGCTGGCTCGCCGATCTCGGCTCCGCCTGCTTCCCGCCGGCGGGAAGCAGGTGAAGCTGGCTCGCCGATCTCGGCTCCACCTGCTCCCCGCCGGCGGGAAGCAGGTGAAGCTGGGGCGCCGATCTCGGCTCCACCTGCTTCCCGCCGGCGGGAAGCAGGTGAAGCTGGGGCGCCGATCTCGGCTCCACCTGCTTCCCGCCGGCGGGAAGCAGGTGAAGCTGGGGCGCCGATCTCGGCTCCACCTGCTTCCCGCCGGCGGGAAGCAGGTGAAGCTGGGGCGCCGATCTCGGCTCCACCTGCTTCCCGCCGGCGGGAAGCAGGTGAAGCTGGGGCGCCGATCTCGGCTCCACCTGCTTCCCGCCGGCGGGAAGCAGGTGAAGCTGGGGCGCCGATCTCGGCTCCACCTGCTTCCCGCCGGCGGGAAGCAGGTGAAGCTGGGGCGCCGATCTCGGCTCCACCTGCTCCCCGCCGGCGGGAAGCAGGTGAAGCTGGGGCGCCGATCTCGGCTCCACCTGCTCCCCGCCGGCGGGAAGCAGGTGAAGCTGGGGCGCCGATCTCGGCTCCACCTGCTCCCCGCCGGCGGGAAGCAGGTGAAGCTGGGGCGCCGATCTCGGCTCCACCTGCTCCCCGCCGGCGGGAAGCAGGTGAAGCTGGGGCGCCGATCTCGGCTCCACCTGCTTCCCGCCGGCGGGAAGCAGGTGAAGCTGGGGCGCCGATCTCGGCTCCACCTGCTTCCCGCCGGCGGGAAGCAGGTGAAGCTGGGGCGCCGATCTCGGCTCCACCTGCTTCCCGCCGGCGGGAAGCAGGTGAAGCTGGGGCGCCGATCTCGGCTCCACCTGCTTCCCGCCGGCGGGAAGCAGGTGAAGCTGGGGCGCCGATCTCGGCTCCACCTGCTCCCCGCCGGCGGGAAGCAGGTGAAGCTGGGGCGCCGATCTCGGCTCCACCTGCTCCCCGCCGGCGGGAAGCAGGTGAAGCTGGGGCGCCGATCTCGGCTCCACCTGCTCCCCGCCGGCGGGAAGCAGGTGAAGCTGGGGCGCCGATCTCGGCTCCACCTGCTTCCCGCCGGCGGGAAGCAGGTGAAGCTGGGGCGCCGATCTCGGCTCCACCTGCTTCCCGCCGGCGGGAAGCAGGTGAAGCTGGGGCGCCGATCTCGGCTCCACCTGCTTCCCGCCGGCGGGAAGCAGGTGAAGCTGGGGCGCCGATCTCGGCTCCACCTGCTTCCCGCCGGCGGGAAGCAGGTGAAGCTGGGGCGCCGATCTCGGCTCCACCTGCTTCCCGCCGGCGGGAAGCAGGTGCAGCTGGGGCGCCGATCTCGGCTCCACCTGCTTCCCGCCGGCGGGAAGCAGGTGAACTGAAGCTGGGGCGCCGATCTCGGCTCCGCCTGCTCCCCGCCGGCGGGGAGCAGGTGAAGCTGGGGCGACGATCTCGTCTCCACTCTCCAGCTGCTCCCCGCCGATCCAGAAAGACAAAAAAATTTGTAGTCGCGAATCCGCGATTACCAAAATTTGTAGTCGCGGATCCGCGATTACAAAAATCTGGGAAAATTTGTAATCGCGGAGCCGCGATTACAAAAATCTGGGAAAATTTGTAATCGCGGATCCGCGATTACAAAAATCCTGAAAAATTTGTAATCTCGGACTCGCGATTACAAAAATCCTGGAAATTTTGTAATCGCGGATCCGCGATTCGCAGTTGTGACTCGTGCGGGCCTGTATGGGTAGATAGGTGAGTAGTTCCCGGGTGCGCGAGCAGGACCGACCACCCACCCGGGCCCGGACGGGTGCTCCGGCGGCTGGCCTTCGCCGGGATCCCCGGGTGCACAAACAGGACCACCCGTCCGGGCCCGGGGCGACGATCTCGTCTCCACGTGCCCCCCGCCGGCGGGGAGCGGGTGGAGCCGGGGCGGCGATCTCGTCTCCACCTACTCCCGCCGGCGGGGAGCAGGTGAAGCTGGGGCCCGGCGGGGAGCAGGTGGAGCTGGGGCAAGGATGAGTTGGGGCGACGATCTCGTCTCCACCTGCTCCCCGCCCGCGGACGCGGACATGCCGCGGGCAGGAGCCAGGTAGGACGCGGACATGCCGCGGGCAGGAGCCAGGACGCGGACATGCCGCGCCCAAGAGCCAGGACGCGGACATGCCGCGTCCAAGACCCACCCAGGACGCGGACGCGCTGCGTCCAAGAGCCAGGACGCGGACGCGCTGCGTCCAAGAGCCAGGACGCGGACATGCCGCGTCCAAGAGCCAGGGCGCGAACGTGCCGCGTCCAAGAGCCAGGACGCGGACATGTCGCGTCCAAGAGCCAGGACGCGGACATGCCGCGCCCAAGAGCCAGGACGCGGACATGCCGCGTCCAAGACGGACCCAGGAAGCGAACACGTCGCGTCCAAGAGCCAGGACGCGGACATGCCGCGTCCAAGAGCCAGGACGCGACCATGCCGCGTCCAAGAGCCAGGACGCGGACATGCCGCGTCCAAGAGCCAGGACGCGGACACGCCGCGTCCAAGAGCCAGGACGCGAACATGTCGCGTCCAACAGCCAGGATGCGGACATGTCGCGTCCAAGAGCTAGGACGCGGACATGTCGCGTCCAAGAGCCAGGACGCGGACACGTCGTGGGCAGGAGCCAGGACGCGGACACGTCGTGGGCAGGAGCCAGGGCGCGGACATGTCGTGTCCAAAAGCCAGGCCGCCAACATGTGCGTAGCGGGCAGGAGCCAGGACGCCAACACTTTCTTGGCGTCCTGAAACGGGCGCGCCAGCATGCGGCGTCCTGGAGCCGGGACGCCACCATTTGGCGTACACGTAGAGCGAGGATTTGCTTCTGTACTACACGACGATCGAAGTTGGGCTACACGTAGAGCGAGGATTTGTTTCCGTACTACACCTACACGACGAAACGTTGTCCCCGGCAACAGGAGATCGGATTTCGTCATGCTGGATTTCGACCAAGTGCTGGGTGAAGTAACAAAGGGTTAGTTCTTGTGCGACGATGACCATGATCCGGATTTGTGTTGCAGACCTGTACTGGGACCGGACTGTATTCGAAGATATCGTATTCGATCTCCAAGATACCGGGTTGCAGTAGCAACCCGGCCGAGAAGAGCGTTTGCTCCGACGTCGTGAAGGTGCGATGAAGAAGGATTCCAGTGATGCAAGGAAGAAGCGAGCTAGATACTCATCGTCGTCGACGAATTACTTTTTACTTGTTTACAAGAATGGCAGGCGACTGTGCCCGGGCTGTGCCTGTACGCATTACGCAATAATGTTTTGTCACGCAATAGGAAGAATACAGAAAGCATTGTCAGCTCGGCTGATGTGCCCGATGGCTTATCGATGTTTTTTTTTTTCCTCCCGTTGCGGAAAATTGGTTTTGCTTTTGCAAGGTACTAAGAAGATGAATGCAAAGGCACCTACTTGCTTGGATGTTCCTGCGCACAGCTCGTCATACTGAGTTCTGGATCCCTGTTTGTGGAAAGTAAAAACGTTTACTTTCGAAGAAAAGAAGTTGAAGATCATGTTTTATTTTTCACGTTTTTTTTTTTTCGTGCTGAAAAGATGCCACGTTTTTTTTTTCGGTCACACGATCATCGAGATTCGCATGGCCAAATGAAAGGCACTAAGTGAAGAAACACACGGAAATTTGAAGCTTCACGTCTGGCATCTTCGAGACAGGAACAGGTTCTTATTGAACTACAACTAGAGCACGAAGAATATGCTCAACGCCTTTGAAGATCATGTCCTTTTTTTTCGTGCTGGGTTCCTATTTTTGATTCAGTCGAGGTCTGCAGTTCTATTGTGTGTCGTGCGCATGTTTTTTTTCCAAGTTTGAACCTCGTTGAATAAAGAAAAATAGCACCGCATTTGCATATTCATAAATGTTGCACAGAGTAAACTTTTCCTCACTGTCTGTGAAACACAAAAAAGAAACATGAAGCCGGATACCAGTGACCAATGCCTGCTATCCTGTTCAAAAGTATCGTACTCGTAGTAATTGCAAATATGCATGACAAATCTTCTTCCTAAGGTAAAACAGCATCACAAATTCCATTTCTCATGTTGAGGCAATTTGTATTGCGATGTATACTAGTACGATTACGATACTTTTGCAATGAATTCCTGTTTCCCGGGTTCGTTTGCTCCCGCACCGCGTCGATCGACCAGGAAAAGACGGACGGTACCAATGGAATTGCCATTTGTAAACTTTGTGTTGCTTCTTGTTCTTTGTTGAAATAGAAATCAATGCACAACATTGACCTAGTAGAGATGCAAAATAAAAGAACCTTTGCTCCTTGATTTTTATCGGTTGGGTTGTGTACATTTAAGAAACTTCTGTAGTTATATCAATGATTTCTTCACTGCACTGTCAGCTTTTCACCGAGCCCCGGGTCGCAGCATATTCGCAATGCATAGCGGCACGCGCAACGGTGCCGTTCTCGACAGTGTTGGCAATATGGTTTGGAGGTGCAGTATCGGGACAAAACATGGAAAGGCGTGAGAAGGTGCGGTGGTCTGGAAGTTCTTCAATGTAGACTTTATTTTGCGAAGGAAGCTCTTCATTTTCTTGAAGAGTTTTTGTTTTAGTAATTTTGAATTTTTGGGATATGACGTAAAGCCTTCCCTCGCACCTGAACTGTTTTTTTGCTTTATCTCTGGAGCTAGTTTTTTGAATTATTATCCTTAAGTTTCAGCTTTTGTCCGTTCTGTATGTTCTATAGTCTTTCATCTTCATTCAAGTTTTTTTTTTAACGTTTCGCTTTCGCTATAAAGTATTTAGGTTTTCCAAGATGCAGCTGGTTTACAGGATTACAGTCCCTGCTCACTGACATCAGTAGCTCGAGTCTCATCTACTCTCCTCCCCCTGCTGGTCTTTTCTTCATTCTGATGTATCTGCCCAGCGGTTCTTGACAGTATAAGTTCTTTGTTGAACCACTGCCAGAACAAACAAGCGCTCCCCTTCGGCTTTCTACCATAATCCCGAGGGGATTGAGACCGCGCGCGCGTGAGGCCAGTATTACTCGATCAAAGTCCTAGGTATCTCTTCATAATGTTGTAGCCTTGCTCCTGGTAAATTGTCTCTTGTAGTGACTGCACTTTTGCTTTTTAGACGTTTGCTAGAAAGACGTATATTTTTTTAAGAACGTAGCTACCGTGATTTTCTGTTACATGTATTAATCGATTCAGGCCGTTCCCATTCCTTGCGAAAGTATCCGTGAGCGTGATTCTAATATCTTTAACCCCGGGGATCCACCGTGCTTTATTGTGGCTTTTATGAGTTGCCCTGGCATTATAAAGCATAATTTTAACAGTCTGCGAAAGGCATTAAAGTCAAGTATCCATATATTCGTTTATTTAAAACACACAAAAGTATATGAAAAAGTCGCTGGCGCGCTCAGCTCGGTATCAGCAACATTGCAAAAATGTAGTTGGTCCGAGTTGATCCTGATCGTCCGTTTTCGTAAATACTTTTTTTCGCCTTATCCTTCCACAAAAGATCTACAGCGTAAATAGATTTCAAGACTTCGAAAACAGACCAGGAAAAGGCTGGCCCCTAAGTGTCAGCCAAAAATATGTTCTTCTTCTGCCGATTCCTGATATGTCATCATATATATATACAGTGCTCTACCTAAACTTCCCTTTGGGATTTTACTTTCTATATATCATCTTCCCAGCTACCCTTGTAGCAAGCTCCTTCATCACGACCAGGAATTGCCTGTCCTTTGCACTTATTTTTTTTTTGCTTTCTTATTAGAACTACCGGTGGCGTTCTGGTACACTCGTCGCGTCACCAGCAAGCATCAAGGAAGATAACTCAACGTTTCTGGACATCATCACAGTATTAAACCATCCATACCGCCATATACGCACTTATTTTTCACAAAAGGAATTCGAAGCGTTGCAGAAATGCACTCGAAGTGCCAGTTCTAAAAAACTAAGTTCGTGCAATGGGTGTCAGTTCTTTCTCCGTCTCCTGAATTGATGATAACGTGAGGACGCTTGATGTTGCGAAGACGCCTTTCGGCAACTTCAAAATATCGGTCCTAAAAACTCTTCTGGCCCGCTAAGTGTAAGTTCCAGTATCTTTAATTGTCCGCTAAACGCTAGTACGCGCTAGATTTCTACCTCCCTCTGGGATTTCATCCATTTCACACAGCAATGTAGTCCGCGAAATTATGTACTTACTAGACCGTTTCTGATAGTCCGCGAAATTTAGCCAGACATAAGCTCCACATATGACAAAGAACAGGAGGTCTTTATTGGCTCTGCTAGAAGGCCCCTGTTAGTTTATCTCGACTGTACAATTCGCCCGTCGTTGTTCTATTTGCTTTTGAAGACGAGGAACGACCGTGGGCGGAAACACAGCAAGATAAACCAGCAAGCACATAATAAACATGCACATGCAGGAATAAAGTACAGAAAGCCATAGCCAAACTCAATGTGAAAATGGCGAGATTGCCCTTTTCTGCCACAAGGAGTGAGATCAATGGCGTTCGAACGTGTTCCAGTTGTGAGTTACTTGCTGTTGCTTCCCATGTTCGTGAGTGCATGCTGTGGAAAACAAATAGCTTCTGAAAGTAAAAGAAGCGCCAAGAAAGGACAAGTTGAAAAAAAACGCAGTTTTGGTTTGCAAAAATCACGTCATGGTCTTGATGCCTGTGAAAGTGCTTTGGTTTGTCTGACACTTGTACAACACTTGGTTTGTCTGAATCTTGTGCATCCGAAAAGATTGATGATTCCGTTGTAAAAAGACTCAGCAGGAGCTTCTCACATGTCTGTGAAATTCTCAATTCATGTTGGTCCAAGTTGCGACTTAATGTTGTAAGGCGTCGTTGATTCCATAGGTGTTGGTGGCAGCACGGATGAAACAAAAGTCTTAGTTTCTAAGTCCAACCAGGTCGAAATAAAGTAGTAGAGACTTCTGGAAGCTTGCAACTACAGGCGTATATTCGGTTTTTCTTCTCCTCGCACGACACACACCACCTCGCACACAGCTGCATAGAAAAAATGCCCGAGGCGCAGCAGCAGACCGTCGTTGCCGGCACGACGGTGCAGAAGCAGCAGGCTTCTCAGACCGCCGCCTCCACCAAGTCCAATTTTCAGAAGGTTTGCGAGTTCCACCAGGCGTTCGGGGTGAAACACACGGAAACCCCCCAGAACGACATCTTCGACGCTGATCCGAAAACCTGCAAGCTGAGGCAGGACTTGATCGCGGAAGAGCTGAAAGAGCTGTGCCAGGCCTTCAAGGAGAAAAATTTCATTGAGGTATAGCAATCTTAGTAGACTTCTCGGGATGTGATTGTTCTGAAAAACTGCATTGTTGTTGACGTAGAAATGTTGTTTTTCGTTTTGAGGTCGTCTTGCATGTAATAGTGAAAAGTTACTGTCTACTATACAATACAGTCAAATGGTGCTTCCGTTCCAGATGAAAAGCAAAAGTGCAATCTTTTCATTGCATCACAATCACTTTCCACAACCTGAACCCTCTATACACCTAACATCCAGGTCGTCGACGCTCTGAGCGACATTCTGTACGTGACCTATGGTGCGGGCAGCAGCCTGGGAGTGGACCTTGACAAGGCCTTTGGTCTGGTCCACGAGTCCAACATGTCCAAGCTGTGCAAGAACGAGGCCGAAGCCAACCAGACCGTGGAATGGTATAAATACGATAGACTTGATACTGTTGCTTTCGAACTCTAAGTATGTCTGTTCCGATAAATGTGATTCTCAAATAAAACCAACCGCGAATGACGAGATAGTGTCCTCGTGGGGATAAAGTGATTTTGTTTTTGTCCAACGGAACGTGCATCTACCGTTCATCACATGTCGTGGTAAAAATGGGTAGTACCAGAAGTCCTGCAAAAAAATACAGGTACAAGGCGAACAAGACCGGGCCGGAGGGGAAGTACCCCTACGACAGTCCGGCGTGGCGCAAGTCCGGCGACTACTACGTGGTTTACAACGAGTCCACGGGGAAGGTTCTGAAGTCCATCAACTACGCTCCCGTCAGCTTCAAGGCCATGCTTCCGCAGGCGTGAAGGTTTTTTTTTGATACGGAAGATGACGGAAACTAGCCCGAGGAAATGTCAAACGTACAAAATGTTGAACAATTCTGTGGTGTTGAAGGAGTTCTTGTAGCACACGAAGGCTGCGGCAGCTACTTCGGAGACGAACACTTCTTCTTTCATTACGAAATGAACCTTGTGATTTGGTATTGGATCATTGGTGCGCTGCGGCGGTATGGTGCACGATAAAGTAGAACTTTCTGGAATTCTGCGATTGATTTTGATGTCGAGAGAATCTATATTTTCTGATTACATAATTCGGCAACGACCACAGCTCTTGTAGATGGAAGTTGTTAACATCGGTTTTGATAAAGAATTTCCATCCACTGTACAGAGGTTTTTTTTGGAAGTTGAGCAGGTGCGGCGTGTAGAGAAATAAGTACTTAAAAGCGGCATTTAATTGCAATGTCGCCATCTCCGAAAAGCGCCCTACTCGAGTCGCCAAAAGATGTTCTAGGGACGAAGGTTTCTTTCACGAAGATGAAGTGCGTTTCGCGCGTGTTGACGTGGCGGAGAAGGGTTTGCTGAGATCCAAAATTTCCGTTCACAAAGTTGAAAGATCATCAGCTGATTCATATTGGTCCATCATTTAACATGATGATCTTTGTCTTTTTCCCGTGTTTATGTTTTCGTGCATTGCTGCAAAACGATTAACGCATTCAAATCTGAAAAAATCAACCCCATAGTCGCCTTTTCGGTTGGTGGCTTGAGTTCCAAGAGTGGCCAAGATGGAACCTCCGGTCCGCCACGTGTGATTTCTCATGCGTGTGCTGGACTAGAACCCTAAACCCAGTGCCTACCGGAGTGGCGCAGGCGGGTTGACCAGTCGCGCCAACTTCATCGGTTGGAAGATCCGCTTCGCGCGAGACAAGCGACGCCGTGCCCCGCATCTTCTGCCTTTGACCGGTTTTTTCCTGATTGGGTTTTTTTCTCCGCGGCAGGTGCCATATCCGAAGATCGAGCAGTAGTCTAAACTCCCGAGGACTGCGTGATTGTACTTCTAGCAATAGATGCATTCTGCAGCTTCGGTCGAGTATTCTACCTGCATTGTCTTTCCGAGGATTTTTGGCTAAACAAACCCAAAATCTGGTAAGTACGGGCGTCCGGGCCAGAACCGACAACCACTCTTCCTGCTGTTCTCCCCCTGTTCGACCTGCTTCCCGACGGCCGACGGGCGATCGCGCGTCGGGTTTTCGTTACTCTGGCCTGCGGTTGCTAGTTGTGCTGTCACTGTTGCGGGGCTTACGGTCGTGTGGATCGAACGCGAAGAGGTCGTGGCGGCACCCGGCTTGATGTCAGGTCGAGATGTAAGCGGTTTCCTTCATTGCACTGAACCCTGTCTCCCGGACTGTCCTAGTGCAAGTGGAACCGTGAGTTCCGTGACCCAACAGTTTCTTTTTCTACAGAATGTTGGTGCTGGTGGAGATGACCTGCGCAGTGGATGTCGACCGTCAGAAGTATATGTGGTTGCGCAGTCAAGGAAGTACATACTACACTATTCACTCGTTTTAGTTTTTTTTGGCTGTTACATGAAATAAACGTTCTGTAGTTTCTGCATATTTCCGCTCGTGCGACTGCACTTTGACGTGCATGGTGATGAAGATGTTGAGTTTGCATGTTTTTTCTTGGCGAAAAAAAAATTCAACTCAGATTCAGATTCAGCATGAGACGATGCAGCGGCCAATTTGGGTCACGACCCCGAGCTTGCCACGGTTCTTGCTGCAGCTGCGACATCAGCGCGAAGACCGGACGCCAGATTATGAAAAGACCCGGACGGTGCGGAAGAGCTTTACACCTGACAGCGAGTTGTTTCGAAAAAAATTGTTAATTCAAAGGTTAGAAAGAAGATCCTCGATACTTAAAGCAAAAGATGAAGATGATCCTAAAGACGTGCCAGCATCACATCCATATCTGAGTTTGTGCACTGCTGTTTCTGCCAACATTTCTCGATACATCAATCAGTTCTGGTACAGAAAAAACACCGTTCCTGCAGCGTAGGTGAAGTCCTTTCGTCGAAAAACGCAGATCGTGCCCATCATAAGAGTTGCGATCTTCCCGCTGACACACGCACACACACACACACACACACACACACACACACACACCAGATCAGGATCTTCAGTTTTGCTTCGTGAGGATCTCACCATGAGTTCTTTTTTCTGTTTTGATGTCCTTCAGAGATATCGTGTAAATAAGTCGTCGTATTTTATTTCCACCGCTGAAAAGATGGAAGAGGTTCGGAAGATGATCACCGTTAGGTGGTTGACACTGTTACAATTCGCACCAAGACTGCGAATGCGATTGATATGGATTTTCTCTATATTACTTTGCTTCATGGATCCCAACATACTCCGGTGACAATCTTTCTGTCTTCTTTTGCAGGTCTTCTTCGTGTAAGGAGGTTGTATTTATCCCGGTGAAGGTCGGATATGATTTTTGATGCGTGCATAGCACGTGGACGCACTAGACATTCACTCAAATACACGTCCAAATTTCTGTCTGTCGATACAAGTAACCTGAATATCTGACGTCCTATAATGAAAGTAGCACTGGTGATCAAGCGACATAGACATACAAGTAAGTACTATTAGCGACATATTAGACATTCAAGTTGAAGACCAGCGACATAAACATTCTGCTTTGAAAGTATTAAAAAGTAGCTTCGACGAATCGGGTGCCTTGATGCGGCTGCAACCAGGCGGCGGGCGTCGACTTCGTTACAAGTTGGTAAAAATTTCGGCTTGGTAAAAAGATCGAGATAGCCGAATTACGCTTGTGCCTTCAAAAATTCTTTGAGTGCAGCACCGCCTGAGTGAACATCGGCACCGGCTCGCTGTCTCGCGTGACCGGCGTCCATCTTGGCCGCACGCGACCAGGAACATCGTCTCTACTACTGTAGAAGTCCTACGAAAGAAAGACCGCAGCTGCGACACACCAAATGAAGTTTGTGCACGAAGCCTACGATGCCCTCGCGGAGGCGCGGGGGGAGGCACTTGCCGCATTTTCGGATTCGGCGAACTACAAGTACGAGATGACGTACGATGAATTGGTGGAAAAATCCAACCTCCTCGCCCTTCGCGTTCTGCAACCAGAGTTGGAGAAAATTGCAGCTTCAGCACATCAGAAGTGGAAGAGTAGCGACCCGCGCATTGAGTGCATGATCGGTTTGGATGTCTGCCGGTGCTCACCGTACTTTCTGCCGCTCGTCCTGGCCGTTTCCCGGGTCGGGGGAACCTGCGTCTTCCACGTGCGTGCGGAAAACGAGCGGGAGCTGAGCGAAAAGGTAAGCGTAAGCTCTATTGCAGTGAGGCATTACAAATACCTTCTCTGAGCTGCTAAATTAGCATTTACAAGTCCCAGTTTTCCTTTTGCCGAAATTTGTGATGCTATTATAATCCGATGCCGTTGCCGATAACTTTAACTATAACAGGAGCGAGCCGCGAATCTCCGGCGCAATACGCAGGTCACCGAGCTTGTGGATTTCTCCGTCACGGAAGAGCAGTGCAAAACGGTATGGGACAAAAAATCCGCAGGCCGGTCATCCGCGCCTTCCGCTCAAAATCCCGCAAGAACGGAGGGTTGTACGGCTTTGGAAGGCGACAGCGATTCGAGCGGGAGGAGTGCAAGTACTACAAGGATTCCTTCTAAAAATGAATCAAAATCCTGTAGTTCTGTTTGTTCAACTACATCCCTTTTTCTTTCACAAGAACTGTTAGGTGGTTGTACTGACACCGCGAGGACCGCAGCGTCAGCCCCTACAAGAACTCCGAAGATTTTCGCGTTGCTCTTCACGGGCGGCACAGTCCGAGAAAAGATCGCCGCAGTCTCGCACGGAATGTTCCTGCACGAGGTGCAGCACTACCACAAAGTCCTTTCCCCGGCGCTCGAGGCTCGGATGCGCTCATACAATTTCCCCAAAGACCAGGTTCGGGTTTGCTGCAACACTTCCCTCACGTGGGCTGCGAGCACGATTGGGCAGATCAGCATGGCGTGCGGCTTCAAAGGCGCTGTGTTTTTCCTGGAAAGCCCAGATTTTCAGGAGCAGCGACGCTTGCTGAAGAAGCATGACATCACCGTGATCGGCGTGGCGCCGACGGTTCTGCAGGCGTTGGCACCAAACCGCCCTTCCGCGGACATTCCCACCGTGAAGCTGGTGTTCACGTGGGGCGAAAAACTGCGCCGCGACGTGCGGGCGCGCATGCGGGCGGACGGGGTGCGGGTGTGCAACCTGCTGATCGCGACCGAGTACTGGCTCTGCATGGTAGCTGTTGACGACGCAGACGAATTTTCGCTTGTTGACAGCGACTTTCTTCAATACATGCGCATACAGGACCCGGATACCTTGCGCAGCAGGGCCCCTGCGAAGATTCAAAGCAGTCTTCCCGGAGGGGCGGCAGCAGCTGCGTTGGGCCAGCGACTGGCAGAAGAGCGAGCTCTTCAGACCCTCGGGACGAACCCGACGACGACGCCGAGTCAGACGACTCACACATCCACTGGGGTTCTGTGCTTGCGTGGTGAGTTCGTCACTCCCGGATACTTTGACCTGGCGGCTGGAAAGATTGTTCCGCTGGACAACATCCTAACTCTCGAAGACGGGTTGGAGTATTTTAACACAAATGACCGAGTGGAGATCAAGTGCGATAATGTTTACGAGAGCAACAGCACAGAAAAAGATAAAGTCCCGGCACTGGAGATGCCTCCACGACAAGGACAACAGGACGTCCGGATTGTTTGTTTGGGACGCGACGACCTCAAAGTGAAGGTGAACGTATCAAAAGTAAAAATGTCTGGGTCTGGAAGCTTGTGATGCTGGGTGGCGTCTTATGATGAGGCTACAAATGCTGGCTCAGCATGACAAGTCTCTGAGCTCCTGGGTGTTGCCTATTCTGCATGACAAACTGCGCTTCTGCATTGCAGAAAAACGGAGCTCTTGGGTAACGTGCATGACTGACAAGCATGACAAACATGACTTCTTCCAGACCCAGACATTTTTACATTTGATAGAACGCAGAGATGATCGATCTGGGCGAGGTTTGCGAGAAAATCCTCGTCCTCTCCGATTGCGTCCGTGAGGCCGAGGTCATTCCGTACCGCGAGCAGTACCAAGTGAACGCGCCGTTGCAGTACCATTTTTTCGTTGTCTGTGGGAACAGTGCTTCTACACGTGGACGGCGGGGTGGACAAACGGCACGCAAGGGTGATGTCGTAAATCAGCTTCTGGATAACCGGGCATCCAGTTCATCTTCCTCCAGCCGGGAAAACCACGGTTCGCAAATGTTGATCGCAGAACGAACATTGAGTGCTGCATCCACGAGTAGTTCTTCATCTTCTAGCAGTTGTATTGTCAACCCCCGGACGTCGACGAGAGGACAGCAACTCCGACGCGGACCAACGCTCCTTTCCCCGGAGTTAGCACTGGAGATCCAAAAACTCATCCCCCGTGCGGAGCACATCCGGTTGCACTTTCGCTGCTCGCCGTTGCCACGGCGGGCGGGCACGGACAAAGTTGACCGGGAGGAGCTGCGACGCCAGTTTCACCAGGCAGATTGCAGTTGGCCGTTGTCCGAGCTCACAACGGTTTTGTCACCGCAGAAGCTGGCCGCAGTTCCGCTGGAGATCCGTGCCCTGGAGCGCGGCACGCAGGACCGATTCGAGGAGCAAGCCATGCCGGTGTTCTACAACATAGCGATGGTGCTGCTCGTTGTTTATTTGATTAACCCAGAAAACTGCCTGAGAAATATCTTCTTTTTCTACCCATTCCTGTACCAGGGACTGTATTTCCTTCTCTTCGACAACGATTGCACGGCGGGCGTAGTGCGGGAAAAACACACGAAGACGCCACTTCATCTCCAGTTCCAGCCCTACAGTGATTACCCTGCGTACTGGAAGGAGCTGGTTTTTCGGTTCAGCTATTTTCTGATGGACAATCACTCCAACATGAGCAACCACATTCCATTCAACGTGGTCACGTACAGTCTGCTTTGCTTTCTTTTGTGGAACAGGTTGCCAGTGGGAACCAGCATCTGCAACGTGTTCGACGCTGCGGTCAGCTGTGCGGCACACTTGATGTCCATGCTCATGTTCCCCACGACGGCGACCGATTTTATTCTTCATGCAAATCCGGTCAATGGTTCCTCTTCCTCCTGCTACGGCGATTTGATCGCGTCGCTTGCGGGCCTCGCTACAGGATTGTTTCCTTTCATCCTGTTTTGCTACGGTTTCGTCCGGCTGGTGCGGTACGAGCCGTGGCGCATTTTTGCGTGGCCCCCGGTTTTCTGGTGCACCATGATCGGAGAAAGCATCAGCCAGGAGGTCGGCTGGTGGCTCGAATACAAGCGCACTAACTTCGAATTCTGGTGCGGACTCTTCCGAGAATGGTATGCAAGAATAGAGATTTTATTTTTAGGAACAGCAACTGGAACTGCAAATCGAATTTCAGATCAAGGGTGGAGTGTGGTCTTCGATTTCGATCAAGATAAAAGCATGATTTTCTTGTCAGACTAGAAACTGTGCTTCAATATTCTATATTTCGCCCTCCACCTCCATCTCCTCTCAGCATTTGGATTTTTAGCAGCTCCTCGTCGTAAATTTTCTTTTTTATCAAATCTTATCGCCAGGTTTTTTCTGCATCAGGAACCCTCCTTGGCAGAGACGCTGCAAGAGGTCGACCTGATGCGAAAAGTAAACCAGCCTCTGCTCTCCCTCGACAAATCGGTGATCAAGCAGCGCAGGGAGCGGGCGGGGTTGAGATTTTTGCGAAGGATAAAGGTTAAAAAGGGAATCGGACAGGAAAAACGCAGCGGCAGCTGCCGAGCCCGAACCAGCAACAAAATATCGCAGGAGCTCCGCGTTTCTCCCTTCCAGCGTCCCCGCCACCTTACGAAACTAGAAGCCAGACTTTTTCCGCCTCCTGCGAAGGAAGCCGACCAGCGAGCCCTTCGAAGACAGCGCCTGGGACCTCCTTTGCGCGGCGGTGGCCGCCGTGGGTGTATAATTGCGCACAACGGAATGGTGTCGCACCCGTCTTCGTCAACGAGATCATCTGGTGCCAGAACCACGAATGCAGAAGGTAGAGAAGATGATGGAGAAACGACTCCGTCTTCCGAATTTGAAACCGAGGACGGGTTTTCTCTCGGGGGACGGGAGCCCGAAATGTGCTATTCCTGCAAGAGGCCCTCCTACTTTTTCGAATCACCGTCAGAAGCCACCTGCGCCGTTGAATTCCGGGAATACGACAAAAAGACGATCCAGGCGAGCCGACCCCCGCAGCTGTGCGCGGTCTGCTGGGCGGACCTCGTCGCTGACACGGAGCTCGAGGCCGGGCGTGCCCTATTGGAGTGCCCGACCGACGCAACCACCAAGTGCCTCCTCGGGGAGGCCAGCGTTGCGGCACAGCGGATAAAGGAAAATAGTGAGAGAGGATGTGTGCAGCAGGATGGAACAACAACTGCGAGGGGGCCCAAGGGGAGTGCGCATAAGGTGTCCACCATGGCCGACAGAGAGAAAAGCATGCAGGCTGCACGAAACCTGCAGTGGATTCCAGCGGTAAGCAGAACGGCGTCCTCATCATCTGGATCGGCAACGTCGGGTAAAAGTAGATCCTACGCACCTCCAGTGGCGGAAGTCGTTGTAGCCGAAAATGCTGTAGCAGGTCTTGCACGAGGAACGACACAGGGTAAAAGTTGTAAGGCACAGGATGCAAGCGAGGTGGCGAACAGTGGTTTGTCACCACCGGCGCGGCGAACCAAAACTGGCGGCAGCCGAAGCACAGGCATTAAGGGCGAGCAGCCAACCCCCGCTGGTGCAGAGAAACAACGACGGAAAATCACAGATGAAACAACGTCAGACGAAGGGCAGATCCACCTCGCGCCGTTTAGAATTGCTAGTTTTAGCATCGATTTTACCGAGCTTTTCAGAGTTGTTTTTGCCTTCCTGGTGTGGATCGGAAACACATTCTGCTGGATAGGTTTGAAGTTAGCGAGAGCGACTGGGTTCGGACGCTGGTTTGAAGGTGGCGAGAGCGACTCGATAGGTTTGAAGATGGTGAAGTCCGTGCAAGCGCTCTGGAATATACTCTCTATGGTATTCGAGGAATTGATCCCCCTTCCGGGCAAGGGCGAGGGCGGACTCGCCGCAGCGACCCCCGCACTGATCTGCGAACTGCCTCTCTGGCTCGTCGTCCGCATCCCGTGTTTTTCCTTCATGGTCTGCCTTTGGGTGTTGGACGCCGGTGTGACCGCTGGGTTGTTCCGAGAATTTGCACTTCCCGACTTCGTGCGGAAACAGGCTGTAGCCGTCTGTCAGAGCGTCAACGCTGCGCTGAAGTTTCTATATTCAAGCGCACCCGCGCCTGGTTCTTCCATGTCCGCCTCAGGTTCACGACGACAACTGCGCCTCGAAAGGGAAACTACAACTACAATAAGCGAAGAGCACCCGGCGCCCAACAAGGAACAAAACAAGCATGCGCACCGCAGACAGGGATACACCGAGGCGGATTGGGCAAAGTGGCAGGCTATGACGTGGGAGGAACAGTCTGCCTACTGGAAGCAACGGGAGGAGGAGAAAAAGCTGCGTAATGAACGGTGGGAAAAAGAGGAAAACCTGCGAAATAAGCTGTGGACTCTGGAGAAGGAAGTCAGAAACCTCATCTGGGACCTCGAAGACGGCTACCGGATCATCTGGAGGGACCAGTCCCCGAACTCCTTTCTCGAGATGCCAGACGTCGTCAAAATGTTCGAGAAACTAAAGCACCAGCAGGCCCTCGCGCTCGCTGGTCAGCAGCATCTACTTCAGAACGGGACGCTGACGGGACAAGAAGGCAAAAATGGAATAAATGCGGGCGTACTACAAAAAAACAAAAATCTTACGCCGCTCTCTGGGCCGCTGAGTGGAGAGCTGGCCGCGCTACTGCAGGAGAAGGTGGGTCGCGGCCTGCAAAACCTGCAATTTCGCGAAACGATCTTAGACGGAGTGCTAGACAGCCTGTTGCGGCAAGAATTGGCCCAGGCCATCACGGATAAATTGCACCGGAAGGTCACAGTACAGAACCTTTTGCCGATCGAGACCGTGGGAGGCCTTCTGCAGATGGTGCAGTCGGCGGAAGTAATCAGCGCCTCCAGCAATGAGATGGACCAGTTCGTCGCGATTGAAGACACGAAAGACGGCGCCGACACGACAACTCGCAGCGCTGACGGTCGCGGCGCAATGTGGTTTGTGGGGGCCCACCACCAGCCCATGGGCAGTTGGACGGTTGCGACCACTAGCAGTTACGATTTGGCGATACTGAATGCCGCGTTGCACGATGTGCTCCAGAAACACCCCGCGCTGCGCACGATCCTTGCCGACGGTGATATGTTCTTGCGACAGATCGAACAACCCGCGACCCAGTGGCGACTGTTGGCCCCCATTCTGCAGCGGTCTGCGCAGCAGATGAAACTCGGGAAACTAGGGGAGGACCCATCACAGCAGCCAAGCGGGAACAGTAGTACGTTGTAGCTGCTACATGTTGTCTGCATTCTAAATTTCCCTGTTTTTGCCCTATTTCGTCCCGTCGGTAAACTCATTTCATGGCCGCGGATGCGAACGAATGCTTTAGACCTCCCACAGTGAAATATGATTGTGCTTGTCGATCACGCTAGGCATATGTGGTGCAGCCGGAGAACAAGCTATGTTTGTTGTATTTGCAGATATTGGACGTCGAACACCCTAAAGCTTGATAAAGGTGAACAAAAAAAAGAAGCGCATGTCCTTGTAATACAAACTTTTCAGGCACCTCCGTAGCTTGTCCCGCAGATCATGGAAACAATTGGTTTGTCCAGGCTTTCGCGTTTTGCGTCGACGCTGTGGTTGCGATCGTGAACGCCTCATGGCAGGTGACGTGGCCAAAAATGGTGGTGCGGGATTGCGCGGACCTTCGAACGGCTAGCTCGAAGCGCTGCGTCGAGCTGGCAGACGACGACATTGTATCCTGTGCAAAAGTAGAGGTACCATACTCGTAGTAAACGCAATTATGCATTACAAATTTTTTTCTTGAGGGAAATCCGCATTACAAATTTTATTTCTCACACTGAGAGACCGTGAGGGCCAAGATCAAGATGACACCGTGCGGACGACCACAGGGGGCCCGTCTAACAACAACATGCTGAGGAAATTTGTCATGCATTTATATTACGAGTACGATATTTTTGCTTTTGCACTTCATACATTGCGGCGTTTTACGAAGCAAATGGATACGTCTCTGACAGCGACGAGGAAGAGGAATTTTTCCCGGACATAGGACACGATGAACAGTTTCGTGACGCAGACCACCACCCCGGCACTGGTTCCGTGGATCATGGCCCTCCGCTGGCCAATACCGCACGGAAAAAAACACTGCTCGCGGACGCCCTGACCGTCCATGATTTCCACGACGAAGATCTAGTGGACTGCGCGCTGGCGGACAAGAAATCGGGACGGCACGAGGCGGCCAAGCGCTTGGGCTGCTTGGGAAACAAGAAGGGCACAAAGATTTACTTCAACACCTGCGAGGAAGACGTGGCTGGGAAAACGCCTCTCGTGAGTGCGAACGACGAGGTGCGACGGTGGTCGGACATCCAGATGCTGCACCTCGATCGCCCCGAGCTCGGGCGCATGATGGAGGTGAAATTGGCGAAGTTTAGTTACGACACGCTCGCTAACTCCGTGTGGTCGATTGTGGATGGAGGAGGAGGTGACGATCCGTACAATTCCAGACAGCACTCGCAAGGAGGTGGCTCTTCCGTGGTGCAAAAGGGAACGACTTTTTCCATTCTGCGAGTGGCCGCGTCGACGAAGGTCGACCGGGCCCTGGGAGAGCAACTAAAGCTAATATCGGATGAAATAATTGGCAGTGATGTTCTTCCCGGAGCAGGAGGAGCCGGAGCCAACACCAAGGAACTACTAGTAAACCACGGGAAAGAACATGGAGAACAAACCAAGTTAATCCTCGTGAACCGCAGCGTAAAATCGCTGTGGGTCGGCGAGGTGGTGCCCTTCAACCACCCGGAGTTTGTCTCGCCGCCGCATCGCTGTGCCGCTTTCTGGTCGGTAAAGTGTATCGTGGTTCCAATCCGGTGCGCCCTCACGTACGAGACACCGACGCTCCCAACGTCACCGATAGGGTTAACTTCGAATATCAAAACAAGTCCACGAGGAGCAGGACAAAAGCCGTCTGGTGCTTCAGCATCGGCGCGGAAAAACGGTGCAGATGGTGTTGCGATTGGACCTGCGAGTAGTTCTTCTACACCGAAGAAAACTACACTTCGTTCACCTGAACGGAAGAGCGAAGGTCCACCCGCGGGCTCCGCTGATTCGGATGATGATTTTGCCGCGAGTAAAGAAGGGAGTCGCGGCGGTGATAATCAAGGCAGTGTTAGCGCATCTTCCGGCTCTTCGGCTGCTGAAGATGGAGCAGTCGGTGGTCGAAGAGGTACTAGTCTGGAATGTTCTTTACCTTCGTCCTCCTCAGACGACGACCATGGGATCAACTTTTGGCCAACCACGGACGAGGAAGATGACAAAAACTTTGTACGGCAGAAGCGACAAAAGGGTAGTTGCGCTGCAGGTCGAGGACCAAAAAATTCTTGGTCTTCCTCTGATACAGATACCGATTACGGATTCTTCCCGCCAACCACGGATGAGGAGGAGAAAAGCGAGATCGAAATAAACACGAGGAAAGGTGGGAAACCAGCGGAAAATAAATCTCCAACTGCATTTTGCGCCTCTTCGTGCTCTTCCGCAAGAGGAAAGCCTGCGGGAAGCGAACAGAGCGAGGAGCCGGCCCCGGGCGCAGCGGCAGCCGTGACAGCAGCCGAAGGGTCATCGGGAATTGCATTGAAGGACTCGTCTGAAGCTGGCTCGTCGGCATCCACCGCTGAAGACGAGAAAAGGCCCGTCGATTATGATGATGTTGAGGCGTCGCCGCCCTGTGCTGCCGAAGATGTTGACCAGGTCGCGGACTGCTGCTCTGATGGTGGCTCGTCTTTCCCCCCCAGCAAGTCCTCTTCGGAGTGCTCTGAGCAGGAAGATGATGCCAAGTCGGACACTTCATCTTCGAGCCCCTCCGATAGGGACGAAGCGGAAGTTCTTGCAGAGGTACGGGGGGCCCAACAAGATGATAATCTGCTGCCTTCCATTCCAGAGGAGAACACTAGCTCAGGTGACGCCATCAATGACAGGCGGGAAGCTGAACAGGAAATCGTGGAAGAAGATGCCGGTCAGGTTCTGCCCGACGAAGCAGCACCAACGACCTTGTGCATTCCTGCTGCTCCGATGGTAAACACCAGTGGAGAAAACAGAGATCGCTCACCGCCTGCCAGCAACTCCGGAGGTTGTGATAATTTTCGGCGACGAAAGGACAGTTTTGCTTCATCCAGCAGTCCCCCATCATCGTCCTCAAGCTCTTCTAGTTCTTCTTCGGACAGCGACAGCGACTCGGATGCCAACATGAGCAAGATCACGAAGCGCAGCACGAAGAGCACTCCAAGAGGGCAATCGGAATCTCCGACCGGGATGGCCAGTGAGTCTGGTAAGAACTTCTTGAATCTTGCGTATACAACCTGTAGCAGCTCGTTGTAGTCGGCACTTTTCCTCTACTTTTTCTTTTTCTTTTCTGTCTCTTTTGCGACTAAATACTTGTTGTCCTCAAATCTGCATTGCTATTATGAGGAGCGGGGATGATTTTAATGTTGTGTTTTCAGCATCTTCAAACCTGCATCGATATTATGTGAAGCGGGGATGATGTTCATGTTGCGGTTAAAAACTTGCAATTTCACCTGAAGTCCAAAGTAGCGCCAGGCACACCACGCTATACGTCAAAATTCCAGATGCAAACAACTGTTTCTCAAAACAGAAACCCGAAAAACCCCAGTCCGCAGCCCAACTGGCCGGGATGTGTCGAATTCTTCGAAGGCAGATGACCTGCAACAGCTGCAGAACCAACTCGAGGAAGAGGAATTGAACCAACGCATACAGCAGCAGAAAGAGGCCAAGATAGTGCCGTGCCAGTGCCCGCGGCGCGACCTTGGCTGGCACAATCTGAACTGTCATTTGGAAGACTATTTTGCACCCTCATCCTGCCTGAACTGCGGTTCCCGGGACCACCGCCTGATCGATTGCCGGGTCCCGATTCGCGCGTCCGGCAAGAAGGGCTTTTCGGTGCGGGAAGCCAATCGTTTGCGCACGCTGCAGCGGAACAAGTTAGCGAGCCGCGCACGAGCGGAGGGGGCCAAGTGCCCGAACTGCCAGACCCCGTTTTGCTCTTTGGAAGATTGTCCGCAGAAGTGCACCGACAAAAAACTCCGCCCCCAACAGTTACAACTCTGGTTCATGCGGGCGCATCGCCAGGAGAACAGTGACGCTCGGACCGTAGCCAGAAAAAAGGGTGGCGCCGCGGGGGTGGTGCTACAAGCAGATGGAAATCTGGATCCTGCGGCAGCTTCAACTCGGGAAAAACCGAACGCGGAATCACTCTACCCTCCGACGGCTGACGAACTGCGAGATTTTCTGCTCTGGGACCAGGCTCAATTCGACTGTGAAAATGACGGGGGCCGGATCCTTCGCGCGGCAAACTTTTCGAATACCCGGAAGTGCAACTTCTGCGAGCACTATGGGCACACCGAAGAGCACTGCAAGAATCGGAAGCGCGCACTGGACGCTTGGGTCTTGCGCCACGGCTTGCCGCGCCGCGATCTGGACAGCTGGAACAAGAATGGGGCCTTCGCGGTGAACCAATTTCGCAAACCCAGTCTGGAAGAAGAGTACGGGTCCAACCTGTGGCTCAGGCTCGACAACAACGACGAAATGTCCATCTACGAAGCAGACCAAAACCCCGCGGAAAATGAGCACGTGCATGTGCCCGTCTACCAGGCCTTTCGACTTCCGAAACGACCACCTGGTGAGCGGTCGTTGGAAGACCCATACATTCGGAAGGAAGTGGAGGGACCATCAGCATCTTCCTCGGATCGTGAAGAAGGAGCCGACGTGCCGCATGGAACTGCCAGCAGCTCCAGCTCTACCCTTCTTGCCGGAACAACTGTGCCGCAGAAAAAGCATCTCGAGCTTGCTAGTATTCAATCCACGACTGGTACATCACAGGCGGGAGGAGAACTGGTCGAGAAAAAGTCTTTCACGATTGTCTCGATTCAGGTGTATCACAGTGTGGGCGACGCTTTCACTTTTCACCCCCTGACGAAGGACTTCACCCTCCTGGTGGAGTTGTACGATAAAATGTGGAAGATCAAGCAAAGGAAAATGACTCCTTCGTCCCAGCAGCGCCTGGCCCTGGCGGATCAGCATTGTGGTGTGCAGGAAGTGGCGGAGCAGGTGCCCCAAGAAGGAGCTGAAGAGGACAAAGAAGCAGATGCTACTGGTCAACAAGCGGCTCTTTCTACTCGCACTGGTAGTGTCGCTCCTTCAGAGTGGGTTGAAGGTGAAAATGGAAATGTCGTAGCGCAACGTCAAGCTCGAACTGGGGAGAACACCCTCTCCGCGACGGTGATCGATGATCTGCAAGCCCGGTTGCACAACGCGTTTTCCCCCATAAGCGAGGTTGACGGGCACCTGGGGCGCCGCATCGAGGAGAACCGGCACACATTTTCCATGCGGGGAAATCTGGGCTTTCACAAGTGCAAAAACCAGTGGAGCAGCGGGATACAGGGTACCTGGAACATCGCGGGCCCCGAGGCGCGGATGCTGCTGGAACTATCTCGGATGTACCAGACCCCCATCGACGTGCTCTTGCAAGGCATTCTCGCGGTCTCGGAGGCGCGGGCCGGGGCACAGGAAATTGTACTGATCTGTAGTTCGCTGACTGTTTTGTAAATTCTGATTTCATCACGGGGACCTGTTTCTGTTTATTTCGGTATAAAGTAGTGGAAGGACACGTAGATGAAGACGCGCGACAAGCAGATCGATGTACTTCTATGAGCCGCTGCTGCTGCTACTCAAGATTTTCATAGAAAAGTTGTTTCAACATTTGCTTCAGGTAAACTGGACGTTCTTCGTTTTCCAGAGGGACGGCGACGAAGACGCCAAGCGGGTTGGCCTGTACGCAGACTACCGTGACTTGACACTTCAAGTGCCCCACGACTCCGCGACGGTGTGGGGGACCATCCAAACGCTTTACACCAAAATCAAGCACCGCGAGTGGCGGCTGTTCAACCCGATGCAGTTCGAGGAGCAGACCGTGTGTAACGTGACTCTCCTGGATTCCACGCCGCGCGGCAGCCGCCCGGGGCAGTGGCAGCGGCTGGAGATGGACTTCAAGGTCCCCCCCGGCGAGCCGGGCGGCGTGCGCAAGAACTTCCGCCGTGATAAGCATTGCAAACTTCGTCCCTGGATGTCCCGAAGGATGCAAGAAACCTGTGATGCGGATTTTCGAACAAGTGAAAATCTGTGTTGCGCAGGCAGCAACAGGTGTCCGATTTTTGTCTTCATCACGCGAATGCATTTCTAATGTGCGGACTAGGCATGGAGTTGGAGTAGATGGCTTCTCCAGGGAATTTGTCATGCTCTGTGCGCATTTTGGAAAGAAAAAGACCTTCTTCCAGATGGAAAAACAAAAACGATCACATGACGAGTTAGAGTTAAAGTTTCTGTGCTCTTCTTGCCGACCTCCTTCCAGCAGACATAGTATTTGTATTGCATACTTGATCTCGATGAACAGACGGAGATGGAAAACCTGCTGAAGGTGAACATCCACCAGGACGCCGAGACCCTTTGGCGGATCGACATTCGCATGGACAACCGGAAGGCGGGCAAAAGCAACTCCGAATTCGAGGCCGTTGCGTGGATGACCCGGTTCGAGATTGCGATGCGAGATTGCTTTCGCGCCCTGGTCTGCGACCCTGCGATGCCGGTCCACAAGGTGTACAGCCGCGTCGAGTCGGAGCCCTGGTTCCAACCGCCCGAGCGGATTCCTTTGATCTGCAACGACGACGACTGGAAGTGGCGAGAGAAAAAATTTTGCGAAATGTACCGAAATTATCCTGTTGTGAAGCCCCATCCCGGCCAGTCACCCCAGCACTCATCTGGTGAGGCCTTTCTGTAGTCAGAACGTCGTGTCATGGCAAAATCTTATACTGTGGAGTCCTAGTTCTTAAGATCGTTTTCGTATATTTATATTCAGAATTTGTAAAAAACCTTTTCGGCAAGGTAGTGGGTTGTGGATAAAGCTCCTTATTTTGAAAGCAGGAGCTGAAATTTCTGCTTCCTGAAAGAGGATATGAAGAAACCCCTACGAGATTATTTCTATTTAGGGTCTACTGACAAATGGGGCGGGGGCTGCTGGCGCAAACTTTTACCTCTCTTCCATAATGCCCACCTCGGGAAGCTGCAGCGAGGACTTGCGGAGTTGGGTGAAGTGAAGCGAGAGCTTGCAGCGCTGAAGGGAGCTGATGCGTCGTGATTTGAGTACTTATTCACTCGACGAAGGCACTGTATAACTCATTCATTTTGCAAAAAACCTCGAGAAAAGCTTCAACTCAGTTTCCGTCAAGAAAAAAATTGCGCATTTCTATCGGTTAAAAACTACAAAAAAACTAACGAAAACAAGCAAAAAAACAAAAAAAAAGCGGTGCGTTTTAAAACTTATTCTTATCAGAGCATTGGTCTGCATCTGAAACGTAAAAACGATTACCGACTAGTCACGACCGGGAGATAAAGAAAGAAATCTACCGAGGAGAATGAGGCGTGAACACAGTTCACAACAAAACGGTCATCTTATTCTTATCTCAGCACTGGCTTTTACTTCTTCACATACGAAACTAAAAACGGCGACTCTACTTTATGCTCGTTCACAAAAAACATTCGGCGACAAACAAAAGAACTATCGTATCAACCTCCCAAACTCTAACTCGTAGGCTTTAGAAGTTGATGCGCACTTCTCGTGTGTAAAGTACTCCGCACCTCCGCAACTGGATTCATTCGAAATAATTTATTACGAGGTACCTGCTCTCAGCAAGAAAAGTTTACGAGTTTTCTGTGGCTTGTGAAAGTTTCTGCTAGGCAACAAAAGTCAAAAGCTACTTCATTCTTCCTAGGTAGCGAGAAGCAAAATGAGACTTGTATCACATTTCTACTTTTAGAGCCTGATTCTTTCTTGGTTGTCGTGTATTTCTATTGGTATTAGTATGGAGCTTGTCAATGTTGATACAAAACCCTCTCAAAATTTTTTCAAACGTGTTGCCGTCTCACTCGAGGGGGCAGCGTAGGTTTGGATAAAAGTATATTCGAAAGTATAATTTTGCGTCTAGGTCGTTAAACTGAAAAGTTCGATTTTTGGTCTTCCTACACTTCATATATATAAAACATCAAGATCTAGTACGCGTTACCTATTACCGCTACAGCAGCACCTCGGTTTTCCGTCGCAAAAAAGTCATTACATCGCCCTCTATACTTGTGCTTTTTTTGTTCCAATTCATTGAGTTCTTGTTCTCGCGTATAGATGTGGAAAAGTCAAAAGGAAAACTAAAGAGCCAGTAATGATAGCTCCGCCAATTCTTCCCAAAAAATTAACTTTTGTTTGTTTGCAAAACCTTGAGCCAAAAGGCTTCTTGACAGACAAATTACCTCATTTTTTCAAGTGTATTGTTGCGTCTTGTGACACAAGACGCAGTAGTAATCGACACAGTGTCGATATTATGCTTCCAGGTGGGACTATTCAAATCTGCAATAGGCCAGTCGGCAAAAAACTATGCAAATCTACAAAGGAGATACAGATTACATTTTCACCAGAAGAAGGCCCGCAATTTCATTATTGTGGTATCAATCGCAAGGACGTGCCACTGCGTCTGCGCATCATGTTGCAGTATTTTCTTTCTCGAATCTGCCATTTATTTTTATTGCCAGCTGCTATACTAATACTGGGAAACGAGAAACAACTAGCGCTCTAACCAAACAAGGTGATGAGGCAGCTTGGCGAGCTGGTCTGCAAATTGACCGATGAGGATGTGGCTGAACACTAACACATGATGTACGACAGAACAAAGGCGGAAACACTTATTCAAAATTTGTTTGACCGCATCTTCTTCCACTGTCTCTACTCTACAATTTCTTGACGTGTCTTCTTTAATATCTTTACAATGGTAACTCATTTAAGTTGTCGCCTTGTCACGGCCGCCTAGCGACATACTTATAGTTTGGCCTTACGCCCCTGCTCTGTTTGGCCCATTTTTTTTTTGATCGAATCATGATCGACCACATACAGAGGTCCTATTTTAGAAATCAAGTCGAAATCCCGACGCGTGCGGAAATAGCTCGTATTTTTTATAGCAAGTCAAAATCTAAAAAAGTGATATATTGAAAAGTAATAAAAGCCCACAGGGAAGTTTTCATAAAGCATTGCAGCATGGCGACCTTATCATTATAAGTGTGCACCTTCATGCTGATTCAACATCAAGATCTCAATTTCACCTCCGAAGTCCCGAGGTCGATGCTACAGATCTTTTACACATTTAGATAGTCAGCATTCCGCGCGCGCACCGATTGCCAACAATACAAAACGACCCGTGGCGAAGCGCCGCTCCGCTTTCGCGAAGGTCGCACAACTCCGAAAGTATTCGAATTACTGCACTTGCGCAGTTTGCAGGAGTAGCAGCAAAACAGCGAGCAAGGAACTGGCAGAAAGGTGCACCTCGTTTTCCCGCCGTAGGTCAGACCATCTTCCCTGTGCGACTTTCTATAGGTACGCGGTGATATGGAATGTTTCGTGCGGGTTATATTTTTATATCAACAGAACTGTGCTTTTTTTTATATCACAACTATACAAAAAAAACAAAAAACACAAAAAAAAACTTCACCATATAGAAGCTCAGACTTAGACGCTCTGCTTCACATAGACATATATCTCCGATAATGTTACCTCTTTAAGTGCTATGCCTCGGTGTAGCACCAAAAAGTTGCGAATTCAGCTTCACGTAGAATTAAGCAACAGGAAAAATAAGTAGCAGAATGAGACTCAAAAGCACACTATGCGGAGACGACAACTAAAGTCAAAAAGATACAGTTAGTAAGATCGGAACCCGACCAAATAAAATAAAGACGGAATACAACTACAACGGTCACGAAAGCTGAATCCTTTTGGTGCGATAACGACAGGCATAAGCTGATCTCGCTACAAGAGGTTGACAGGAAAAAATAGAAGCAGTCATATACAAGACACAAAAGCGACTGCTTCGATGGCGATCGTTATTTTGGCTCGTATGTATGTTCTCCGTTGTATGAGGATCGTCGTATGTAAGTCTTGTCCTCGTGTCGTGTGGTCCTCGTCGCTTTAGTGAGTGCAAAAGAGTGAAGATCTTCGAAACGGTATGTGCGAACGCATTTGCGCTAGCTCCCCGGTCTTTCGATGCAGCACCAAAACTCATTGCTATTGTTCATTGATTGATTCTCTAGTGCGCGATATGAATTCTATCGACTAAAAAGAAAAGCAAAGGACTCGACAAACCAAACGCAAAATCGAGCCCGCAGAGCAGATGAATTGCGCAACCTTATCTCATCGCGTATTGCTCGAGCCGAATTTTTATCCAGCTCGCCTTCCAGCAAGTGAAAACGTAAGTATCGGCAGCGAGGAAGCATTTATCCGTTATTTCAGGCCGCAGCAGCGTCGTGCAAGAGCAGGACCGATTCGATATTGTCAGACGACATCAAGCGAAAAGAAGAAGAACGGTTCGTTCTAGCTCAATATTTTTAGTTCGCGATGATGTTGCGATAGGACCACAAGCAATTCGTTTCAAAGCAGGAATTCAGATCCGTCATTTAAACCCTTGATGATCTGACGCATGCAACTTTACAGAATCGTACACTAACATAGCAGGGAAATGCAAAAGATCAGCTGCCAGGCTGTTGTTCTTATTGCGAGTCTCAGCTGACCTCGACCTAGTGCCTTGCACAGCCAGAAATCACATCCACAGCACCACCTGTTAGCATCACTACAAGCATCATCACCACCACCCTTTCTGAAAATGAAAAACTTCTCGACACGCGTGTGCAAGAAGGTGTTTTCCTCCTCCTCGACGCTCGGAGGGGCCGCTCCGAACACAGCCGGGAACTCCGCCTCAGCCCGTTTTGGATTGCATGCATTTCAAGAAGCGGCAAGCGGCCGGAGCTTCAGCACAATCACGCGGCGACTCCTGCCCTCCCGCGAGACCGGAGGCAAAATGCTGATGGGCGGAACCCTGTGGGCAGCCGGGGAGGTGCTGACGCAGCTGGTCACCACCGCGCCAGGGCTGGCGACGGCAGACACAGTAGAAGACACGGATATGAAAGCGGGCGTGGCACGCAGGACGATTGGGCTGCAGAACACAAAGAACACTGCGTCCTTTAGTACTGAAGATGGTGTTGAGGAACTCGAATTGTTGCGCGACGAGGGGTCGGAACAAGAACGCACGCTCGTACACCAGGAGGAGCTCCGCCGTGAGCTGCAAAGGGGCGGGACGACCAGTACCATTTTGTCCTCGCCAGTTTCCTTCCTCCAGAACATGAACATCGACCTCACCCGCATTGGGCACTCGTTCCTCGTTGGCGGCTGTCTGTTCACCCCGTTGGCCAATTTCTGGTACGTGCGCGCGGACAAGCTTTTCCCCGTGGCTATGGGTGCGAACGTGTGGTCGGGAATTTTGAAGAAGGTGGCCTTCGACCAGTCGGTGTTCACCCTGACCGTGCTAACGACCGTGTTCTCCGCGTTTTCCCTCCTCCAGGGCAAAACGGTGCAGGACGCCTGCAAGAAGGTGGTGCAGGAGGTGCCCTCCACCTTACCGATGAACTGGGCGGTATGGGGTCCCGTGCAGGCGTGCAACTTTCTGTTGCTGCAACCCCACCAGCGGATCTACCTCGTCAACCTAGTCACCGTTCCCTGGACGGGGTATCTCGCCTACAAATCGAGGTGAAAAGGGTTATTGGCAGCAAGTGCGCAAGACGGATTGATTGTCATTGTGGAAGCCGGCGCGCATAAAGAAGATTTCTATAGGGTAGAATTATTTTGTGGAGGTACTACGACGGAAACGCAAACGCAATCAAGATAAATCAGTCCTTCGCGACATCCGGGGTTTTCGAATATCAGCTATCATCCAAGCAATGCAGGTTTTGTAGCGCGTGCATTATCACAAAAGATTTTCTCCACAGAACTCTTACTTCCACCTGAACATGCGCGCATTTTATAGCGGAGGGAACAAAGAATACTATAAGACCAAAACACCAGTTCTCGCTTGACCATGAATGCATCTTCAAGGGATTATTGATTGATGTTCCCGATTTCTGCAAGAGACGAGTGCGAACCACTCCAACCGCAAGTCGACCAGATGTACTTCTGCTTCTAGCAACACAACAACCGACATTCTAATATTTCCAAGATATCATGTACGCGTACGCAGAACTAACGACGTTCTAATATTTCCAAGAAGGAGCAGATTCAGATTAAAATGGTGTTGAAAATAGCGAACGGCAGTTTTTAGCATGGTGCAGGTTCCGCTCCAAGAGAAAGTGGCGTTGTCCCCATTTGTGTTCATAAAATTTTCAGTCCTGCTTCACGCGCCTTAGAAGCGACAAGAATCGAGGAAGATCATTCACTCATTGCTAATAGCGTGGCGACCCCGATCGAGCACCGCGAAGAACGTAACGCCTGCCGAGGGACTCCGCCGCCGCGCCGTGGTCGAGCGCAGACCGGCCGGCGCGGGCTTGCGCAGATCCTCGCGCGAGCGAACTCGCGCGCAGCGCCGCCCCCATCGTGCCCAGAAGCTCGCCGGCCACTCAGCGCAGCGGGAAAAGTGCCGGCGGAGGTGCCTAATCTACTCGAATGCGTACGGCCTAGAGCTCGAGAGGGAGTGCGATAGCAGGGATAGCAATCCGCAGCAAAAGCGGCGGCGGCTATAGCGGAAGAAAAGGGGTGGGCCAAGATTCTGAGATCCGTAGCCGCCCCTCCCTCCGCTTCTTCGCTCCCCCTGTCAGGTGGAGCTGCTAACTTCCGTGGAGCCGTTGGGCGCTCTGGGCGCTGCTTGTGCCACCACGGCGCACAGCGGGCAAGGATCCGAGGCGGCCTGCCCAGTTAGTGGCCGGCGCGCCTTCGTTGGGTGGAGCAGATTGATTTCCAACGAGTTGCCCAAGTCGGAGAAGAATCGCGCCGCCCTTCGGCGGTCTGGGTGCGTATCCGGGTGGCGGGCCGCCCGGAAGGGCGCGGCCTCTCGGCGGTTGGCTCGTGATGCCCGCCGCGAATGGCCACGGGAGGGCGGGCCCCCCCCCCCCGTGTTTCCAGGTCCACGCGCTGAGGCGATGGAGCACGATCGACCCCCGTCCGGAGAGGTCCGGATACCACCCCGAAGGTGGTAGCATTTGTGACGACGTGAAGGCGGCGCTCGCCCCTGCCTTCGTGCGCGGCCCCGTCCGCGCGGCACCGTGCTGCAGCCCGGCGCTGCGACCTCATGTAGCCAGAAGCCGTCTCCGCGAGCGAAGTAGACAGCGAACGCGGCCCCAGGCACGCCGAGGGCCCTGCAAAAGTTAGCGGCATGCCCGAGGCGCGCCCGTTGCAGGCCGGCCGCCCCTCCGTCCTCCCACTCTCTTGCGGCCCTTCTGGTGGTGGCCCGCCCATGTCGGCCGGCCGGGCGTGCTTGCCCGCGCGCCGGCGCGCGCAATTGCCGGGCCGCCTGCCCGGCGCGATTGGAGTCCCAATGCCGCCCCGCGGGTCCTAGCACGCCGGCCGCTGTGGTTTCCAATCTAGAGGACCAGGCGGGCGGTGTTTTGATATTGCCGGCGCCGTGGCCATTTTTGGCTCCGCGGCTGGCCGCGACCCCAGTGGGCCCCCTAGTGCGCAGTGCCACGCACGGGTAAGTGGCTTGCGCTCCTGTAGGAAACCAGCCCGGGCGCCAGTGCCTCGCTCCTGTGATTGGATTACTAAAGTATCAAACTGCTGTGCTAGTTGGTTCTGACGCACGCGTGGCTCCGCCCCCCGTAGTCCGCCCGTCGTACCACAGGAGCTGTTCTGGTTTTTTTTGTGTGAGATCAGAGACATCGGCCGACAGCTTGTAAGGAATCTTCAAAGACAAAGTCGTATAAATCTTCCCAGCAGGCTCTGCTACTGATGTGTAGTCTGTGACTGGGTCCTTGAAATGTGAACAATTTTGACAAAAACAAAATGTAGATTGTGTGTGCGACGATCGTCCTAGAGTGTGGCTCTTGACGCCTTAGCACTATGTAAGAATGTGTGTACTCTTGACTCTTTGATACGAGGTGAAAATGCGCGCAGTTATTGCCTCTCTTTTGAAATTTAATGTTACGTCCGCTGACAGTAGATTCGACATACTTATACCTGACCTTTCGTGCCTGCTTCCGCCATCAAATCCCCAGCGCGCAGCTGCAGCACTAGCACATTGGCACTGGCAACGGCCGCCGAGGAGATGTGCGGGCTTGACGGCGTCGGCGAGAACCGCGGCTTCGACGATTCAAACGCGAACTCCCCCACTCCGAAGGGGCAGTCCCAATCGCAATCCCGCTTGCGGCGCTTTTTCGACGGCGACCTGGTCGGATTTCTGGATCAGGACGGGCGGCCCTGCGTCGGCCTAATCGAGGAGGTGGTGAGCGACGGCTACACGTGGTGCGAGCGCTACGGCGAAAATTACCGGTCCAGCGGCAAGAATCTGTTTGCCTTCCGCAACTGCTGGCAGTTCCACAACTACCAGAGGCAGCTCGTGTGGTTACGCTCTGCAAAAGCACCGCACTTGTACTAAATTGCAGTCGTGCATGACAAATCGAGCTTTCTTCCTCAACAACAATGCCATTTGTCATGCCATATTCATGACAGACGTTGTTCGCGAAAAAAAATGTATGTGCAAGTACTACCACTGCGATTCTACTTTTGCAATGCATACCAGTACGCGTTTGCGCAGTTTCCGGCCTTCCGCAACCTGCTAGACCCCCATGCCGCGTACGCCACAGCGGCCGAGTTTCTGTGGGACAGCGACAAGAACGAGAATTACTCTTCGGGGGAAGTAGAACCCCCAGAACACAGTTCAGGAACTTTTGAAATATCTCAGGAACAACTACATCAACAAGATGAACGACACCGCGAGGCTGAAAGCGGTCTTCGCTACGACGATGACTACAACCGCGATGATGGTGCTGACCCCACGAACTGCCGCGTCGTCGCGGGCTACTTCACACTGCTCAGGGCGTTCGAGGAGGACACTGCCTTGGTCTGCGAGCGCGACGAGCTGCTGCAGCTCGTGCGGGACAAGACGTGGTACGTGGACGTGACCCCGAAAAACCCGGTTCTGAAACTGTGGGCCCTGCGTCGCAACGACGACTTGTGTGAGGAACTCAAGGCAATCTACGACCAGTCGCGGAAAATCGTGCTGGTGGACGAGGAGAGCGAAGATAGTACGGGAGCTCCAGAACTACATGGCTTGCCCCCGCCAGGGGTCACGCCAAAGGTATCGTGCTGGGCGCCGGGAAGGATGAGTCGCCGGGGGAAAGTAAGCTGATGAAATTTGTTGATAACGATAGTTGTATGCGAAAAAAATAGTAGTAGACAGAACCAGTAGTTAATTCATTTCCTTCGACACATTTATCACTGCTGCAAAACGTGCTTCGTTTTTTGTGCATATAGATGAGAGACCTGCTTGCTGAGGTACTGCTTTTCAAAATGCTTTTATATTTTTTTTTACGACATATATAACAAAAAATGAAAATGCCCGGCCGATCTGCCGGCAGCCGATCCGCATCGCGAACTCTTCATTCCGGCCTGCCGTTGAGCAGCTCGTGGTAAAAAACGAATTCGAATTCGCTAAATAATTGTATAACCGAATTTTGTTCTTCTTTAGAATTAGCAAGTGTCGGTCTGGCTCCTCCTCCTCCACAGTTGTCAAACCAATTATCACCGAATTTCCCAGCTGCATACCTCATTGCCAGGGAAACCCTGACCGTCACAGTCCACAATTCTCCTCCAAGAACCTCCGGGACGAGCATAGCGGAAGAGACTGGCACTTCTACCGATTGGTGGAGCGGGTCAAGTTCGACCCAGGTTTCCTCCTTTTCCATCCAAGGTTTGAACCACAAGCAGGCCTTCAAGGAAATCAGTGCTAAATGCTGTGGCGCGAATGGGTACAACACCGTCGCAGACTTCTGGTGCCTGCGTGGTTCGGACGCGTTCCTGATAGCCCGCCTACCGATCATGATGCGGATTTCTGGGATGCTGAACCCGTGGCCGCGCCTTGGTAATGTAGGCAGCAGCGATTGGAGGAAAGGAGAATCCAGTGGCCTGGCAGCGTTGAGTATTCGTGAGCGGGTAGTGGACAAGAACCTTGCGCCTCGAGTCGGCGATTTGCGACATGACAGCTCATCAGAACACGAGCCCGTCTTGCGAGAACTAGGACCACATCAGGATGTTGAGTACTACAGCATCGGCGCACGGGATCGGTACCTTCTGCCGAGTGCAACTGAGATCACAGCGAACTTCCGCAGGAGCGGATCTCGACCTTGTTCCATTGCAACGACAACTAGTAGTGCTGCAGCTTCACCAGCGACACCACCACAGTATGCTACAGCTTCTTCAACCCGTGAACACAAGTGGACTGCGGTCCTCAGTGATCGTTACCGCCGCATCGTGGCCCGCTTGACGAGGCTGAAAGCGTGGAGTTCTTGGGGATTTTCATCGCCTGTTGCTCCTCCCAGCGAGAAAAGAACAGGGGATCATGACGCCGTGGACCCTCCACCACGAGGAACACCAGCGGAGATTCGGCACCAAGCCTTCCAACGCCTGCAAAGATTCGCAAAACTGCATCCGGCTGGCGCATTCCACAGCTTTATCGAGTTCTACGATGAATTGTACGAGCTGCTAGGTGTGGATCCAGATGATTTTTGTGCCGATGGGAATCGGAATCCCAACAACAAGGACAAGCGCCATACGACGAGGGAGATGAATCAGAGTGACCCAGTACTCCGGATGGACTGTCGCCGAGACGCAATTCTTGATCCTATATTTTCGTCCCTTTTATACATTTTGTATGATAACTCAAGTCCACGGAAGCAGTATGTGACAAATTGGGTGACCGCCATCCAAACCGCGGTGTTTGTCGTTCAACCAAAATTTGACTACTGCCGCTTCCCGCGCTCGGAATTCTGCTACCTGTGTCGCCGCCACCGCTCTGTGGTGACGGAACCGCTGCGCCGACGAGGAGACCACTTCGGGTCCCGGGTCCCGACGTGCCAGGACTGCGAAGCACGGCGGCAAGAGCTATTGGTGATAGCTGCACCAACTACGAGCGGTGCTGAGGGAAGCGCTGGCGCTTCTTCTAGTGCCAGCAGTAAATCTGGATCTGTCAATATTGCCGACGGGGACACCACCACTACATCTTCTTGGTTTGTCGGGAGCAATGAATTTCTCAGAAAGAATAAGAAACCCATGTCGAAGAGAAAGAAGAAGACCACGCAAAAAATTCTGACTGAAGACAGCGGTGCCGGTGGTGGAGCGCTCGACAATTCCTACTCTACTTCGACGCGGAAGCCAAAAGTAGCGCTTTGCCAGCAGGAGCGGGATAGTGCAGAAGTCCTCTGGGATGTGCGTGAGAGGCAGAAAAATTCTACGGCCAATAACGACTCCGACGCGCGCGGCATGGAGTTTGCGCCGGCTTCCGCGAATTGTACGTCTGAGTCCCAGCTTAGTGCTGTGGTGAAAATGGTGGCAGAGAATCCACCGTCTGTTCCAGCATGCGCTACTGAGAGCGAGCCGTCGCCGTGCGCTAGCGACATAGACGCGACCAGCCAGGGTTCCACAGCTGCACCAGAGATCGTGGATTACAACGAGGTCTCGAAACACGTGCCGGTGGTCGATATGCCGTTTTTAACGGCGGACTTTTGTGTGCAGGTCCGAGTCGAACGTCAGTTGCGTGCCGAGATTCTAGATCTATTGAACTACACAGCTCCAGCGTACAACTCGGAACAGCGGAGCGAAGAGCAACCCGTTCCTCGAATATTAAACAGTGGCAGCGATTTCCAAGGCGAGTTATGCGCCGCAAAAAAAAAATCTTCAGAGGCCCCCCAAAGCCCGCCGTCACTGCGCTACTCAGAATTCAGCGATATGGAAGAGGATCCTAGCACAGCGTTGTTCTGCCGCGACACGCTGTCCCGCTCGGACCGGCTGCTGATGTATGGGGAAGCATTTGAAACCGACACCGACTTTGCGGACGCCGTCGAGGCGTGGCCACTCACGAAGGCTAAAAAGGACCTCGTGCTCTGCCGGGAGGCCCTGTTCCGACTGCGGGATTTGCACAAAAAGGCGAGCGGCGGACGCAAGGATGCTTCGTGGTGGACCGTGCTCCGGGAGAAGCTAGCAAATGTGCAATCGACCGAGGATCTTTGGCATTGCTTCGAGATAATCAACATGCCCGGTTCGGACGATGGGAACTACAGCCACGAAGTAGGAAGTGACGACGCTAAAGGGGCCGCGGACAGCAAGGCTCATCGGGATGAATGTGGTATAGTACTGTCGCCCTCCACCACATTATCGCGAATCTGTTCTCGAATCCAGCATGCAATAGCTGCGGCGCAGTCGCAGCCGTTCTTCTTGTGGCAAGATGCGACGCAGTCATGGGCAAATGAGTTCTTCTACCACCACAGTACGGATACGATGAGGGAAAAACTCTTGCGGCAATTGCCCTCGCCGTGTGTATTCAGGTATTTGCAGTTCTTGTATCGAAGTTTTCTTTTGATGAGCATGATTTTGCCGACCCCCACTCTTTGCGCTGCTGCACTCGTGATATAGCCTCTGGTTTGTGATGTATGTATAGTGAGACAGATCACTTCAAGTTCAAATTGCGAGTTAGACTTAGTCGCCAAGGCGAAGTTTTGTTTATATTGAAGCTAAATGAGCCTGAACTACCAAATCGGTTTTATGTAGTCGCTATTTCTTACTTTTTCAGTCAAGGGACATGTCTTCCTTTTCACCGCAGAGTAGCCTAAAACAAACACAATTACATTTGCCTCGCAGGTCAGGTCCTTTGCAAAGTTGGTTTCCAACAATGTGGTGCAGCATTTGCGAGCGGACCTTCATCGCAACAGCCTGGAGCTTCCACAAGCGCGAAGACTGTCTGAATTCGCGTTTCTACCAGCTGTACAATTACGGCGGTTGGGGCGCTTTAAAACCAGCACTGGTGGAGGCGGGTGGGACGCTGGACGGCTACAAAATTCACAAGGAACAAGACGATGTGGGCGAAGGGACTATCCATGTGACAGCAGACACGACGTTGCGGTCACACACGCACGACGAGGCCGCATATGAAAATATTACATCGAGGTTGAGCGCAGTCGACGGGTCTTTGCCTCTCCTGCTTCCGTCTAATGTGCACTACGATGCGGCGCTCGACGCGGCCATCTCGAGGGTTTATGACGAACATTTTCGTGCCAAGAAGCGCGAAGTCGAGGACGTTGTTCTTGGAATGGAACAGGATCAGCAAACGACAGCAGATGATGCCCATCCAACCGCAGCTGATGAATTTTCGAAGCCTGCTCCTGCTCCTCCTTGCACGCCTGGCGGATTTTTTCTCGACTTGGATTTCCCAGATACCCACAGTGCATCCTGGGAAAGGAAAGCCTGCCCGAGTGATGTACAACCGGCGCAGACTCCTCGTGCGGAGCTAAATGGGTCGACGCCTGAAGAAGAACGACAATGTTGGGGTGATCCAAACGAAAGAGAAGCCTGTTGGCCGTTCGGAACTGCGTTGCAAGACAGTGAAATATTAAAGCAAGCAGATCTTGTTCATCATCACAACATCGGCAAGAGAAAAAACGCCGCCAGCGATGCAGCTTTGCCTGATAAAAATAAACTCCTCCTCGTTCCACCGCACGAGGAAAATAATGTCTACCAAGGCTGCAATAACGTGTCCCTCGAATCCACGCCCTTCCTGAGCTTCCGCGTCCGGACGAAAAAGCGGTTTCTCAAGGAACTGAAAATCTGTACGATCAATGCTCCCAACGACGCATTCGTTCTCGGCCAACCTCTAGACAATCTCAAGGAGGTCGCGAGCGAGGACGTCCCAAAGCTTTTCTCCGGCTGGAATCAAGCGGACGTAAAACTCGTAGATATCTCGGACAAGTACCGTGGGGTTGATCTTCTCCGCTGCACAAATCCTGTGTTGGAGGAGCGACTTTTTGCCAGCGGGTCGTGGGCGCGAGCAGGAGCTGCACCAGGAGCCAGCTGTGACGAAACTACGCCGCGGCCATCGAAAAAACCCGACTGGGACGCGTGTCGCGAAAGCGTGTGGCAGCGAAAGGAGCTTGACTATGACGTGTGGCAATCTCTGATCCTACCGGTGAAGAGCAGCAACTTTGAGGAGGTGCGTTTCTTCCTTATCGCAGTGCTAGATGAAGAATTGCAGGGTAGGTCCCGGCACGGTGTTGGAGGGGAGCCTTCTGTGCAGCAAGCCACGAATGTTGAGAACCACGGCGGCGCCTCATCTCCACCCCTGATCGCAACTGTCACGCAATTCTGCCCGCTATCCAGAGCTTGCTTGTTCACCTTCACAGGGGGCCGCCACCGCCACATCGAACATAAAAGTGAAGTGCCGTTTTGTGCTGTGCCGTAGGACTTTTGCTAGAAGTCGTCCTGTAGAAGATGAAGAGTTAGAGTTTAGCTTTAGTGATCCACCAGCCACGACGGACCAGCAGTGGACAGGGCGGGAACGCGGCGAGTGGGGACACGGCCAGGTGGGGACACGGCCAGGTGGGGACACGGCCAGGTGGGGACACGGCCAGGTGGGGACACGGCCAAGTGGGGACACGGCCAAGTGGGGACACGGCCAAGTGGGGACACGACGGCGGGTGGGGACACGACGGCGGGTGGGGACACGACGGCGGGTGGGGACACGACGGCCGGCCAAGTGGGGACACGACGGTCGGCCAAGTGGGGACACGACGGCCGGCCAGGTGGGGACACGACGGCCGGCCAAGTGGGGACACGACGGCCAGCCAAGTGGGGACACGACGGCCGGCCGAGTGGGGACACGACGGCCGGCCAGGTGGGGACACGGCGGCCGGCCAAGTGGGGACACGACGGTCGGCCAAGTGGGGACACGACGCACGGCCGGCCAAGTGGGGACACGACGGACGGCCGGCCAAGTGGGGACACGACGGCCGGCCAAGTGGGGACACGACGGCCGGCCAAGTGGGGACACGACGGCCGGCCAAATGGGGACACGATGGCCGGCCAAGTGGGGACACGACGGCCGGCCAAGTGGGGACACGACGGCCGGCCAAATGGGGACACGATGGCCGGCCAAGTGGGGACACGACGGCCGGCCAAGTGGGGACACGACGGCCAGCCAAGTGGGGACACGACGGCCGGCCAGGTGGGGACACGACGGCCGGCCAGGTGGGGACACGACGGCTGGCCAAGTGGGGACACGGCGGCCGGCCAAGTGGGGACACGACGGCCGGCCAAGTGGGGACACGACGGTCGGCCAAGTGGGGACACGACGGCCGAGTGGGGACACGGAGGTGGGGTCACGGAGGTGGGGACACGGAGGTGGGGTCACGGAGGTGGGGACACGGAGGTGGGGGCGCGAAGGCTGGTCCGAACGGAGCTGCAGAGGCAGATTTGGCCCCGGCGCCTCCGCATCTGCCGGTCAGACTTGCAGCTGCAATGGCGGGCTGGTCCGGTCTATATGCCCAGTATTTTATACTAATTTAAAAATGTTCCCTTTACATGAACTTTCTGGGAAATCCAAATGCTGAGATACGACACTCCCTGCTCGATTTTTTTACCGCTGTGGAAGTTGCATTATTTTCAATGTTCCTCGTAAGAATTGCATTTGCAGCAACCGCAGAAGCGGACAGCACTTCGGAAAAACATTCATTTGCGCATGGCTTCCTGGTGGTTGAGCATCTCTTGGATAGCTCCGTCGCGAGTTTCGGACATACGGGCGTCCAGGACACGTCTGCACGGTCTATTTCGATCTAGACGAAAGTTTCGAGTACCGGCGTCAGGCCAACAACGACACGCTGGAACAAGCTTGCGAAGCACAGCTGCAGCAAGCTCGAAAGCTGCGTGGCAAGGTCAGTCCCGTGCAGGTCTACGCGGAAGGAACACTGTTGACCAGCATGATTTACGTGCCGCTGTGCGCTGTCAGCTCCACGGCGTTGTTGCGGGAGGTGCACAGAGAGACGGCGTGCTCTAGTACCTCTACTTCGACGCGAAAGAACCAGGATACTATTCTCGCCACGGGCGTTGAAGATGGAAAAAAAGAGCGCAGTCTAGTACTTCGCAGCCCGAAAGGACGAAGTCGTCAGACCAGTGGCAACTTTTACACGGAGGCTCTCACAGCCGCGTGGCAAGCTCATCGCGACGACGGAACTCGGTACGAAAATTACGTTTGCTCCACGGTTGGAGGAGCTCGGGCAGACCGCTGGTCGGTGGCTCCTGGTGTCGTGTCCAGCAGTGAGGAGGAAGTGCGTTCGGCATTTGATGCTGGTTGGCAACATCATCTTCCCGACGGCTGCACGACGGATGTTGACTATTGGGAACAAGATTGGCGGGCTTTTTTTCCCGGAGATGTCATCGTCAACTCCGTCGGTTGGCTGCGCAGCGCGTCTGGCCACGAGGTGGAGGTCCAAAGGAGTGAAGACGCCTACATTTTTCAGGATGAAAGTGACCCCGAAGACCCGATGTACGAGCAAAAATCGCTAAGAAATGTCGATGAGTCAATTTCAACAGTGGGTAAGAGGAAAACCACGCGTGACCAAGACCACGAGTGCCCGACGCCAACATCCGAAGATGATAAGGATCTCAAGCAGAGAACCTATCGTGCGGCAAAGGAGACCCGATACCCTATCCACATCTTCCTGCATGGGGACGTAGCGCGCTCGGCGGACACGCAGCAGCTTCCGGGCGTCTGCCAGGGTATGCTTCCCTACCCCGAGATCAGCTGGGGACACCCGATCAAATATTTGGAGCGAGGGCTCGCAAGACAGTGGGAGAAGCAAAGGACGCATCATCGCCGAGTTTTTGTAGAGGGAAAAGAAAAAGATGAATTCGGCAATTACAACGACCCTGAGAGGAGCTCTATAGAAGAGCAAGACCGGTGTACCAAAATGCTCGCGCACTCGGTTCTAATCATGCCGTTTTGTACTGACGACTGCTTTTGGTTCCGCGGTCCGCCCAATCGCTCTGACGCAAAACTGTTCAACCGTGGCGTCGTTGCGGTGATGGCCAAGCTCCGTCGCATCGCGATCGACCTGCTGCAGGGAGATGCGCGGCGGCTGTACCTGACGGGAGCGTCGATGGGTGGATACGGAGTGCTTGAGCTTGCGGCCTTGTGGGGACCCGAGGTTGTGGCCGCCGTGGTGGCGCTTTCCCCGTGCCGCGAGCTACGCACTAACCCAGCGCAGAGTGGGTGGTTCGCGGAGCGGCTGGCGGACATTCCGCTCTGGATTTTCCACAGCCGGGAGGACAAGTGCTGCAAATTCGTGGATACCCTCTCCCTTGTACACGAGCTTCTGTCTAAGAGGGCGGACAAATTAGACGAGATGTTGCACAGAATCGAGGGACAAGCAACCGCCACCGAAGCTGCACCAGCACCGCTTCGGTTCACTACCTGCGGACTTCCGAATGTTGCTCGCTGTTTCACGAAACACAGCCGGCTGACCGAAGTCATGGATAACTCCGAGGACGTTTATTTGTGGATGTACCAGTTTCTTCTCCGAGGAAGCGGCAACAACGATCAATCGGGTGAAGGTCGCTGGTCGTGCTTGGACGTCAGTAGAGACTACCCCGTTGCGCCGCAAGGTGGACAAATGAATTTGCCATACCCGAAGAGTGCCTTTCTCGCCTTCCACCAAACTGCGGCATGGCGGGACCCGGAGCAGGCAAGGTGATAATTTGGCATAACAGGGTCCTCGTCGCGCTCGGTGCACTTCGTACATGTAGCTCAATCTTTTGCTCAAAGTCAAAACGAGATAGAAAATGAAGTTTTTCCATAAATAGTTTTCTCTCCGGTGACCACGGTGTTTCTGTTCATTATTAGCAACGCGAAATTGGCATGGCTGTTTTCTTGGAATAGAAGTAAAACAAATCCATGAGGCAGGACTCCCACAAATTTTCCAAATCCATGACGCAGGATTCCCACAATTTTTGCGCGATGAAAAAATTGAGATCCAAAAATGAAATTATCGTTTGCTATGCCGGTGTTGCGGTGAACAAAAACAAAAGCACTAGTGCCGACGGTAAAAGAGGTTTGGAGTTGGACAGGCAGGATCCCCGCTAAATCAAAGTGTATTTTGGTAGATGTCTGAATCTGGATCGGCGACTTGTGATCCAAACATATGAAAGGCGATTTTATTTTTTGTGTTTGATTGTAGTTTCTGTTTCCACGATCATAATCTAAAAATTTCCCGCGAGTCAATCCTCTCCTGCAAAAAGCGGTGTTCAGGTCGAACTTACATCACAAGTATCAGGAATCTCCACCTCTAGAAATCCATCTGGACCACATCTACAACTAGACAGAAGATTTTCCAACTTTAGTTAATCTGTGACTTACACCACTAGGAAAAGGAAATAAAGCCGGTTTATTTCTCACATTTCTACATTTCCTCTTCTTTCCTCCGCAACAGAAAAACCACAACCCCATCGAAAATGCCGTCGGTGACCTGCGACGAAAACGTGCTGTGCGTGAAGAAGCTGAGTGGGAACGCGACGGTGCCCACCAAGGGTTCGAAGGACAGCGCCGGGTACGACCTGTCTGCCGCCCACGAGACGGAGATTCCGGCCCAGGGGAAGGGCTTGGTGAAAACCGACTTGGCGATCAAGATGCCGGCGGGCGTGTACGGCCGCGTGGCACCCCGCAGTGGCCTGGCCCACAAGAAGCACATCGACGTCGGCGCCGGCGTGATTGACGCCGACTACCGCGGCAACGTGGGGGTCGTGCTCTTCAACCACGCCCAGGAGCCCCTGAAGGTCGAGAAGGGGGACCGCGTCGCGCAGTTGATCCTGGAGAAGTACCTCACGGTCGACGGCGTGCGCGAGTGCGAGGACCTGGACGAGACGGACCGCGGTGCGGGCGGCTTCGGCTCCACCGGCGTCTCCGCGGCCCCGCCGTCCTAAGCTGGTTTTCAGTGATACACTCGCTGGAAAAGATAAACGCAGGATGTAGTTGACATCTTGTGCACAAAATGTCAGCGCACCACGGTGGTTTTCGATCTTCGGAAAGTTGTCGTGACAACCGACCTACTGTCAGCAAAAATGAAAATCACACGGAATCTTACGAAGAAGCAGTCAGAGAGCAGGATACAAACGGACTTGGACCTTCACACTTACGCAACGAACACGGGGGTACTTACTTTTTGTTTTCCGTTCACGCCAATTTTTTTGTGAATCTTGCATGCGTATGAGCTTAGACAAGATGCGTTGGTTACGTCGCCTCCACTAGAAATTGCTAACGCTGAAGTTTTCATATCGATTTTCCACAACGGTGTGCATTGCATTGGGAATCCCAGATGAATATGGCGTCTGAGATAAAAGACAAAGAAAAAATTATCCACAGGTATTTTACCTTCACTATGTATTCCAAGAATCTCCTGGAATCGTTCCTGCACCTACGCGAAGAAGACTACCACTTTCCAGATTCGTCGACCAGAATCTTCGCGAGGACCAGATGATGATCTTTCAAGTGCAACTCTCTCTTCAAACTACGTTTTAGAAATGCCCTGCTCACAATTCTTCTCTCCGGCGACGCCACGAGCGATCTCTTCGAAAATTCAACTTCTGAAGAAAAGACAGTGTTGTTTGCGACAGCACGGAATAACACCGGAGAAGGATTGCTGTAGAAAAGACCTTACGATGTTGACGATGATCTTGCTGTACCAGCGGAGAATCGAATAAAACAACACTTTGATACAAACGGCATGCTCTGCACGCATCTGATAACGTCAATCATGATAAAAAAAATTGGAGCTGGAATGCTACCGAGATCAAAAGGCTTGTAGTTCAAGACTCTTTACTCGGATTGTTCCTGGCGCTAATCAAACGTCTCCAGTAAATCCAACTACTGGTTTGAATTGCAATTTCTACAAGAACTCGATGACGAAAATAAAATTTGAATTTTCGAAAACGGAAAAGCCAGCCGAGAGACAGAACCACAGAGTGCAAAGCAATTTGTGTTTCTAGAGAGAGTCCTCGTGAGCGTTTACCAAATTTTATCAACCGATTTTGCTTTCATCTCCGCAAGAGTGTAACTTTGCGACTGCATCCTGAATCATTCAAAATGCTATTTCCATCCCGTAGAAAAAAAAATTATGCAAGAGAGAAGGAGTAGAGTCGTCCTTGCGTGTAGTGTGAGTGGAGGAAAGACCACGATAAGTACTTACTATTAGTAGGGGTAGACATCAAGAGAGAAGTTGTACAAACAAGCAAAATCAAAAAGAAGAGTTCATACAGTAAAGTTTTAGACCTAATTGTGGATCGGACGAAAGTTTTGAGTCTTGTTGTCGCCATCAATTTGTTTGGCATGTAGCATTTTTCCGGTTCGTTGCAGCAAAAGCAAAGATGGCACTGCAGCAACCGAACCCACCGTGCGGGGACGACTTGGCTTTGTTGTTGTCGAAAATTGTACTGCATTTGCCGTACGACGCCAGTGCAGTGGATCCGGAATTCGCCTCCTACCTTCGCGAAAACGCATTGACGTGTGTTGTGGTCGGGAAATGGCAGACCAGCAACCTCGAGCAACTGAAAAACCACAGTCTGGCTGCGAAAGCAGCCGGCTTGGCAACGAGAACAAGTGCTGGTGGCGGCATCGATCGCAACAACCCGTTCGCGCGGGCGGGGCAAAAGGCGGGCAACGCGGATTCCACCCCCGCAGCGTCGGAAGGGGGCGTCGCGTACTACTGCAGCCGTGTGCAGTCCCGCAGCTTCGGTTTGTCCATGGTCGCGGTGAAGCAGATTTCGGGTTCCAAAACCGCCACTTCCAAGACGGAGGAGCCCGCGTACCTGGAGCGCAAGCGGCTGCAGGTGCTGCGTATCCAGTGCAAAAGTATCGTTGCAATTGCTTTTATGCATTACAAATCTTTTTTGTAAGGCAAATCCGCATTACAAATTCAATTTGTAATGCTGAGCCAATGTGTATTGCAATTTCTACTAGTACGATACTTTGCAATGCATACTGCGCCTCGCGTGGGAGGATGGGTTTCCGTTGGACCTGCGCGAGATCGGCGTGAACCCTTACACCAAAACCGTGTCCTTCACGTTGCGCGACCAGGCGCCCCTCAGCCGCGGTGCCTTTCCGTATGCAGTGCAAAAGTATCGTACTACTTCTACAACTCGTATAAAAATGCATTACAAATTTCCTCAGCATGAGAAAAAACTTTGTAATGCAGATTTACCGTACCCGTAACAAAACAATTAGTAATGCATGATTGCAATACGAGTACGATACTTTTGCAATGCATATTCCGGAGCACGAGCTGAAGCGGGCCGTCCGCGCGAGCGCCCGGGAGGAACGGGTCGCGAGGAATGAGAGGGGGAACGAAACCGCGGTAGGTGTGGCAAAAGCATCGTACTCTAGTTCTAGTAGAAATTTTTACGAATACAAATTTTTCGCAGAGATGAAGAAATGCAATTTGTAATTCGGATTTGGGTAAGAAACAACAAGGTTTGGATTTGTCATGAGTACGATCCTTTTGCATTGCATACGCAGACCAGGCCTACGAAATCCTGCCGCCGAAACGCGTGGCGCCATATGACAGTGCACAACTCCCCCTCCCCCTCATTTGTAATGCAAGATCCCGAATCCTCCAGCTGCTGCCTCGTAGCACTGTGTGCATGACAAATCCTGGAAGCCCAAACAACACTACACTCCAGTGCAAATTTGTCATGCAAAACCGGCATTCTTTCTAATGCTTGCATTGCTGTTCATGCAATACAAATGAGGGGGAGGGGGAGTTGTGCACTTTTATATGCCAAGGCGGTTCTCGACGAGCTCAAGCGCCGGTGGAGGAGCGGAAGGCCGGCTGGAGGTTGACGGCCGCAAGAATCGAGTACAGCTGCAAAGTATGAAATGCAAAAGCCTCGTACTAGTATAAATTGCATGACAAATTCCCTCAGCATGAAAAATGAAATTTGTAATGCGGATTTAGGTTAGAAGGGAGATTTGTGATGCATGATTGCGAATTACTACGAGTACGATACTTTTGCACAGGATACAAACCGAGAGTACTAGCAGTGCTCTCGAAGGTCATCTGGTTCATTCCGACGTCGACGTGCATCTTCCCGGGCTGAACTCGACGGCTTTCCAGCAGCTTGCGTTCCCCGAACGCGGCGCCTTGTTTCTGGAATTCTACATCTTCCGACCGTCGAATAAACAACAGGTGCTGGGCGCCACGGGCGTCTCCGGGGACGTCATCTACCACTTCAACTACACCCTGGACCTGTTCAACCTCCGGCGCCGCAGCCGCCAGAAGCTCCCCGGGGAGCTCGGTACGGTGAAAAACCCGCCACTCGCGAAGGCACCCCGGGCCACCTTCCTGGATATCAAATGCAAAAATGTCTGGGTCTGGAAACTTGTAATGCTGCGTTGGGAATAGTGAATGCTCTGTAATGCACAGGCAAGCATCAGAAATATCTGTGCTTCTTTGTGGTGCGTTTTTCGCATGACAAACTGCGTTTTTGCAGGACATGCAAAAGGGTCTCTTCTTGGACACGCATCACAAACTTTTTGGTCATGCCAGACAAGCATGACAAACTTGCATTCTTCCAGACCCAGACATTTTTGCATTTGATACTGGACTACGGAGAGGAAAATCACGGCGACGAGCTTTGTTCCTCCCGCCCGCAGCTCTTCGTGCAGGACTGCTTTCGCGTGGAGGAGGCCCAGACCGCGCGGTGGAAAGCCAAGCCCTACCTACGACCCTACTGCGAAGTGGAGTTGGAATCTGCAGATCACAGTTTTCAAGCGCCTCGGCAGGGACAGGAAAAAGGACCGTCAGTCGCGGCCTCATCTTCGTCCTCCAGTCAGGCGGGTCGGCGTGGAGATAAGAAGAGAGTGACGACGGGTACTTCCCAAAATTTTTCGCATTCCTGCAGCAGAGGAACACCTTCACTAGCGAAATAAAACTAGAAATGTTTATTTTGTTTTTCATATGACGGCCATGTCATTCGGTTTGGGCTTTGCTTGACGCACCATGAAGGTTTGTTTTGTTTGTACTTATTCATTCCTAAGTGTAAGTAGAACTTTGTGCAAAAGCTAAATTAACATAAAACTACAGCTACTGCTACACAACCGTTTTTTATATTCTAGGCACACCAGGGCGAACCGCAACGAACCCAGCGAGGAGACCTTCAGCCGGTAACTCGAACGAACTCAAGGTACCTGATGACGACGACGACCAGGACCTTTCGCATTACCCAAGCAACAGCCGCAAACCAGCCTTGATGCGGAGTAGTAGAACCAGTGCAGCGAGGACTTCGCGCCAGGCCCTGGTGAAACTCGCAAGAAAGACGGGGAGCACGGCGGACACGGTCCGTAAAAAACCTTCGGGGCGCCCTATCACCGCCTCCACGGGCCGGCACCACAAGTGCTTCCGCATGGCCTGGGCGCTGGGCCGCCCGCGCGGACTCTCCTACCACTTCGGCAACAGTCGGTCCTTCCAGAAAATGCGGTTTTGGGACCTGGTTCGTTTGAAAACGATCCAGAAAACGCGGCTGCAGCAGGAGAGCCGCGGGGGAGGTGGTGCCCCCGGAATTATTGCGACAGCGGGTGCAGGAAATGGCAGCAGACGACGCTCTGGCAGGCGGCGGAGGAGCGGCGATGAAAGCGAGCGTCGAAGCCAGAACAATGCGGAAGAACGACGTCACCACAATGAAAACGAAAATGATTTTTTCCCGTACTACGCGCACAGAAGGCATCGGGAAGAAATGGACGCAAATGCCGTGGAGAAGCTACCGTACGACGCAAACTATCCTGGGAGAAATAGCGACTGTCGTGCTCGTCGTCTGATAGTAATTGCATGAATCTTGCATGACAGCCGTTCTTGTCTCTGTGTGTCGAATCTGCAACGCAAATTCAGTTTTTCATGATTTCTTTGTCATGCAAATCTTACTAGCACAACAGGTTTGCAAAATGCATACGAATCATCCCTACCAGAACTCGGACGTGTACGAGTCTGCGGACCAGGTGAAGAAGTACTACTACCGTGCCATATCCTCTGCAAAAGTACCGTACTCGTGATAGGTAAATTGCGATATAGTAATTTTTGCATGACAGATTTTGATTTACTGTCATCTTACTTGTTAAATCTGCATGACAAACTCGATGTTTCGTATGCAATCATTTGTCATGCGAAGATCAAGTAGTCAGATCTCTACTGGTGCAATACCTTTTGCAAAAATGCATACACCGGCTGGAACAACCATCTTCTCAACCCGAATTGGTTTAGCGCGTTTCAAAAAGAGGACTGGCGCGAGCGGGAGTTTTTCGTGCAGAACGCGGCGCTGGCCGACCTCGATCCGTTTGACGGAGAGCAGGAATCCGAGCCCGACTCCGTGTTCGACGCGGATGACCGGCTCCGTGTATCAAATGCAAACATCGATCTGGGTCCTCTGCAAACTTGTGATGCGAAAATGTGGATAAATGGAATAAATCGTTCCGCATGCTGCCCAGCATGACAACGCCTTTCGTGGCCGAGAGCGCTTTCTCATAGGCAGTCTGGATCAGGTGAGTGAGACTGCGTTTCTGCATGACAAAAGAGGCTGCGACTTTTGTTGATTTTATGCAAAAGCAAAACTACAGATTTCCCAGGAATCGGAAGCTAGCATTACAAGTTTTTCAATTTTTCAGACCCAGACATACTTGCATTGGATACCACGAGCTGGACGACGAACTGGCGCACCTCGCCCAATATCGAATGCAAATGTGTCTGGGTCGGGAAAGAATGAGATTTGTGATGCATGCTTTCGATCATACAAATTACCACCTGTAGAATTGTGTATGTATTTCTCAACACGCAGCAGATTTTCAGGTAGGCATGAGAAATAACCTGTCGCACCACTGCAATTATGCTGCATCGCGGGTCATGTAAGATTTGCAGCACATCTCTCATCAATCTTCCCGACCCAGACAAGTTGGCACCGCACACCCAAGAGAGCGAGGACGACGAGCCGCTGCCCCCGCCGTTCCAAGTGCGGGAAGACCGAGCGAAGACGGCGACGCGCAACTACCTGAAGCCCTTCTTCTGGTGGGCCGTGCACCGCGCGCTCGACATGGAGGCGGCCCAGGTCGTGGTGCAAAGCTGCGTGGAGCTGGTCCGGGACCAGGTTGTGGCGGAGGAGGAGGCCGACCTGGCGACCGCCGTGCTGGACGCCGTCGCGGACAAGGTGGCGCGGAACGTGCTGGACCTCGAGCACGGCACCGTCGCCGACGCCTTGGTGCAGCATGCGGTGGACCGTGCGGGCGATCCAACCATATCCTGTGCAGAAGTATCGTACTCGTATTGCAAAAATCATGCATCCCGAGTCAATCCCCATTACAAATTTTATTTCTCATGCTGAGGATGAAATTTGTATATGCATTTATACGAGTACGATACTTTTGCAGTCCATAGACCAGTGGCGGCCACGATTTCGCCTCCACCGACCAGATTCTGCAGACCGTCTACGGAAACGCGGTGCACACACTGAGCAACGAGCACAAGGTGATCGCCCGGCGCACGCTCCACCGCATCTACGACACCGTGGTAGACACACTGCAACTCAACGAGGAGCAGGAGTTCGACGGAGGACAAAAGGAACAAAGCGAACCCAACGGGGGCCACCGGAAGGAGGACCTGCTGTTTCCCAGCACCTGGGGAAACCATAAAACGCTCGGTGGAGCAGACGGGGACAGTATCTACAGCATCGACACCTCAGACCACCAGTCCATCTGCGTTGTGGGCGACCCAGGACGCCCGAAGCTGAAGTCCGAGTTCGGCCCCTTCACGATCGGGTGCAAGGGAGTTCGCGTGGTCCGGCATTATTTCTCCATGGCCGCGGGGGATCGCGACTCGAATTCGTCGTGCGTAGCACAAGAGGACGGAGAGGAAGAGGAAGACACTGATTTATTTCTCAGCGAGGACCAACTGCTAGACCGGAAATACGAGGCACAGCGGCGGCGGCAACAGCGAAGACGGGACCGCCGAAGCGAGATTTCTGACGAGCGGGAGGTGCGCAAACAGGTGATGCGCAACGCGAAGAAGTTTCGGCGCGAGCTGCAGAAGCGGCTCCAGTTCCTCGGGGACGCGCACGGACTCGATATGGCGTTCTCAACTGTTACATTCTCAACTGTTACACGGATTTGCTATGCAGAATTGCCATCAGCCTCCACACGATCAAGGTGCTTAGCATGACAAATCCTCGAAGGGCTAAGCAGCATGATAATCCGTTCCAAATTTGTAATGCAAAACGCGCAATCTTTCCGCTTTCACATTTGCTGTTCTTGCATCACACATTCATGTAACAGTTGAGGATGTAACGTTTGAGAACGCCATACTCGAGCTGCGAAGCTTCGAGCACGACATCTTCGCGTCGGAGTACGGTGTTTTGAACCCGCACCGGCAGCGCCGCGGTCCTTCCGTCAAAGAGCTGGTTTGGTCCCAGGCGGTGAGGAGAGCGAGCAGTGCCGGGGCGGGGACCGGCGGAAGACGAGTGCGAACCAACTACCCTGATGATGAACCACAAGACGAGGGTCGTATTGTGGATGGACAGAAAAACTATCGTGCAACAAACGATCGTGGCGAAGGAAAACATGGTGCTCGTGCTCCACCACGACACGGTGCGGGGAATAAGCCCGAGGTGAGGAACAAAAGCGGCTTGCAAGATGAAGTTTCTCCGGTCGACGTGCAGGGGCCGATCTACGTCACGCACGCTGCGGACGCGGTCCCGCACGAGCAGGAAGAGAAACAGGGGAAGCGGGGCAGCAATATCCTGAGTAAAAACAACGTCCCCTCTACCCCAAGGCTGTGCATCATGAAGGTAGCAAATCTGCATCATGAAGGTAGGTGGTTCTTATGCGGAGCCCCATGAGAATTGTTTTCTAGTCGACGCGCGTCGAAAATTGTGATGCTCCAATGATCAGCATAATATCTATAGATCTTTGTTGATGTGATGCTGTTGTTGTTGAAGTAGAAGCGAATAACAGGATTGCACTACGAAGCGGCCACAGAACTTGTCATGCACAACAACCAAAGCTTGTTGATTTGTGTAGCAGATTTCCCGTCCTGACTACAAGGTGGGGACGTTTTCCCACGGGATAAGCAAGCGCGTGAACAAGCCTCCGCGTTCGGCGGGCCCGGCTGGGCGGTACGATGAAGACACGGGCCGCCCGCGGAGCTTCAGTAGCTGCTACGACCTTATGGATTGCAAAAATGTCTAGGTGTCCGGAAGAGTTAGAACTTGCATTTCTTGTTTGGCATTCCTGCTAAATCTGTGTTGCATGTTTGTGGCAGCTGCGCGGATTTTGTGTCAATGAAATGCAAAAAAGGAGTACTTTGTAATGCGGACGCGCGCTACTCACGCATGAAATAGAAAAAGCGCTGAAATAAATATTTGGCATGCGTGGCTGCACTAGGAAGACCAATTTTGGCCATTCAGCATCACAAGTTCATTCCAGACTCAGACCACATATTTGTGATGCATAGACCTGGTAGTACAGCAACACCGCGTGCGCGCGGCGGACGCCGAGGGAAGGCAAGGACCGGCGTATCCTGTGCAAAAGTATCGCACTCGTAGTATTTGCAATCATGCATTACAAATCTTTTGCTTAAGGTTAAGGTGAATCCGCCGGATTACAAATTTTATTTCTCATGCTGGGGAAATTTTAATTTGTAATGCAATTTATACTCAGTACGATACTTTTGCACTGCATAGGGCGGGAATTGCAGCAACTCGTGGTGGTCCAACGAGGAATTTTCAACCAGGCCTGGCGTTCAACCCGGATGAATTTCGCATCCTCCGAGCTAGGAATTGCAAAAGTATAAAGTAGTACCAAAGCATCGCACTGAAATTGTACTTGTAAAATTGATTATAAAGATAGTCAATCAGTTGCATCTTCTATAGTGCAAGACTTGTACTACAAGAAGTTCTTGCGTAAAAAAAAGCAATTTTTTGTCAACTACATGCCAGATCAACTAGAAGGATAGATCTGTCACGACGCATCATGCCTGGTGCGATGATCTTCACTACGAGTGTGCGATATTTTTGCAAAGGATACGAGCCGGGAGGGACCAACTCAAGATGTATCGGGAAGAGGAGGAGCAGGCGAAGGAAAGGGCGAAAAACCTCTGTAGAAGTGCCGCGTCAAAAAAAGCCGCGGGTGGCCGGAAGACGGCGTCCAGTACTTGTTCGTTTGATAGATAGTTTCATATTTAAATCAGCTTAAAAATCGTAGAGTTGATTTGCACTGCTGGACCTGATCCTGATAGTACTGTGTATTCATTTTTCACTACGCACGATCTTCAATCAATTGTGTTTCTTGCTTGCTACGGGGCGCAGAGACCCCAGACATAGCGGTGACAGTACATGAGGTCATCGTACGTAGCAAGTTGTACTTCTTCTACAGAACTCAAGAAAATGCGCCGTATACATCAAAGTACCGAATCAGATACAACAACAAAACCAGGTTACTACGACGACCGGAAAACCTACCAGTGGGATGCCCCGGTGGACGTGTTTGGGCGCGAGAAAGCGGAGATTCTGGCACAGTACAAAGAAAACGAGAAAGCCAAAACTCGGTCCGCCGGCGGTCGTGCGGGTGGGAGTGCGGTGGCAAGCGGTTCTGCGTGGAAACTGGATCTCGGCGAGGTCGATTGGATGGCGGCACTGCAGATGTAGTAAGCGAAAGCTGCTGGAAGTGGTAATGGCGTAGCTGTTATTTTTGGACAAAAGAAGGTCTGTTGCGACGCTCGTGTGAATGAAAGAAACAGAGTCTCTTGACGTTTTGTATTTTTTCTCCGTGAAAAAGAGAAAAAGGAAAAGCAGGAGTGCCTTGCTGAATAGAATACTTAAAAACACGAACTGCACATCACAAAATGAACAGTCTTTTGTGGGGAATATCTCAACTGAATGAGTTCTGTAAATATCGGCTGGCATCGGTGAATCAAGATCGAGTAGTTGCGCAAGACAAATTTGATCAAAGAAGAAAAAGATCGCGACCTCCAAGAAACTCACTCGAGGCCAATATGATTCAAGTAGGTTTTCAACCTCGTGCCAATGCTCTCCCTCGGGATCGCTTGTCTTTTTTTTTAACCGTGACGATATTAACCTTCGTGATTGCATAAAGTCCGAGGAAGTAGTACTGAGGGATCAAGTGCGAGAGGGACATTACATTTTAGGCTTACTACACGCATGTTTTTTTCATTTTTTCTCAAGCAAGTCTTTTGTAGGAAATTTAATGGAAAAATGAAAATCCCGCGCCGAACGCAGTCACTTAATAAGGGCGAAGGGAGGACAACGAATATGCTGTTCATTGCCCCTACAACTTGAGGGAAAAGTGGGAAAATTGATTTCGACCTGAATCGATAGTCTTTTGGTTTTAAAATGTATGTTAGGGCAGCAGACGGCTGTCCGGGCAGCAGTCTGCAGTAGTCTTTCGAGTTGTCTGGGGTCGTTCAGGGCTAAGGCTGCAAGAGCGGAATTTTCTACTGTCCTCGCCCTGGTAGTCGTTGTAGTAGGGTATTCAGAAGCAATAGGAAATTGCTCCTGTGCAGACCGTCGTCGTACCGGTACCGAGAGCGCCGCACAGGTGTACCTGAACCGCTCTCCTAGTTCCACCACGGCATCATCATTTCGTTCCATCGAACTTCTTCGAGGTCAGTCAACGACGCCGACCAACCTAGCCTCAGTCAACGACGTTACCACTAGGGTATCAGGGCAGGCTATTCCTGCCGCGCGTCGGAGGAGGGAGATGCGCCAAGCCCCGCTCGAACTAATCATCATCATTTGAGGTGGGCGGAACACAGTATTTTTGTATATAGTGCGTTCACGACTTATGGCAGATTGATAGTACGTGTACGAGTTGCTATGTTGATGCTCGCAACATTTTCTTCTCTTTGTACTTTCGAACAGACTGGTATAATATTCCTCGTCAACGAACCGGTTCAGATTGAGCACCAAAGGTAGTACTTCTATCTTCTTGCCCGCGGCCTTACTGGGAAGGGGAGTTGGAGTACGCGGACCACAGTTTCCAAGCGCCTCAGCAGGGACAAGAAAGAGGATCTTCCGTCGCGGCCACTTCTCGTCCAGTCAAGTGGGTTGGTGTGGAGAGAAGTACCAGGGAAGTGACAAGAGGCACTACAAGAATTTTTCGCATTCCTGCACCAGAGAAACACCTTCAGCAGCGAAAAACTAGTAATGTTTATTTTGCACTCCATATTTTAATTTTAGTTTTTCAAACTTGTGATTGGTCCTTGGTTTTGCTGTGTATCCCTAGGTAGTGATTCGTGCAAAAGCTAAAGCTAAATTCACATAAAACCACACACTACAGGGCGATCAACCGCAACGAACCCAGCGAAGCCAGCATCAGCCGGTAGTAGTATGGACGAAGTGAAGATGGTGATGCTTTGCAAAGTGCTGCGCGTCTTCATGTTGCCGGACGCCAAGGAACTGCGCCAGAAAGTCGTCAGCAAACCCTTCAACTTGAGCACCCAAGTTACTTTTATCTTCTTGCCGGCACAGGAGGTTTAGTTTAGAACAGCACCAGTAGCCTGCCTTTCCCTGTGGCAGTTCCGGCAGCAGCAGTGTCACTGTGGCGGTACGGAGGCAGGAAAGGCATCTTCTAGCGGCACTACCTAGAAGAAACACTACAACGTGCCGAAAGTGGACTACATCACTGTGGAGTGACGGCAATTAACCGTATTCCCCTTGCTCGTTCAACATCTACCACCTCTGCCCACCACTCTCTGGGACACGGCAGCAGAAGGATCACACGCTTCATCATCGATAGAGTCCTAGTGCTGGCCTATTGTGACAAAAAAAACCTGAACAACGGACACGGAGACCGAAACTACGGGAACACTTTGCGCGCCGGCGTGGATCCCATCTAGAGTCTCTTGAAGGAGAACAACCAGACCACCTCCTTTGAGTAACCGCAAAACCAAAAGCAGTGGGCGAAGATGCTGAACATCAACATCCGCGCTGGGGAATTCCAGGACCTGTACGAGTATGCATCGCAAAAGTATCGTGCTCGTACTCGTACACTTTGCAGCACAGCATGACACCATTGTTGAAATTGGTTTCTTATTCTTACGCTTCCCTCATTCAGCATGACAAATAAGTACATTTTTACTTTCTTTCTCCTTCTGGAAAAAATTGTATCAAATGTTATTTGTACCAGTACGATAGGATACTTTTGCAATGTATAATGAGCAGCTAGAAGAGAAGTATCCGCCGAAGCGCGCCAAGGAGAACTTGAACGCGCTCGTGGTGCATTCCGCCATGGCGTGTTTCGAGAAGAAACAAAAAGAGAGCCCGCCGGCGCCCGTCTTGATGACGCAGCAGCCCGGACAACAACCTGCCCACGCTGGTCCGTCGACACTCGGCCTTGAGTCGTCCGGTGCTCCGGCGGAGGCGATGAACATGATTCCCCTCTCGGCGTCGAGCGGCACTACGCCCGCCGCAGCGGCCCCAGCAGCTGCGGCACCAGCAGCGGCCACTTTGTCCGTACCTGAATCTGGCACCAGCAGCGGCCGCGCGGAAAATGGCAATGTTAGCGTTCCCGCTGCGAAAGCAAGCGCCGTGGCAGGTACCGCTAGCGCCGTTGTGGCAAGAAGCACCTCCGCGCTTGATGTTCATCCGGGCGACAGCGTAGCGAATCCTTCATCGACGTCAGGACCTGCTGCTTCGACTGCGCCTGTCGTTGCAGAAACTGCCCCGTCCACAAGTGCAGCTATTATGCATCGCAAATATTATATCATCTGGGTGTGGAAGTCGTGTTGCAACTTGTAATGCTGCTTTTTGATTCACATTCGAAAAAAATCTGTACATATTGCCTGAGCAGCAAACGAACTTTAGTTTTTCTTGCTACGCGGACAGGGCATTTGATTTCACACTGGATAGGCATCAAACAGGACTGAGAAAATCTGTGATGCTAGGGCGCACATCAGAAACATTGTAAGTTACAGTCATGCAAAATGTGAATGACCACGAGCGTTACATTTTTTCACACCCGGACATAGTTGCATTTGATAATTATTGAGAAAAGGACCAATCGCCGTGTCGCGGACGGATATCCTATGCAAAATCATCGTACTCGTAGTTGTAATTGCATTTATGCCTTACAAAGCCCTTTCTCAAGCTGAAAGTGAAACAGAAACTCAATCCGCCTGACAAATTTCGTCGCGTTGCTGAGCTACAACTTTGTTGTCTTGCAATAGCAATACGACGAGAACGAGTGCGATAATTTTGTACTTGATAACGGAACTGAAACTGCAAGAGAGGCGGGAGCTTCGAGTTCTTCGGAAAGCCACTCTTCCGCAACCATGGTCGTGAATTCGGGAGCCGGCAGCAGCACCACGCCTTTGGTGTCCGCTCCAACAGTTTTCTCGCCACCCGAAGCTGCCACTGACACTTCTGTGGGTGTGCCGGGGCTGGCGACCAACAACGACGAATATTTAACAACTACTGCAGCAACATCAAGTGGAGAACAACAAGCTTCAGAAGTCGCAGGGCCAGGCGTTGCCGCATCGTCCAACTTAACCGCGAGTAGCTCTGGTAGCGTGCCAGCCGGAGAACAAGTAGATGCCGCTGTTTCCTTGCAGACGATCCGTCCACCTCCTGGGGCGCCAGTTACACAAGTACGACTACAACTACTACCTCTACCTCCTCAATCCACTGTCAGAAACACGGCTTGGCGTCCGTTTCCAGTGCCCGTTCCAGACGAAATCGGCCGAGCTATCTACAAGTTCTTACCGGAGCCCCCGGTTTTTACGCAGGTTGACAAGTTGCTGCGGAATGACGTGATTCTAGGACTGCAAGTCACGGACGGGATGAGGACGTGGTACCCGAAAGTCAAGTCGTACAAGGAGGGCCTCGATCCGTTCATTGTCGACTTTGCTGACGATGTACCTGTGCGTTTGTCCTTTTTGCAACACGATTTTGTTAACGGCCAACCTGCATCCAAGTTGTGCTTGCGGTTCAAGATTCATGCTCATGGCGATGGGTATTACATTTATCTGCAAGAGTTCGCACATTGGACCGACTTGCAGGGCGGCTTCATGCTGAAATTCAAGTCCATTCGTCACGCCGGTACGGTCGTCAAATTGATCGTCCGCTTCACGCCCGACGATGTTGACAAGGACGATGTTGACAAGAACAATTTCTACGATCACCACCCTGTGAATCTGGTTACCGAAATTGCGAAATACGGCTGCGACGGGATTGCGGAGGTGACAAAGCACCTTCCCGGCGTAGAACGTGTCTACGACGGTCGCCGATCGACGCTTACGATTGAGCGGTACCACATGGACTTCAAGGAGGCCTTCCCAGGGTATCACCGACGGCGCACACAGCGGATGCTTGACGCAGCAAAAATTCCGATGCGATCGCAAGAGACGGACAACACCATTTCGCCAGAGCTGGTTGAGTCGGACGAGACAAATGCGCTACTAGCAGCACGCTTTCAGCCTTTTGCACATGATTTGGCGAACGCCGAACCGGGTTTCCCGAAGACGTTCGGAGACTCCAAAGCCAAAGTGCCCACAAACACTTTCAGGCTTTTTCCGAGAGTGGATCGCAGGTCTGCAGAAGTCCTGTTCCAGACCGGTGTCGTATCCGACGTGATTCCCATCAAGCTAGCGCAGTCCTTGGCGAGTACAGAGCCAGCTCTGCTAAGCAGCGTGTCATTTCATTTCCGACCGAACCCGCTTTCCGCCAACGAGGATTACGGAAAAGAAGGAGTAGTAGCGGAAACGGGAATGAGAATCATCCCCAGAGCAGATCCGTACTTCTTCCTCCATGGCTGCGATGGCAGTCTCGCCGTCGCCTTTCCGGAAATTGGATTTACCCAGGCGTCCTTCACCGATCTTTCTGAGATAGAGTCCCTGAAGTACTGTTACGTCGGGGGCCGACGACGGCTCAATCTTGTCGGGAAAAAGTACGACACGAGAGGTGCCACCTCCGCTCGCTGGAGCTATCGCGACAATCGCTCTAAAAGGCGGGATCGTCGCTTTTCGAGACCTCCGACAGCACTCATTTTCAGGACAGAGGATGGTGTCGAGCCTGCACTGTCCCTCTTCGTGCGCGTCCAGGATGAAAAGTTGTGCAACATCACTCTGTACTCCCCGCCGCTCCCGAAAAAGGGGAAAAAGCTCGCAGTGAAGATGTTGTCAACACTGTGCACCAACCACGGCGGGACGAGTTCCACCGCAACTGGCCCCTGCTCCAAACAGAAACTGCAATGCATAGCCGCGTTGTACGTGCTCGATGTCGGCGCGCAGTTTTGGGATCGCGAGAAGCAAGTAGTCACCCTGCCGACGTATGCTAGGTTTGCGTCCTTTGGGTCAAAAGAGGAGCTGGTGTACGCGTTGCGGGCCGTCCTAGGCGTCAACAAAGGGCTCGAAGGGTACCAAGAGCGTTTCAACTTAGGCAGCTTCAAGAGTGCCAAATTCCTCGCCGAGGGGGGAAGCGAATTGAGCCCAGCCGACAGGGAGCGACAACCCGAAAACTATACGGAAGCCCTCCGCCTGCGGCGCGGCGACGAGCTAGCGGTTCTTGGCGTTTGCGGAACGAAGGAGGAAGTGGAAAAGAAGTACGGGCCGCTGCGGGAATGGGACCTGGGACACTGCACCGACCTCTCCTGCCTGTACATGTGGACGCTGCTCGACCCGATGTACGACGTGTTCGCGCAGAACGACATGGATTATCCCGCAGTGAGATTTCGCCCTCTGTTAGAAGAATGTACTGCATGTCCTACATTCTCAACGAAAGACTGATCGTTATTTACGATATGTTTTGTAAGGTATGTGAAGACTGTATTGCAAGTGAGTAGAGCACCAGGACCAGGAACAGCAGAGCAAGATGATACAACAAAGCACATTTCATCCCGAAGAGCAGCAGCTGCTGCGAGTCCCGAAGCGTGTATTTGTAATGCTGCTCATCTTCCTTCCAGCTTTTGTCGGACATCCTCAGGACAGAAAAGACGACTTTGTTGAAGGCGATGTTTCTCTCTTGTTTGATGATTGGAATTTAGGAGTACTGCATGCCCAATCGCCAGGGAGGCTGTACGTGTGGGCGCCGATATGCTTCATGTCGTATGACAAGAATCCGGACATCTCCTGCTGGAACACGTCGAAGGTGACAAACATGTACCGCTGCTTCTGGAATTGGGACGATTTCAATCAACCCTTGACGGCTACGCAAGAGGACGAAAGTGTCGTCACGATGACGACGGTCATCATCGCTGGGTCATGCAAGAAGAAGAAAATATCTTCTGTCATAGTCATCTTTTTTTGTCCCAGTCTTCAATTGCTCTCTTTGTATACGTAAGACCATCAAGCGACTTGTTCTTCACATGGTTTTTTAGAAGTATGGTTTTTTAGAAGTGCCAAAGAAGATGGGTTCAACGGAAAAATTTCTGCAGATGATGATGATGATGATGATGATAATGATGACGACGATTTTCGACAGCATAATCTGGTGGGACACCAGCTCTGTAACCAGCATGAACGAGATGTTCTATGGCGCAATCAAGTTCGATCAGCCGTTGGGCCACTTTGACCTCAGTAACTTGGGCAGTTTGTTCGCCGAATCCGCGAGCCCTTGCCCCGCCGTGGGGCACTACAACGACGGCGGTTTGCAGGACATGCTTCGTGGTGCAGCGAATTTCAAGCAGTGGGAATCCTTGCGTTCGTGGAGCCCGGACGCGAACAAACTCGGCCAACAAATTCCCGTCGAACCCGAAGCACGGTGTTCGTTTTTGTTCGATCTCGTCAACAAGGAGAAGAACGCCGTTGAGAAGATGGGCTGCGGCGCCTACCTCATGCAAAGGGTACCCGTTGACTTGCTGTAAACGCCGTCCTCAACGTGGTCACGTTTTCCTGTGCAGAGGATTTCACGAGAGAAAAAGTGTGAAGAAAAACCAACAGCAGAATGTACCACGTTCAATTGCGCTTCTCAGAACCAGAGCTCCCACCTCAACCTCCATGTGAAGCTTCACTCAGATCATGCTTGTTCAGCCCGTCCGACTCCGACGATTTTTTTCATCGAAGAAACGGGTCAAATAAAAGAGTCGTCCATGTTTTACCTTGTGCCAGCATTCCTGATGGAGTCTCGGCCGAAAGAATTTCCCGGTAGACTTCAACTTTTTATATCAGATGCGAATATATATGGGTCTGGAAACTTGTGATGCTAAAGTGTGGATGACAGGGGAAACATTTCCGAAACCGAATGCAGCCAAGCATGACAATTCTCCAGAACCCTTTCGCATGCGACGCTGCGTTTTTCATTTTCTATGACAAGAGAGGCTGAAAATTTCCTTCGTCATGCAATACAGATTTCAGATTCAGAGGAATGCAAAGCCAGCATCACAAGTTCGAACTTTCCAGGCCCAGACATCGTTGCGATGAGTAGACTTTTTTGCATATGTTGCAGTTGCCCTTTCCATCCTGATGCAACCTCAATGTTAATCCAACGGCACGTTGTCTTATTATTGAAAAAATTATATCATTCTTATTGGCCACGATAATATACACCGGTAATTAAAGGTAGAAATCAAAAACCATTGGAATTACAGGTGAGGTGGAGTTCCGTTGAATAAATTCTTATATCTGTTGCGAGAAAAAGTGCGACCCACTGTTGTGTTGGAAAAACCTGACATCCGGTCCTGCACTTCTTGTCCGTAGTACGGAGGTCCGCACTCATTCTGGAAGTCAATGAGTAGAGGTAGTTGTGATCGGGGGAGCTTCGCCTGCGGCAAAACCAGCTCCTCGTGGCGCACCACGGAAATAGTTTCCAAAATCTGGCTGAATGCAGCAGCACGGAATAAATTTGTATACACGTGTCTCGAACAAAAGCGGCATTCGAATTGTAATTTTTCAAACGAAAGATCAAGACGGCACTGAAAGAAAATGTTTAAGCCAGCAACGATAATATAGAGAGTTTCGATTCCGTTTCCGACGACAACGCAGACTCAGCTCGTGCTGTTTTACCAGACTCCAATTTTTGTTCGCATGCATGCATGCCAGATCTTTTTTTTTGCGGGAGCGGAAAAGCAAAAACTTTAAAAAGCATAACAAAGAGCGAAAAACAAGAAACCAAAAAGATCTCGCGAGTGTAAAAGCCTTGCCTGATGATCAAAATATATTTTAGTGCTTACGTTTCCATATTTCGTTTGTATGTTTCAGCCACAACCTCGTGATTGAGCTTGAGCAACTAGATCCGCACTTATAGTGACCGTATCAGTATTCGTAGATATCTTTGGAAGCCTTTCCCTTTGATCTCAGGTCTCTTTGATTGCTTCATTCCAAACAAATTGTCTCCTGTACTCGGGCCAAGATCCTCATGATCTCGTTAGGACGTATAGCTGGGCCGTGAAAGTTCGTTAATGCCAGCCTCTGCCCGCCACTCTCTCTGTGGGACACGGCAGCAGAAGGATCACACGCTTCATCATCGATAGAGTCCTAGTGCTGCTGGCCTACTGCGAACAAAAAATCCTGAACGACGGGAACCCAAACTACGAGAACACTTTGCGCGCCGGCGTGGATCCCATCTAGAGTCTTTTGAACGCGAACAAACCAAAAGCAGTGAGCGAATATGTTGAATGTCTACATTCGCGCTGGGTCGTCACGGTCTAGCAGTCGGTAACGCCATACAACAGCAGCTCTACGTCGAAGAACACTTCGCTGCCCTGGGTGGCTTCGACCATCGGTTGCGCGAGATTGGGAATTGCAGCGTAGTCTTCCTCGATGACTGCCAATCTTCGAATGCTGTAAACACGTTTGAGCCGGCGCCGGCCCAGATCACGTTAAAATCTTACCGCAGCAGTCTTCGCATCTTCGGTCAAAATGGAGGATGAATTTCTGCCGCATTCTTCATGTTCATCTGCAAGGCACTATAACCTCTTCGCACCCCGTGTCCGAGACAGTCGAGCTTTCCGAAAAATGCGCAAGATGCAGAATCGGGTCTCGCAGCATCCTCGTCCATTCCGAACCTCCTATGGATATGGAATGTAAATAAATGAAGAGATTGGAAGAATGCATAGCTTTGTCATGCATCTCGCGGACCACAACCACCACACACATGAGCAGGAATGCACACAGAACCATGACAGATTTTGCGATACCTTCCTCAACCACATGCCTATCCTGCATGAGACATCCACCTTTTTCCTAGCAAAAGGCGGGCAGCTTTTTTTGGCGTACACGCAATACAGATTAATTGATCTGGGACCAGGGTTATTAAAAGAGCTTAAGGCAAGACTACAACAGATTTTTTTTATTTTTTGTGGTTGGGCGTAGCGGGCGGGCCTCCCCTACAAACACAGATCCGGCTAGAATTGGATCCCGGTTGTATTGTGCATGTCCCTGCAATTGAAGGGCGGAAGGCTCATAGCATACCACACCCTACCGCTACCACCGAGACTTGCATGACAAGCTGCAATCTTCCAGGCTCAGACATATTTGCAAGCTATAATGGGCGCGACTTCACGACAGATGAGGACAATGTGATGATCTCTCGAAGTTTTTTCGATTCCGTCCTGGGCCCGCTCCTCCGGGCCCTCGCCTCCACAGAATCGCAGCGAGTAGAAACTTTCGAGAAGCTCGGCATTGCAGCGCAGGAACACATGATCAGAAAGCGAGGAGTAATTAAAAAACAGCAGCAAAACAACCAGGACAATAAGGCGGATGACGAGGATAGCAAGGTCGCTGCACAGCAGCTCCTAATTGAAGAACACTTCGCTGACCTGTTCGGGTTCGGCCATAGTTTGGACGAGATTGCGAAGTGCGGCAGCGACGTGATGCTTTGCAAAGGACTGCATGTCTTCATGCTGCCGGACGTCAAGGAAGTGCGCGAGAAAATCCAGCAGCAAGCCGCCAGCCTGGGGTCTCCCTTCGTCGATGGGGAGCACAATACCGACCACGAGCACGCTGCTGCCGTGCTGGCAAGACTCGGCGAAGTGCGTGATTTGTACGACCTCATCGAAGACTTTGGAAATTTGGCGGTCGACCTCAAGATTTACCAGGAGTGTTTGGAGGACCAACTCGAGGAAATGGAGGGCTTCGACGACCCTGAGGGTTTGGAGCCGCCGTGGAGTGGCCAGGGGAGGCCTCGCAGACAGGAATCTTTGGCGGACATCAGACATTGGACCCGTCTTGGGCTTCGTTCACTACCGGAGAAGGCCCCCACCGCCTCCTTGTTGCCAGCAGAAGCCTCGCAGCGTGAAGTTTCTCGGAACCGCAAACTGCTCAGTCCATTGGGAGTCGAGTCCATTCCTTTGATCGCGTTCAACGTCGTAGACCTCGCCGACAACACGATTGCGGAGGGCAGGGCAGACATAGCAGCAAAGCACTTGGCGCATAAAAAACAGCAGGACATAAAGATGTTTTTCGATCTGCTGCGAAAATGCAACGAGCGGAGGAACGACACGGATGCATTTCACATCAGCGGCTTCGGACCAGAGTGTCCGCTTGTTGGCATGCTCCCGACTAGTTTACACACCCCCGATGGTATTGAGCCGGCTTCGGCTTACAACTTCATACAGCTACCGATGCGGTGGACCCTGGAGTTGACGCTGTACAACAAGTTGAAAACCTCGATGGCGAGATTCAAGGAAGCAGCACACGTCCACCTTGTGCAGGCACTTTCGGTGTCACCAGGAGTCTCAATTGAACACGATCCGAAGTTCGCATCCTTTTTCTTCGGACCGGCGCACGGCCCTGCAGGCACGGTCGATGCGTCAGAAACTACTGGTGCTCCGCTGGGACGAGGTGCCTCGTCTGCGTCGATTCCCGCAAATCCGTTACCCGCACCTTCCCATCACGCAGTGACATCACCTGCGCAACACCTACACCCAAGGACGCCATTGCCCGAAAAACTCGCGTACATGAAACTGGAAATATGGGAGGACCGGTTTCTCCAACTTCACAGCTACACGATTGGAAAGAAGCACCGGGTGCAGAAAATTTCAGGCTCCGTGGACGGCAGATACGGGGGGCCGCGGAATCTTGAGAGTAAATCTGAGACTGACTGCGTCTTCGGTTTCAGTGTCGTTCCCCACACGGGCAAACTTCAAACACGATATAATGGACTCTGTGGATTGCGTGCATCAAGCGCAGGAAACGAGGAACTCATCAGTCTCCCGACCGCAGCTGGAGTGTACACAGCTCTCGCTGATGCGGTAGGTGGTGCTCGCGCTGAGCTTCTTGCAGTCCGGAAGAGGACGCGTTTTCCACCAGGATCAGGGCAGAAACCGGAAGGCATGGCGAAGTTGAACACCGTACACGGAGGGTGCTACTTCTATTTCAAGACGGCAGTCGAGGAAAAAGATTTCATAGCCGACTTCAAGGCATTCGCCAACATCATCACGCAGTACACCGCAAATACCGCAGCGGCGAGGAAGTTACGGAAGGTGATGCGCATTAATTCCGAGCTGGCAAAAGGTATCTGTCCGTGGATGAGCTTCGTCTATCCATCCGAGGTTTCGAAGATTAGTTTTAAGAAGGTTCGCTTTTCAATCCCGGAAATTTCGTCCGACGCCTACCCCGACTTGCACGATCCGGACTTAGGTGATGCGACCTGGGCCGACCTTGCGCGAGCAATTTTTTCTCATCGGCTGAAAAATATCGACGAAAAGAACAAGCAAGACGAGAGTAGCCGTGATGCTGATGGCACTAGTGGCGATCTCGAAATGTCCTCAGCGCCGGGCGAAACCATTTCGGTGCGCGATCCAGTGAAGATTTACGCCGCTTTTCCGGAGGACGAGGATGAGATACCGTCCGATTCGTCTGCGGATGACGACAACGAGGCGGGGTGTGCGCACGACGGTTTGGATGAAAGGAGCGACCAAGAAGAGAATCCGTGAGCAGACGGTGATGAATGAACACCGGAGCCAACGACAATCCCGACGAGGAGGTCGACCACGACAGATGAGGGTCCGGTTTACAGCTACTTGCAAACAACGATAACACCGCCGCGGAGGCGCAGAACTAAACTTCAAACCTCTTCTGCGGAGAAAATTTCTTCACGAACAAGAACAGTTACAGCTCTCTGGCTCCACCAGGTTTTCTTTCTTTGGCTCATATAGTGTCATGCAGTTTTGCATTTAAATCACTTTTCGATTCTCTTCATCTCTTTTTTACGAATACATTGCGTGACTAGCAGCTGCCTCGCGTTCTTCAAAACGGTAGTGCCTCTCTCAAACGTCATAGACACAAACCTTCGCTGCAGTAGCAGATGCAACAGGAGAATAAAAATGAAAAAAAAAAACCTACTGAGGTGGACACGAGGCTGCAACGTCCCAGTTGGTCAGCAGGTAGCGAAACACGCACATTGCGAGAAGAGTGCCACTGAAGCCAAAAGTTTCTTTTGTCTGTCGCGAAAAAAGATGGAGGGACGACGGCTCCATGGCAAACATGTGAGGCTTGTTCCGCAAACTTTTAGTATTATCCGAGACCGGTTGTTTTCTGGACGAAGGTTTTTATAATGAACTGCTTCTGATACCGAAGCACAGTACTTCTATGTCGATTTTTTCGAGCCACACAAAAGTACACTTTTACTGTTTATGTTTTACGCGGCCTACGACAAATTATGTTGACGACAACGGAATAGTGTCTACCAGTGCAGCGAAGCAGCGAAAATGCTTGCAACCACGGGTGGCCCAAAGCGAAGGCTGCAACGTGTAAAGGAAAGATGTAAGTTTGGATTCCTACTGGACGGCGGATAGGGGAGCAAGTCTGTTCTTTTTATCACAAAGTCTGACCTGCTAATGGAGATGGAATCACTTCAAAGAAGCTTTGCGACCTTCGCTTGCACGAACAAGAGTTCTCGGACGTTCGCGTCGGCCGGTCTTATTTCTGTCTGTGCTACAGCTGCTGGATCCTGATCCTGAAGATCGAAATCTTTGCCTCATTCGACGACAAGCTCTCGCCACGTTTTTTTTGCGTCGGCATCTAGAAGCGATCTACAACTCGTCCAAAGTGCGAATACGTGTGTTGAGTTCTCAGAGTCTGGAGGCGCCCTCTCAACGTGATCCCGTGCAACTCACTGAGTGTATGTGATCTCAATGCAGCTGCTGTCGGTGTAACGATGTGTCTCAAACTGATGTTGCGGTTCCCGAAAAACATAATTGAGGAGACGAAGCAACGGTTCCAATTTTGATGTTTGGTATACCTTCGATCAAACTGCTTAGCACAGGTACTCAAAAACAAAATAGAAGACGGATCTGAAATCTCTAAATACATTCCTGTGACAAGCAAGGATCTGGAATCTCGAAACACGTTTTTCTGGAAACGTGGAGATCGAGTTGAATCGAATGCTTGTCCTCTGATGCTGCAAAGACTCCACCTCGCTCGGCTGTGGGACTTCGTCTTCGATTGGTCGAAATACTGTACCTTTGAATAGAGCACAGAGTTGCTCCACGTGGGCTTCGGAACTTCGGTTGATCGAAATATTATATTTTGAAAAGGGCAAAGAGTCCACGTCGGCTTTGGGGCTTCCATTGATCGAAATACTATATCTTGAATAGGGACTTCGACTTCCATTGATCGAAATCCAGGAGGGTTGCAATTGATCGAAATGTAGAATTTTAGGGCAAAGAGTCCTCCACGTCGGCTGTGAGATTTCGTCTTCGATTGATCGAAATGCTATACCTTAAATAGGGCACAGAGCAGTCCATGTTGGCTTTGGATATCTTTGGAAGCCTTTTCCTTTGATCTCAGGTCTCTTTGATTGCTTCATTCCAAACAAATTGTCTCCTGTACTCGGGCCAAGATCCTCATGATCTCGTTAGGACGTACAGTTGGGCCGTTAAAGTTCGTTAATGCCAGCCGCGATCAGAATCAAAGAGATACCTGTCTACTCCCCCCGCTATCTTCTCTATAACCCGTATTGCCACCGCCTCGGGTCTCGTACTTCGGTATTTCGAACAAGTAATCCCACATTTTTTGTATGACTCATAGATCACGGTGGCACGATGTTTGATTTGTTTTTTTCTTTCCCATCGGCCAACGATCCTCGACAAGAAAACGACAGGGAGAATCTTAGTGATTCTATGACGAGATATCGATATCGTAAAATATAATTTACTAACCAACTAGCGAATTTGTTTTTTGATAGAGGCAACACCTCCTGTACCCTCCTGCTAGATTATAGAAAACCCCTTTTCCTACGTACCCTCCATCAATACGAGCGACATTTTTTGGATATGGTAACACCTGCACCTCCCTCCTGGTGAATAAAATATTGTATATGGATAATTGCAACAACTCATGTATCCCCTTTTTTATTGGAATATTAACTGACTAAAGAGTCGGTAAAAGGCTTTTAAGATGTCGTCGGACGAGCTCCACGAATCAGCGAAGGATAAGACTTAAAACAGCTACCTGTCCACATTTGCAGTGCTGACGTTGTCACTTTGCATTCCCACCTTCAGCGAACAGGACAGCGACAGCCTTCGTGGTCGCCGATGGTGGTTGTGTTTGTGAGTGCGACCAATAGTACAGCCGTCCGCTTCGTCATCCTGCGTGAAACCACGTAAGAACTACATCGACGCCTTCTTATGCTTCATTTGCACTGCTGAGTTTGTATCTGGTGCATCAGCCGGCAACTGTACTTCCGATCATTCGGAGTGCACTTCAGTGGCTGTGTCTTCTCTTGCATCGGTCGCGGCAAAAGTCTTCCAGATGTGGACAGGTGCGGTTTTAGTTGCATACTCTGCGAAGCTGCCAGCTCCGGCACGGAGGCCGCGCCCGGGGGGCCTTCCATCGTGGTCCTTGGTGACAGGGATCACGTAGAGAAGCGCCCCGCCATCTACCTGGGGCCGGGTGCAGTTACCTCGGTAACTGCGCCCGTGGTCGGGCGTGGCGGGCGCCTCGAATTTCGTGAGGTCCAGAAGGTTCTAACAAGTGCAAAAATGTCTGGGGCTGGAAGATTGTGGCGCTTGTCTTGCGTGTTTTGCGCGGCCCATGGTGTGCGCTGTATGTAATGCATGGCCTAGCACCCGCCACAGACTTTCAGAGGGCTTCCTGGTGCATTGTCCGCATGACAGACCGCACGCACTGGAACAAACTGGGCTGCCATTGTTGCCCATGCAACCAATAAAATACTTCGCTTGATGAATTATCGAAAGACAGGAGCACAGGTTGCACCCTTCCAGACCCGGACATTTTTGCAGTGCATAGCTTCCGAGGTTGCACAACGCGGCGAAAGAGATCTTCGTGAACGCGTCGGACCAGGTCTTTCGCGAATCCGGTGCCGGCGAAAACAAAACAAAAGCAATCCGGATCAACCTGAACAAAGAAACGGGCGAGATCGTGGTCAGGAATAACGGCTCTGGGATACCGATTCGGCAGATGGACGTAAAAACTGGAGCAGATCACCCCTCTACCGTGATGTGGGAGCCAACAGTGGTCTTCTCGGTTTGGCGGTCCAGTTCGAACTACGATGACACGAAAGACCGGACAACCGCCGGGCAGAACGGCCTCGGGGCCAAATTAACCAATACGGTCAGCAAAAAGTTTGATGTTGAAACCGTAGACGACACTACGAAGAGGCGTTTTCGTCAGTCGTGGTCGCGCAACATTATCGAAGGAAAAAACTGTTTCACTGTGGTGATATGGAAAAACTGTTGTTTATTTTTTCGGTGTGAAGTTCCAAAATTTTTTGAAAGCAAGTTTGCATGTTGCTTGTGACGTGTGGTCTATTTATTTCAAAACTACATATGATCAGCGATTTTTCGAGATGACCACAGTTAAAAAGTTTTTCCCTTCGAAAAACATGAAAGAAACGACGGGGCCTGTTGTGGAGGAAAACGTCACCGCCGAGCCGTACACGCAGGTGGCATTTGTTCTGGATTTTCACAACTACGACACGGAATCTGCTGACGCGGAGCAATTGGATGCGGACCAGCTTGAGGAGGACAGGCTCGGTCTGCTCAAAATGCTCGCCTATGAGACCGCGCTAGTGGTAGCAGGGAAGTGCCAGGTACTTAGACTTACTAGCTACGTCGGTTTGACTGATATTACAACCCTTTTCTCGGTGCGAGCGTATTAGTTGACATCATAGGGACAAAGATATTGATATTGGCATGACCGGAAAGATTCTTGCTTGCCCCGCCTCCGGTTATTCTGATCCTCAGGCATAATCCATTGAAAATTTGAATGTTAGAAATATTCTTCAGGTGTATTTGAATGACGAGCTGCTGCCGATTTCTGATTTGAAGTCCTTCGTCGACCTCTTCGAGCAGCCGAAGCTTGACACTCCGGGCCTCAAGTATCCGCGACCGGTCTGCTACGAGGTCTTGAGCCAGGACTGGGAAATTGCGGCTCTAGCCGGAGACGGCGCGTCGTTCAAACAGCAGAGCTTCGTGAACGCGATCAACACAGTCGACGGCGGCACACACGTCGACTACATCAAGAAGCAAGTCGTCGACGCGTTGGCGAAGAAATTGAAAATCACCACTTTCGCGGAGTTATGCAGTGCAAATATGTCTGGGTCTAGAAGAATGCGACGCGTCTCATGCTCGGGAGCCAGCAGCATTTTTCTCAAGTCTGTCATGCACATTTCTCATGCGCCACTTTTTTTCTCTTTCATGCGAATGATTGAAGTGTCCTCTTGATTGTCCAACTCGCATCACAAGTTTCCAGAACACCAGACATAGTTGCAGTGGATAAAAAAAGAAAATTTTAACGAACCAGCTCTGGTTATTCGTCAAGTACCGCAGGGACAAGCCCGAGTTCGGGACGCAGGTCAAGTATGAAATGCAAATATGTGTAGGTCTGGAATATTGCAAGAACAAGATCTGCCATGCTTTTCTGGCGTGACTCTTAACTCTGTGGTGCTGAGACGCGAACAGATCCTCCTCTTAAAACTACGTGTTATGCAAAAATACAGGCTGTCATGCGGGGTACGCAGCACAAAGGAGCTCAAAAACTTGTCATGCTTGGGCATCTATTGTGATGCGCCTCTTCTTCACGGAATTGCATCACAAGGTGCCAGACGCAGACGCATTTGCATTCGATACGAAGGACCAGCTGACTAAACCATCTGTCAAGCAAATTGCCCGCGAGCAGGCAGTGTGCATACCGGATAGCTTCATATGGGATTGTCAGAAGTTACATTCTCAACTGTCACATGCAAAATTACGATAAAAAAGCCGCCATACGATCAAGATGCTTCGCATGACAAATTCTCCGAGGCTAAACAGCATGAAAAACTGTTCCAAGTTCGTATTGCGAGAGTTGCAGCCTCCACGATTCACTTTTGTATTCGCTGTCTTTGCATATACAAACTCATGTAACAGTGGAGAGTGTAACGTTTGAGATTCCGATACCTTATCAACTCGATCCTGAAAAGCGGCGTCGCCGAAATGTTCCGAGCGGCTGCGAAGGAGAGGCAGCACAACAATATCAAGCGCAAAGATGTCCGGGTCTGGAAGAGTGCAGCCTTGTCACGCTGTCTCGCATGCCCCTTAAATGTGTAATGCAGGAAACAGGAAAAAAAAGCCAAGCCGATTGCCTGTCATGCAAAAGCGCAGTTTGCCACGCGGAAAGCGAAACACATCCAAGTGGGAGCCCAATAACTTGTCATGCAGTGGCGTGTATTGCCATGTCACAAAGCAGCACCACAAGCATCCAGACCCAGACATATTTGCATTTGATACACAAAATGGACCAACAGTTTAAAAGCACGAAGGGGCACAAACGGATTCTAGGCCTCCCAAAACTCGAAGATGCGAACCACGCCGGTCACGGGGAGAAGTCGCAGGGCTGCACGTTGATTCTCACTGAGGGCGACAGTGCAAAGGCGCTCGCGGTACAAGTTGGTTATATTTGTACTACATTTACTTCTCTAGACTTTCGTACATTTTCATTTTGATTTTCCCGGACACGCATATAATATGTGGTGAGTTCGCTTCTAAAATCGCAGAGGAATGATCATTATTCCATGCGTGCTCGTGTGATTAATAGAAAGTGAAGGTAAAACCTAAGTCCTGCATAAGTATCAACATGACGTTTACCTCCAGGTTGCCGGCCTCGGCGTTGTGGGCAGAGACAAATACGGAGTGTTTCCCTTGAGGGGAAAGGTTTTAAATGTTCGTGATTGCAGCGATGCCCTATGACTTGCAAAATTATCGCACTACCACTAGTCGTGAAGAGAGTAGCAATCGCGTTTATGCAGTACGAATCTCCTTTCCGAGACAAATTAGCACTGCAGATTCCATTTGTCATGCTGAGCAAATTTGTCCTGCGATTTCTACTAGTCGACAACTTTTCTGATGGCTTGGATCTCCTTGCTGTCGTGGAAGGATGTGTGTGAATGCACTCTACTTCGTGTGCGATATTTTTGCAATTCATACATCTTGTTTCACGGCAACAAGGAGATCCAGGCTATCTGTCGTATTGTTGGTTTGCAACCGCACGTGCCAAATCCGAATTATGAAGTTCTCTACTGTTGCGCTCTCAACTGTTGCGCAAATTTCCATCAATATTCACATGATCTAGCAGCTTCGCGCTAGATAGCATCAGGATCTGCGCCAAACCTGTAATGCAAAAAGCGCAATCTTTCCCCTTTTACTTTTCCCACTTTTGCATTGCAAATTTATGTAGCAGCTGAGAATGCAACATTTGAGAACTCCATGCGAAAAAGAAAGACCTTCGATACCAACGCATCATGATCATGACCGACCAGGATTTAGACGGGTCCCACATAAAGGGCTTGCTTGTCAATTTGTTCTTCTCCAAGTGGCCGTCTCTCGTGAAGGACAACGACTTTCTTTGCCAGTTCATCACCCCGATCGTGAAAGTCCAGAAAGGGAAGGAGGAGCGGATGTTTTACTCTCTGGCGGTGTACGACGAGTGGAGGAAGGAAAATAACAACGGTACTTATTTCTGCATGACGTGACTCACATTCATCGGGGCCGCGCCCGTCCTGCGTACTAGTCGTTATTTCTACGCAGACCGCGCTTGCGTGAGGCGGGACATGCAGAAACAAACAACATTCCCGAAATTTTTGTTTGCAAAAAAAACCAACACTCTTCCGCAGGTAAAGGCTGGTCCATCAAGTATTACAAAGGGCTTGGAACCAGCACAGCTGCTGAGGCGAAATCCTACTTTCGCAAGATGGATGAAATTATTCGGAGTAAAAACGTCCCCTCCAGAAAAACCAGAGTCAAGCTTAGATCTCTTCAGCACAAATCCAGAAGTTTTGGGATTCGCGCATGACAAACTTTCCGCTATATTGTAATGCAAGCGAGCGAGGGCAGCCGCATCACAAGGCCCTCTCCTCGTCCTCAACCTCATCCAATTTGTAGCATGACAAATTCCAAAACTCGACTGGAAATGCTTCTCTTGGGGATGCTCATTCCAAGTGTTCGCACCATTGCAAACCTGCATGACCACTATGTGGTGGGGACGTTTTTACTTTGGATAGCAAACAAGATCACGTTTGAGTACGACGATGAGGCGGACGAGACCATTGACCTCGCTTTCAGTGCGAAACGCGCCGACGACCGCAAGCGGTGGATGGCCGGCACACAGGCGACAGATGTCGTTGACTATCGGAACAAGACGCTCACATACACGGATTTCGCAAACAAGGACTACGTGCATTACTGCAAGTACAGTGCGGAGCGTGCGATACCGTCTGTGGTCGACGGATTGAAGCTATGCAATGCAACAGTATCGCACCCGTATAAATTGCAGCCATGCCGTGCGGGGGCAAATATTTCTCCAAACCTGCAGCAGAATGTATTTTTTAAGCCGCCGGGGTTTGGCTGGTTTTTTATAAAATCCATCCTTGTATTGCAATTGCCCTTGCAGACAGACTCCGCTTTTGTTCTTGCCGAAGTTAATTGTGTTTCAATTCGTATATACTAGCTCGATACTTTTGCAATGCATAGAAGCCGACCCAAAGAAAGATCTTATACGGTGCGTTCAAAAAGAAAATGAACAAAGACCTTAAAGTGGCCCAGATTATGGAAGAAAAAAGTGTTTGTGCATGCACATAAGCTGAGGATTATGTTCCTCATAATGTAATGTGGAACGTGTCGCAGCCTGTTGATGTTTAAGGATTGGACAAACCTGCGCGCGAACTTGTACGCGGACCTGAAAGTGATAGTGATGCATGCGCGACAAACCTTCCCTTTTATGCTGATGCAAATGCTTTTCTCCGCGATGCAACTGGTTGGCTACGTGTCAGAAAACGGGTGCTATCACCATGGCGAGACCAGCCTGGAGGGAGCGATTGTAGCGATGGCGCAGTCGTACGTCGGCTCAAACAACATCAATCTGCTCGTTCCCAGCGGACAGTTCGGCACGCGTCACTTGAAGGGAAAAGACGCTGCTTCGGGGAGGTAGGTTCTATTTATTTGGTTTTAGCAAGCGAGGTTGCGAGTCTCTTGAGTAATAGATTGTGCCTCGTCCGCGTGCACTGGCATGTCGCAAGATTTTGTCCCAGCCGCGTGCACTTCATTCATTTACCACTGACTCAGGTACCTCTACACGCGGTTGAGCCCCGTGACCCGCAAGATCTTCCCGGAGGCAGATGACGATGTTCTGGAGTACAAAGAGGACGACGGCCAGACCATTGAGCCGACCTTCTTCGTCCCGCTAATACCGATGGTGTTGGTAAACGGCGCGAGCGGCATCGGGACTGGCTACTCCACTGATGTTCCGAGCCATTCTCCAATATTATGCATTGCAAGAGCATCCTGCTGGTGTAAATGGCAGTCATGCAGGACAAATCTCGCTTCCTGGTACCTGCATCAGCACGAGAAATTCCAGGGCTCTTCTTGAGAAAATGCGTCCTCCTGTGACATGACTGACATTTATGCTAGTGCGATGCTTTTGTAGTGGATAAATCGCGATCATAGACAACATCAAGCAGCAACTCCGTGGAGGGCGACCGCGGGCACTGAAGCCGCACTACGAGAGGTTCCTCGGTGAGGTGATACGAAGTGCAAAAGTAAAAGTATAGCACTCGTATAAATGCATGACAAATTTTCATCTCAGCATGAGAAATAAAATTTGTCATCCTGATTTACCTTGAGAAAAATATTTATATTTGTAACGCAAGACAACTTACACTTGCGTTTACACGAATGCGATACTTTTGCCTTGATAGGAGACGCCGATCGACAAGAACGGAACTTTCGTGATCCAGGGCAAGATTATGAAGACTTCGCCGACGGTGCTCGAAATTGTCGATATCCCCGTCGGTAATGGATCCGATTCGACCCGGACCTACAAGGAGATGCTCGAGCGCTTCGTCGATCCGCCGAAGGTTGTCAAAGATGCGTATGGGATTTATCTCAAACGCTATGGTCTCAGCTGTTACATGTTGAATTGGTCACGCAAGAGAAGCAAGAGTAAGTAAAAGGAACGAGGACGACCTATTTGCGTGTCTTGCATTACAGATTATTTGGCAAGGGTTATCAGCCTGGTTTTCCCTTCGAGAAATTGTCATGCAGGGCAGCTTGATCGTGTCGATTCTGATTGTAAAACTTAAACTATTGCATGGAAAATGATGTAACGTATGAGAGTGTAACGCTTGAAAGTCTCATAATGCGAAGACTGGCAAGTCGAAGGCTATTGAAGCGCCACCGGAACCCGTCATCTCTGATTACCGGGAGTACCACACCGAAGACACGCTGCATTTTAAGCTGAAACTCACGGAAGAACAAATGCAACGGGCGGAGGCGAGTGGTCTTCAAGGACTTTTCAAGCTGAACCAGACGCAATCAACAGCCAACATGATGCTGCATGATGCAGAAAACGTCATACGCCGGTACCCATCTGCGAACGAGATCATCAGGGACCACATGATCGTGAGGCTTCAGCTGTACGAGAAGCGCAAGAAGCACCTGATAGCAAAGCTCACGTATCCCCAGGAAAAACATGGTCCCCACCCCATAGTTGTCATGCAGATTTGCCGCTACAGGAAGATTTGTAATGCGCATTGCCAAGAGAGGCATTTCCAGTTGCGTTTTGGACTTTGTAATGCTGTAAACAGGATGAGGAGATGGATTTGTGTTACGGCTCTAGAAGTACTTTCCATACTGCACTACAATACAGAGACAAACTGGTCATGCTTGACGCTAAAAACTTCTCGATTTATTGTGTTGCGAGTTTCCCGTGGTCTTGACTCTGGGGTGGGGACGTTTTTGCTCAGAATATTACCGAAGAAAAAGTGATTCTCGGTGAACGTCTCCGTTTTACCGAACTGATGGTGGACCCCGATTTCAGAGTGTTGATGGTGCAGTATCCTCTGCAAAAGTACTATCGTACCCGTAGTAATTGCGTTCGTGCATTACAAATCTCTTTGTCAAGGTACTTCAGCATTACATAATTTAGTGTAATTTGTATTGCTGGGCTAATTTGTAATGCAATTTGAATTTCAATTTATACTAGTACGATGCTTTTGCATTGCATATAAAAGGAGAGGCCGAAATTCATGCGGCACTCGCGCAGCACAATTTCAAACCGATTCGCGAGCTGCGACAGCTTGTTGCCAGTTCCATCGCGGAGGACAAAGAAGTAGATCTCGTTGCACAGCAGGACTTTCCGGGCAGTCAGAAGTACACGAGAGACGACTTCCGCTACTTGACAAGTGCTGACATTTACGGATATACGATGGAGGAGGTAAGTGCGAATTATAGGTTTGCTGCGTAGTTGTATGTGGCTGGTTACACTTCACTGCGCACGTCGCAGAAAATTCAGCTCGGGAAGAACTAAGTACATGTATGAATATGCGTATCTATGGAGGTTGCAAGAATAGCAATTCAAGCTCGAAAAGGATAAGCACTATGAATGTTGTAATCGGATGAAAACAAAAAACTTGCAGGTGAACCGGCTTCGCGAACAAAGTCAGGCGAAAGCAGCGCTGCTTGAGGAAATCAAGAAAAAGTCGGTGGAGCAGATGTGGGACGACGAGCTTTCCGAGTTGCGCGAAATGCTATGACAATAGACTAACCCGCCCTCAACATTTGCAACCCAAGATAAGAAATCCACTTCCCATCCTCATAGTGCCAAAGTACTTTTGCATAGAGGGTCTCGGAAGGGACAGCCAAGTTGGCACGAAGTTCGGGATCTGTCATGCACAGGAGGTTGATGCATATAAATGGCATTTTCATTCTCAATGGTTGACAGTCTGACTGCCAGTTGTGATGCCGCTCATGCCCTTCAAATACAGGAGAGTGGGAGTTGTCTATTAGCATAGCGTCTGATGGACGAAAAGCTTGAAAATGCAGAGGCGGTTATTGACAACGCAGAAGAGGAAGGGCCGGACAAAAGCAAGACGAAGAAGCCGAAAATGGCGGCTAAAGGAAAAGGGAAGCCAGACGCACCACTGCAGGTCGAAACCGGGGCCGACAACATCTCAACCAAACCGCAGAAGAGCTCGGCGGAGCTTATGCATTCCTAAAGTGGCTGGGTCTGGAAACTTTTCCTGGGGCCTCGCCGATGACTATGTTCTTGACTGAAGTGACAAGAAGAGCTTGCGCATGCAGTGTGGCATTACAAGTTCTTAGACTTCGCGCAGATGCGTAGTGCCAGTGAGCATAATCAACAGCGTTTTCGCATGACAAGCAGCGCTACAGAAGATAATGTGCTACAAATGCAATCCGGATTTTACAGTTTTGCAAGACAAGGGCGAGCACACATGTCTGTACTTTTCCAGAACCAGCCACGCTTAGAATGAATAAAGCTGGTGCGGGAAAAACTGCAGCATGAGATTGAGTACTTTTCGCAACAGGAAGTCAACAAGGAAGTACCGGTCACGAAAATCGTCCTGGATGACCTCATTGTCCAACAAAACGACGACAAGAAAAAACAACCTGGACACCGGCCGTCTTCAAAAAAGAGACCACAGGCGGGGAAGAATATCAAGAAGAACGCGAAGGAGATGATCCCCGCTGCCGGCGCGAAGAAAAACGAAAAGCTCCTTCCAGACTCCGATGAGGAAGAGCCGGAACAGAAGCGGCGAAGGGTGATCGGTACAGGGAAGAGAGGAGCAGGCGCAGGGAAGATAAAGAAGGGAGGAGCTGCAGGCACAGGGAAGATAGAGAAGCAGGTGATCGGTACAGGGAAGATGAAGAAGAGAGGAGCTGGTACCTTCATACAACAGTTAGCGACAACTACTTCGAGTTCTTGTGCACTTTTTCAGTTTTTTTAGGTGTAGATCTAGATACAAACATAACACTTTTTTATGTCTTGAACGAAATACGACATAATCACCCTATGAAAAAACAGCAGTGGGCATTGTCGGTGAACAGAAACTCGCAACCGAGTATGGCCTTGTCAGCTGTTGCGCTCTCAGGAATTACAGTGTGAATGCCAAACGCTAGCTTCGATGTTTTTCTTTCCGACCCGATTGAATACCAGTACCTTCAGCTTCAGCGCAAACCAGAATGACACAATTTTTGTCATTCAAAGTTGGCCCGTGGAGAAGGAAGGCTTGGTTTTCTTAGCGGCTCGATTATTGGTTGAGAACGTGTAAGAATGCAGTGTAATACTCGAGAGCGTAACAGCTGGCAATCCCATACGGAATATGAGTTTGAGAAGGAGCAGAATTTATCTCCGAAAACCAGCTAGTTGCGACAGGTGCTTACTTTGATTCTGATGTATGGTTTTTCATGTTCGTACGAACTATCAAATTCATGATATGTCTGGTTGTAGAAACCTGTGATTATGTTGAAATGCGGATGAGTCAAACACTTATACTTGCAGTTGTGCATGGGCATGACAAATTATATACAATGCTCTCACTCTCTGAAGCCAAATGCGCATGACAAATTTCGTTTTTGATGTGATGCAGTCGGGTATGCCTGACAAATTTCGTTTTTGCATGACAAATGCAGCAACGCTTTTGCTGGTCATGCAACACAGATTCTATCGGAATGCAAGAGAAGTAGCTTAGATTGTACTTGCCCAGACCCAGACATGATATTCGCGCAGACATCTTAGTCCGCGAAAGTTGTTGGGCTCGTGGGTTTCTAGAAGCAGCATCCATCCACCCCATTTTGAGCACATGTCAAGCAACTAGTCGCTTTGTTTGCATATTCTCTCTTGGCCATCAAGGTGGCGAAGCAGTACTCTCAACCCGATATCGGCGACCAAGCTGGAACCGCGGGACCCCAGAAGCAGCTGTCGGCGGCTGAGATGCAGATTTTACTGCAGAACGCGTCCAAGAACGACTTCGACAAGGAACTGATGTACGCCCCCCGCGACGACCCGGTCGAAGGACCCTTCTACATCATCCATTCCAGTTCCGCGGCCGACGCCGACGACAACAAGGCGGACGCGGAGGACGTCGAAGACGAAATTGCTTGCTTTCCCGAGGGGCTTGCTCAGCGCCAGGCCAATAAGCTCAACGAAATGCACAGCAACAGGCTCGACCTCTTCAAGAAGCTCGTGCAGAATGTCGGCTGGGACAAAGACACCGCGAACATCTTCCCGCCGGGCACGACAGTGGCGGCGTCTGGGCAGCTCAACGAAGGCCTGCGGCTGCTTGTGTACAAGGAGTTGGAGAAGATGAAGGAAGACATCGACAAGACGCATGCTGAGTACGCCGTTGCGAAAAACGACAAGGGTGATGTGCTCCGCGTTGTGAACGCGTTGGATTTCGTCGACAAGAAGAGCGTCGTGCTGGAGTCGTTTGCGATGTGGCTACCCCATGGAAAAACAATGCCCCCGCTCTGTGTAGGTAGTGAGCTTGGGGACTCTGCAAAACAGATGACGCAGAAGCTTTTCAAGCTCCTGCTTTTCTTGGCGATAAATTTGTTGCTGTATTGTAAGGAAGTGCAAGTTACTTGTATTTAGCGTTTAGCTTTATTAGGTTTCGCAATGGCACCGACCAGTTACATCCAAAGCGTTGGACGCGGGTTCCATGGAGCACCTTTTGGTATTTCAGATTCTGTAAACAGGATAGTAAGGACCCTACAATCCTGTTTGCAGCACCACTAGTGCTGGGGATATGCATTTGTAGATGTACTTGCAGATGGAGATGCAAATCTGGGGTGGGGGCGTTTTTGCTCAGGATATTGGCAGGCGCAGTGTCTTGTCCAGCTCTTCAAGCAGGACGAGGTTGCGAAGAAAGCCGGCGGTGATCAGGCGACCAAGTTCATGAACGACGTCGCGCAACTCGAGCAAGTAGTCCAGGAAATGACCCGCAATTTCGAGAAGCCGCAGGAGAAGATGCAGCAGTTGCAGCTGTTGCGGGATGAGGTGACCGCCGGGATCCAGACGTTCCTCTGCAACGACCCGAAGATGGTTACCACCATCGCCGAGCGGCGGCCGTTATTGCACCACTCCCCCCATGTATGAATTGCAAATGTGTCTGGATCTGGAAGAGTGCAGCTTGTGACGCTACATTGGGATTCTAGATAATAAAATCAGTATTGCGGTAGCAGCAAAAGGAGTGGTCGAATTTCGGCTACTCGGACAGGGCACTTGTCGTGCAGGATAGGCATCAAGGATCCCTCAGAAAATCTGTGATGCTACGACAGACATCATGGCTCATGCGAAACGTGCATGACTACAGACTTGCACTCTTCCAGACCCAGACATATTTGCAATTGATGCGCCGTGATCGTCGCCAATTTGGTCACGCCGCATTCCGGGGATGTGATGTCGGGAAAAAAAACGAGTATCAAAGGCGGAAGCATGCCCCAACCATATGCGGAAGCATTTTTTACCTCTGTCGTGTATTCGCATGACAAGCAAAAAAGATTTTTCTTCGCATGAGCAATCCGTTCCAAATATGGTAAGGAGATGTTTTTCTGAAGGATAGCGTCGGAGTTTCGCAAAACTCTGGGCGAGCTATGTTGTGGGCAAGCGATTTTTTTTTCCAGTGAGTTAAAAACTTTGAATTCCTATCAAAAAAGGTGTGCTTTTGCTGCACAAAATGCGTGCGCGTCACAACCTATTTAGTTATGAGCTCACGCATTACTGCAGTAACTAGGGCTAAAGCAAACTTGCTAGACAAATAGGTAATTTAAAGGCAGGACGAATCCACGACGCAGCTTGCCTTTAAGCGATCTAGTAGGTGCTGTCTAGCTACTTTGTGACATGCATACAGAACAGTACAGGTACACCATTATAGTTTCGAAACGCATTACAAAACAGCATGACTATGTTGAGGCGTTTTCACCATCTAGTAAAACTTTTAATTCACCTGGAAAGAAAACTGCTTTCCTACACCATACGAGCTAGCGAAGGACTTTCCCTCCGAAGGCGACCCGAGTGTTCCAGATTTAACGCTGCTCCAGCGGTTGCCGCTCTTGTTCCGGGGCAACAAGTATCCATTGCAAACGTGTCCGGGCCTGGAATGGTGCAGGTTTGAACTTGTGATGCGAGTTGTAGACCAGACAAAATCTTGCCATGCAACAAAGCGCATTTTGTGATTTCTTCCATGCCGGAGCTTCTGGGTCATGCGAGAAAGCATGACTAAGTCCGCAAATTTCCAGACCCGGACATATTTGCAATGCTGCATAAGAGATCCGTTATTGCTGTCGCGGCCATCAAGCAGGTAAAGATTCTGAAGACCGCATCCGAGTGCGAGGAAGCGGCGCGCTCGGGGTACTCCGATCCCGACTATGGAAGCAAGACGGTGCTCCAGTTATCCACGACAAAAGCACGTGTAAGTCCGCACCATATTCTTAAACCAAACACCAGGCAACTGATGCACTACCAGCGAAAAAAAAATCCTTATCATGATTGTTTTCTGATTTCTGAATAAGAATATGATGCCATCTACATGCAGCTTTTCTTTTGGATAGAAGTATCTTGGTGCGAAGGACTACCAGTCGGCGATGAAGAAACCGATCTACGCGATCGAATTCGAAAACACGGTAGTGCTCCGAAAACCGGTCCCGATGATATGCATTTGTAAAAGCATCGCTCTCGTGGCAATTGGAATCCTTGAGTGGCAGACGCGCACAGCTTACGCTGCTTGTGCGTGTTCTCATTGTCGCTCGTATTCGTTTCTGCATGAGAATATGGCTTGGCTTTTGATTCGGAGCAACAACAAACATGAATAGCAATTGCTGCGGTTTCGATGCCTTTTTGTTGCATAGATGGAACGTACCGGGAACGCGTTCCAAAACGTGCTGTGTGTGAAGCACCGTCCCGGTTGGGCCGAAGCCGCGATCGAGGAGGCGACCCGTGTGGCGTGGTCCGATGGGAAGGACGCCGAAGAAGATGCGAAATTGTCCGAGGAAGATGCGAGTGATGGTGATGAAGATCAAGACGCGAGATTGTCCGACGGAAATGAGCATGAACACGAATCCGACGAAGAAGAGTTTTGGGATGATGGTGTTGTCCCGATGGAGATCTGCTGAGTCGTGACGCAGTTGCTCTTGTAGTTTTGTGTTGTGTTCTTAATATCGGTTATTTTTCAATCACTGTAGAAACTTCGTTTAGTCCTGGTATAAGTGGCTCTCGACACGATAGAGAAATAGACAAATAACAGTGGCGGTCATTTATTGTCCCGCCCCGCGACCACTCGTGCTAGGTACTAGTACCAGTACTTTCTTCGAAGACAGAGATATCCACAGAGATGGCGCAACTTCAATTTGAAGACGGACACGAGAATGCAACTGTTTCTAGAATTCAACTAAAAATCTTTTATTTCTTTATTTATTTCTTTACGATAGAAGACGAAAGAGATATTGTCAGAAAAACCGACCGCAGTACGACGTATGCCACCTTCTACCGTTTTGCTGATATAAGGAGAAGAATTGCTGTGCGACTTTTGTTTTGATTGAGGTGGTGAAACCGCGCATAGTCGCCTTTTCTGTACCCTCACTCGAAGTCATATGGTCTTTTTGCACAAGCAACTTCCTATCCATCCCGAGCCAACGGTCTTTTTTGCACAAGCAACTTCCTGTTCCTACCCATATTGAGCCAAATAACTGAAGAGAATCGAATGTGGACAGTTGAACAGAAATTATCAAGTATAATTTTGAGGACGAATTTTGAATACCGGAAGATATAAGATGCGACATTCTCGCAGCAAGTCCACGGAGCAAGTTTCTTTTTAGGTTTGCTCGAAAAGTAGAGGATTAGGCACCCAGCACAGGCAAATTCACTAAAAGCTCAAATTCCGTATCAAAAGTTTTGTGTCGCAATAGATGATGTAGTTTTCATTTTGTATTTGATTGTAGGCAGAGAAGGAGAAAAAAGACAACTTTTTATAATACTACTTATGAAAAAAAAACTGAAACTACAACAGAACGGAAGCGAACCGATTGCGCAATCCATTTCTTCGAAATTTCTTGCTACGTTACAAAATAACTTAGACTCACCAGTTTCAATGTTGTGGAAATTCTCAACAAAAGCAAAGCGCCAACTTGTGGTCCACACCTTCGCAGACTTTGTCGATCATGAAATACCACTAGAGAAGCAAGAAGTGTCAACTCCTGTTGCAGAAATGCTGCATTGTTGGATGTCGATGTTGTTGTGAGAAAAATAGTGCGTATACCAAGACGGTAAGGTCGCCTCTACTAGAATTTAGTATGCGTGGTTAAGAATTAGCTCATGAATAGCTCCAGCTGCACTCTTAAAGTTCTGGAGCGCCGCCCTGCAGCCGAGCCGAGCCGTAAAGTTCTGATCTGATACTATCTTCAACCTTGATTGTGTGGGCCAGCTTTTGCTGCTTTACACTGCCGTTCGTTTTATCAACTAGTATAGCGTTGTCATTTCAACCGATACAAGAACTACAAGAATCCAGAGACTTTTCGATCCAAGAAGTACAAGAAAACGGAAAGCGAAAGTTTTCTAGAGTGGCTGAACTTAACTATAACTTCCATCAGAAAAAATAAAAATCCGATAAAAATCAAAAAAATCGTATGAAAAACCGTGGTGGGACGAACGAGTCCAGAAATGCTGTATGTCTTTCAATACATGGGCTTTTTGGCGGAAGAGGAGATGACTTTAAGAATGTGGTAGAGGACTTGAAAAGCGAAGAATTTGAAATCGAGAAAGGGCAAGAGCAGCACTACAGATCAAGGAATATGATCGGAACGGCAACAAAGTGCCTGCGACTGCGTGCATTGCGCATGACAAGTTTGACGCTTATTTTCAACTTTTTTCACTTCTGAAGCTCAGGGACAGGACAGGAAAGGAGCAGCCCCACATAGAGGCATCGCACTGCGGCTGCGCAGTTTTTCTGTTTTTCGCATTACAGATTCGATGTTCTCCGTCGTCGTTGTACTTATGTGAGTGCCAAGGTCTTGCCCATTTTTTCTTAGATTGTGAAAGCGAGAATCTACAACGTCAAGTGTTCAAGAATACGCTAAGGCCCAACGGTATTGGTCGAGCGGTCGTTCGCTCGTTCGTTTATTCAGGGACGCCGCGTGGTCTGCGTTGTTTTCATGTAGTATCTTCTGCGGGCGCACGACTTTCCTGCTGCGTTGTTGATGAAGAGAATATACAGCTCCTGCTCGGACGTCATCAGTTTTTTTTTCTTTTTCGTGCCGCTCCGGTCCCGCTTGACACTTGCTTCTATCCACGGAAGATCATAAGTAGTTTCTGGCGTCTGTACAACTGGGTGTTTTTTTCGGCGATAGCTGCAAATCGTCCATCAGGCTCTCGAGGCTTTGGGGGCGAAGAGCGCCCGGAAAAAAAAACCATCCATGGGCAGCATACAAATGCTGCGTTGAGACCCCCGCTCGTTCTCGTTGTCCCTCCACGACCAGGTTGTCCGCGTCGCGGCTCGCTCAGGCAAACGAAAAATCTCTATCATCAGACTTCACCCGTGCCGACGACAGGCACAAGTCCTTTCGCATCTCTCCGTCACAAATTTAGATTTCCGCAAACCACGAGTTTTCGATTGAAATCACACGGAGTGCTGCTACCAAGAAACGGAAATGAACGACGGCAACATCTTTGTTCGAGAAGATGCAGACGGAAGGTGTCAAGTCCGGAAATCGTGGACGTCCGGCACGTACGGTCGCGATGAGCATTACAAAATCGTGAAAACGTGATCGGCACATGAAAAGTCTCTTCGCAACATGTTGAGCCCCTTCCTGCAGTGTGGCCATTCCATTTTCGTTCCCTGATGATCAATCAGAAGAAAATCGCGAATTTAAATAAGAAGTCTTTATTTCGCGAAAAGCGTCATGTCTCCGATTTCAAACTCGTGTCGTCTGCTGGAACTGAGCACTGCAGTGAACAATTTGAAGCCATTTTTGTGTCTTGCATTCGTTTTTCAATCTCATAGTCGGGGCCGAGTCTTCCTTCTCATCGACGCTGGAACGCACGTCGACACGCCAGGAACCAAAATTGCAATTGCGCGAATGGATGATGATGACGACGAAGGCTTACAATTCGAACTCGTAGACAGCAGCGTCATTCGGCGATCCACGTGCCTTGGGAGCCAAGTTGATGCTGAAGTTGTTCCTGCGGAGTCTGCTTTGGCGACAATGTCGAAGTATGACAGGCGGAGCCAGGTATTTCATTGAAATTTTGGAACGGCTTTGAGACTTGCTTTTTCGTTGATTATCTCAGCGAAAACGAAAGCGCTTGTCCAAACAGAATTTTTTTCTATTTGGACAAACTTATTTTCTTGAAGAGAATTTGCACTGTATGAATGTAGTCAAGCCAATATGTACAGGTGGGGCTTGCATAGAAATCACAGCAAAGTGGAGATAACGACTTCAATTTGCCAGCAAAAATACAGTCTCAGTCGTCCAGATCTTTTCAATCGATACACCACAAAAGCGCTCAAAAGTACCGCGACGCTCAAGCCAAGTAAGACCGAGTTAGCCGCTGGGGTCGCATATCGATCGCGCTCATCATTCGGGTCTGGAAAATTGCAAATTCTGTATAGCTATCGATGCTGCCAGAAAGTAAATGCAGACAACAAAACTGTATGATGCAAAATTACAATTACGGGCAGCATTCCCTCCAGTTGTGCCAGTTGTATGTTGATGAGTCCAGTTTTTCAACAACACTCGCATCACGAATGGCAATGGAAATGGCATAATCATGGACTTTACGATTTTGCATATGTGAATTATTGATATTGTGAGACTTCTTGCAGCCGAAGCCGTGATGGAAATCGTCCAAAAGGCCGGGCAAATTTCTGACGACTCGGAACTATTTGCACTGGATGTCACGGTGACGCTAGACAAATCGGGCTCGTCACCAACAGCTACCCTCTTTCCGAACTGTGCGAACCCGAAGTGCAACGAGAATTTGATGAGCGACCTCAAACACTACCGCGTCGCACCAAACGCAGCTATCTTCTGCCAGAACTGCTGGGACGGAGGCTTCAAACACCACGACAAGTATCGCGACGTCCCCGTTCCACCCGCGCATTCCTTCCTAGAGAACTTCATGCAAGAGGAGAGACGCTTGAAGGCGGAAAAAACCGAGGACGAGCAGGACGCAGCACCGCGCGTCGGTGGCCGCTTTCCGAAGCGCTGGGGTGCGATGTCGAAGCTCCACGAGGAACAGGACGGCTATCTCCTTTTCCGACTGCAAGAAAGCGAGAAATTTCACCTGGGTCGCGAACTAAAAGTGGAGCCCTTGCTGCGCGTCGATCCGGTCAAGGGGACGTTCGCGTTCTGCGCTCGAAAATACAAAATGAACGGGACAGGTGGTGACAAGGAATGGGAGGCAGAGCGGGACTTTTTCGCACGGGAGGTAGAAAATAACCAAACAAGCCACTCTGCTCTGATCGGCGTAATCGCGTCTAACGAGACCATCGACGGCATTCCGAGCATCCTCACCACCGCGGTCATCTCCGCAACACAGGGACTACCGGCAGGCTGCAGTTTTCAAAAGGCGCTGGGTTTCTTCTTGTCTGGGTTCAACGGGTTGCAGTGGCTACACCAGAAGGGCTACGTTCACCGTGATCTGAAGCCAGCAAATATGGGGATCGACGCAAAGAACTACCCTACCGATTTGGTGTGCAAACTAATGGACTTCGGCCACGCAGCAAAATACACTGACGGCGGCGATTTCTGCTGGACCTCGCTCGCAGACGCGCCATCAGTCTCCCCAGAGCAGACGCAGAAGTGGATGGCCGACATTCTGAACTTGCAGCTTGGTCCAAATCCGCACCCAACTTCGGTTTTTCCTTTTTACGCGCTGGTCCAAGAGTTGGTGAAGGAACAAATTTCGACACCACAGCGAAGGGACTACTGGGGTCTGGGGGTGTCCTATTTCACGATCGCGGTGTTCCACTTCGCCAGACACTTGAAGGTCATTCAGGACATCGAGAAGTTGCTTCAGAACGACCACCCATTCAAGGGCTTCGGGGTGGAGTACGCTTTGCCGTACTGGGAACGACACGGAGATAAATTCCGACTCCCCGATCCAGTAGAGCTCGTCGACCCCACGACCAATACAAAACAAGAAACGAATAACCCTCCACCCGAAGATGTTGAAGGCGCCCTAGGAATCGAGTATCCTGTGCAAAAGTATCGCACTCGTACTAATTGCGTTTTTTATGCATTACAAATCTGGTCCCTAAGGCAAATCCGCATTACAAATTAAATTTGTAATGCTGAGCAAATTTGCAATGCAATTCATACTAGTACTATGATACTTTTGCAGTTCATATCGAGAACGGAGACGCAAATGCAGTGATCGCAAAGGAGGACGAGGATGACATGCTGGGAAATTTCAAGTCCGGCAGCGACAGCAGCTTAGGTCCGCAAAAAAGTATGAAGAAGGTCCAGCGCGCCGCAGTGGCCCAGAAAATCCCAACTCATGGTGGTGCCAGTGACAAAAGCAGCGCCCCTGCGTCGTCTCCCGACACCACGTCCAGTTCCGGGTTTCCTGCAAGCTCGTCCAACAGCACCGGAACCGGGGCCGGGTCATCCTCAACCACAACTGCCGGCGGGCACAAGGCAGAACTACTGTCAGCGGCACCAGCAGGGAATCCAGGAAGCTTTTTCGATGATAAGGATACGCAATGCAAAAGTGTCGTACTACTACAAATAGCATCACAAATTTCATCGTCAAGAAATAAGAAGTGGAGATTGTCATTCTGTTTCAGGTTTGAAAAGACAAAGAGATCTTTGATGCTGCATGACTACAATGAAAATTTATACGAGTCGTCCGTGCGACGCTTTTGCAATGCGGGCATAAAGGATATCCAGTGCAGATACGTCTGGGTCTGGAATATAGCAAAAATTGATGTCGTGCATGTTCTGCATGATCCAGGATTTCTGTGGTGTATGCCCCAGCATCACGACAGATTTTGTGATAACTTCCCGATGCCTATACTGTATGAGACGTGCAAGTGCTCCCTTCGCGTATCAGAAACTGGACTACTATTGCTGGTAACGCAATACAGATTCTTGTAGACCCCATTTTGCATTCCATGCACCTGGAGGGCACAAGCCTCATACCATACCATCCAAAGTCAGCATCACAAGTCCCACCTTTCCAGACCCAGACAACATACTTGCAATGGATAAAGGATAAGCAGGAACAATTCGGCGGGGCGAAGAAGTCTGCCGCATCGAAGAAAACGCTAGGTCGACAACCTAAAATACTACCTGCGGGTAACGCTGATCAGGACAAGCAGCCCGACTATGCAACCTACCCATTGCAATACCCATCTGCAGGCGGAATAAACATCGGGCAGCCAGAAGCAAAAGTGCGGCCCAGCAGAAGTGAAGGATTGCTTCTTGCCGCTCGAAGTGGTACTGTAGTGTGATAAGTGTCTATCTGCTTCTATTCCTGTGTTCGTATCCACCTTTGCTTGGAGTTACGGCACCTGTGCCCAAGTTGTCTTCAGTCGTATTGTTGGTGAAAAACAAAAAGTAGATGAATTCGAAATATTTATGAAAACCTTCATTTGAGGTCGAGCGGGCAAAAAACCGGCCGTGGACCTCGGTCTGGATGCGTTAGACCACCTGAATGACCTCGGCGAAGACACCAATACCCAATCACAGAATCCGGGCCCGAGTGGGAAAGGAAAGAAGCGCAATGCGGCAGCGGCTAAGCAGTGGAAATAAGCGTGGGTCGTCAAACATTTTTCTTGCAGCAGCTCGTTATAGTTAATATCATAAGTAGCCAAGATCGTTTGCGGATTCGTAGACGAATCCGCAAATAAAGTGGGCGATCGAGGACACTTTTTCCCTCTTACAAAGCTAGTTAGCTTGGTGATCAAATCCAAGCAGGGTATGAAAAATCAATATCATCCTTGTCATGCATTTTGTAGTTTAAGAGCAAAACTAGTGCGTTTTTATATAGCTCATACCTAGATTTTTAGACAGCTTTGAAATATATATACTTTTGTGCGCGATCGACCTTGTTTGCAACCAGTAGCACTAGCCGTAGCCGAAAAGCAGGAACATTGTTGCAATCCTTTCGACGACCCACACGTATTTGCAGCCGTTCATATCCGAGTCGCAGGTCTCCTCGAAGCCGAAGGCGTTCATCCTGAAAGCAAGGAAGTCCAACGATATGGGCCGCTCAGCTGTTCTTGCAATCTCGTATATCACTTACAGCACCAGGAACAAGTAACTTTTTGCTTTCATGTACACAAAATTAGCCACCAAGGCGATGGCAGTCGAAACGTTTTTCCAACGCATTTGGAGTCGAAAGCAGGTCATGATTTTAGATGAGGCGACGTCTCGGCTCAATATCGTTGCCCCAATTCGATGAAGCTGTACTACCTGCAAATTTTCATTGCCCCCACGTTGGGTCCATAAGGAGCACATCGCTGTCACAATTCTGCTTTGTTAATGGTCAGCATTGACGTCGTGTGAGATTGAAACGCCTGAGCGGTCCATAATTCACGGGTCCGCCTCCTCTACATCTGAATCTGCCGCGAGCCCCGACTTACTATCCTGTGCAAAATTTTCGCATTGGTACTAACACCAGTCACATCTTTTGCATAGAAGGAGAATCAGCAACACACAATCAAGTTGGGAAAATGTGTATAGGTCAATGACTACGTACAGATGTGATGTTTTTGCAATGCATACTTGCTCGACGACAGCAACCGCGATTCTGATTCGCTTTTCTTCGGTTCCAGCTCTGCTTATCAAGTGCACGCATGTCAAGGTCCTTGTCAGGGAAAGGCACAAGTGGTATTGCGCTAGCGTGCCCACTTGAATGTAATATATCGATCGAAAACAATCTATGCAGTGTGTAAGCACGAAAAACAAAAGAAGCACGTGCGTCATCAATAATATAGATACGAATTACGCTAAAGTAGCTGCGCCACTGGTGCAACCTGCCGGCCACGGCGCACAATTGAGGGCTGTCTACTGTGAAGAATCATTCAGGACAGACCTTGCAGAGGCCTCTGCGGTGCCTTCTAGTCATTCTAGGCACGGCTTCCGCATGGAGGTTCCCGAACGGTTGTTGCGGTGGGTGTACAGGTCTGCTCGAGCCCAAGATTGGTCTATGGTCAGAGACCTTTCTTCATGTTGATCGCGGCGAAGCACACATTGCGCTCCTGCCATTCCGGCTCGCTGTCCAATCACTTGGAAAAGGACCATGAGCAGCAACCTTGCTTCTTCATCGACTGAAAGCGCGGCTGCACTTTCCCTGATTCGAATCTGTAAGTGTGCAATGCATATTCTTCTGGCCAATTCCGGGAGCTCGAACTCCAAGGTGGACCCGAAATTGAAACATGCCGACAAGCCGTCTGCGGCACAGAATCCGCAGGTGCTACTTGGTGCACCCCCAAGGAGTGCGGCGTCTTCGTCGTCCACGAGCGTCTCCGGGAAGAAACCCCAACTACTCTCTGGCCCAGTCTCGGGAAGTGCTTCCTCTTCTTCTTCTGCCGACGTATCCCGACCTCCAAATACGGGCGGTACGAGCAAGATAATGGATACGGGCGATCAGGGCAGTAAAGCCGAAGAACGGGAAGACTCAGGTATGCCTCTTGATCAAAATGCCCGCACTCAGCAGCAATCAGCGCCATTTGCATGCAATGTTGTCCTCGTTGGAGATCGGGATGAGAGAGAACATTACAAAAGAAAGTCGAGGTAGGCGAAAGCTCGCTGTCATGCATTTGTCCCTCGACTCTCTTTCACGCTGTGAAGCTCTACTTACACTAGATGCAGTTATGGACCTATCTGTAGATGCTCATGTTGTGGCAACGATTATATTTATACACTGAGTGCGATTTTTGATCCTGCATACCGAAGGAACGGAAGAGGAAAAAACAAGAGGCGAAAGCGGAAAGTTATCACTCTGGCAAAGCGCCTCCACCACGATTCGGAAAAAATTGGCATGCAAACTTTTTACAGTCTTGCATAATTCATGTCTCTGCATCAAATGAGGAAATGCACTGCGCTGGCATGGGGCGATGCCGTATTGCAAGCCTGGCATGAATATCAAATGTAAAAGTGTCTGGGTCTGGGAGAATGGAACTTGTCATGCTAAATCCGAATAATGCAAAAATCTGTGTTGCATGAGTGCCAAAAGCTGTCCACTTTCGACCAAGTTGGGAGGGAGTTTCTCATGCGGGATAGGCATGGCAGAGACCTCACAGACTCTGTCATGCTAGGTCCTGCATTCTAGGCCTCATGGGTCATGGAAAATCTGCATGACAAATCTCGCAATCTTCCAGACCCAGACACTTTTGCGCTTGATAATGAAGGGTCCCGCGCCGTGCACCAAATGACACGGCGCTCTTGATCATTACCATGCAGCCGGGCTGTGCAAGCCACCCACATTCCAGGAAGCGGGCAGGCATTCCTGCTTTGTATTTTATTGCTTCGGGCAAAGTAAAATTTTCTTTCTCGTTTTGAGCCAATTATCGCGAAGGGGCGGTGCGCGCCTTGTTCTAGTTGATAAAGCGGAGAAGCTAGTCCAGCAGGAGAGTAAATATCACCTTGACGAAAGCGGCTGAACCCAGGACATGCATTACCATTGCTGGCATTCTCTCTGAGGGCGGCTTAAATCTGGTTGGGGATGATAGTGATACTCGCCATTGCGCTGCAGTGGTCAGTTAATCGGACATCTCGTGTTCTTGTTCCCTGTCATGCCTCACAGCCATCGCCCGGGCTCTATGAAGATCATGATTCCTCGCTTGTATTTTTTGGTCATGACGGGAAACCACCTAGGAAGCTGTTCATGAGAGCTAGCAGCTGCTTTCGAATTGATACAAAGAAGATCGAGGAAACGCGTGCCAACATCCTAGCGCAGCACGGGCTTCTTTTACGAGTTTTTTCGGGCCACGCGAAAGACCTGGACAAGCGGAAAAAGCTTCCGAACCACGTCGCAAATTACCTGCTCTTCATCCTCGAGCAGCTCCAGTCCGAGCACGACCGACTGGGCAACGCCCGTGCGCAGGAAAACGCAGCTTTCCAGGAATTTCCACGCGCGGTCGTCAATGGAGACAAGGACGACAAAGACGCGGAGGATGTATGCATTGCAAATGTTTCGCACTTGCACTAGAAGCGCAGCGGGTTGTAGGCGGAAAGATGAAGCTTGTAGCTTTTAGCACTCAAAAGTAGAAAGATTTGAGGCAAAATGTGCTGCAGGAGGTTCTATACAAGAAGTGCGACACATTTGCAAAGGATAGGGCGTTATCCAATGCAAAATCGCTACAATCCTGACGGGGGTCAGTGCGTGATACGGAAGTGCGGAAATTCTTGCTGCCAGGGTGGAAAGGTTACGCATGTTATATATGTGCTATGCTATTTTTACTAGCCCCTTAGACGCCGGCGTCCAGGACGCTGGCAGGGGCTAGTAGTTCTCGCTTTAACTTCAAGCGCGCCGCCATGACTCTCTTCGGCGCAGCCAGCGTGCCGGCGCGCATGTCGCCGGCACGGAGTCCTCGTGGCGCGGACTCCTCTATTTTTTCGCGCGCCCAAAAGCAGCCAATAGGCCAGATCCCCACCCGCGCGCCCACGTCAGTAGCTAGAACGGGGCCCGCGGTGGCTTTCGTTTTCTTCTTTGAAGGCCCGCAGTCGGGCGCCCGCCTGGGGGGAAGAGCCTCGCACCCTCGCGGCGGCCTTTCGAAACTGATAGGGCCAAGCGGGTGCGTGAGTCAGCGGGGAAAGAAGATGCAGCAGAACGCCTGCCACCATTACTCGCGGCCAGCATTCTGCACGGGCATGCAAGAGCGTGATGGCCAACAGCGAAGGCCGCGACCGAGCTCTTGGGCGCCACGCTTTGACTCGGGTAAAGCGCTGGCGGCCACAGGTCTTGCCCAGCACACCCCTGGGCGGCCATCGATCCCAATGGCCATTCATATTAGGCACCCACTGTATTTTCTTCTGCTCGCGAAAAATGATGGTCGCCAGCTCTTGGCCATCACGCTTTCGCCCGTCCGTGCAAAGTGGTGGCCACGGGTAGTAGCAAGAGCCTCTAGCCATATACCCTTGACCACCACTTTGCCCGCGCGAAAAAGTCACAGCGAAAAGTGCCGACCGAAGACTATTGAAAGAATGACCGCCACGCCTCAGGCCGGGCAAAGAAAGTGGTGGCCGTGAGCGCCTGGCCATCACACTCTCTTCGTTCGCAAAGATTGATGGTCGGCAGCTCTTTAGAGCCGAAGGCGCCCCGCCCCTCGCGCCTGGCCGCAACCCTCGCGCGCACCTCGCGCCTACCAGCAACCTGGCCTGCCATTACCTGTGGGTGGCCATCATTTTGCCCGGGTGAAAGCGTGGCGGCGCACTTTTTTCGCTCGCCAAATGTGATGGTCGCTAGCTTCGGGGGGCAGCCATATTTACACAACGAGGGAACACGGGTGCGGCCCGCGTTGTTTTCTCAAGCAAGCTAGCTCTTTCAGGGAGCCTCTTGAGGGAGTTGCTCGCTGTCTTCAGGCGCCCTCTCAAGAGGTGCCGCCTAAGCAATTTTCTCTTTAGGATCCATTTTCTAAGGGGCCGGGGCGCCCTATAGATTATAAGCTACTAGCCTCTTGACGCGGGCGTCCCGGACGCCCGCTGGGCTAGTAGATTTGCAGATAATTCTAAAGATGGGAATGTGTTCAGAAGGTCTGGCTTGGAGTCGAATAGAATGTGGCTAGAAGGTTGAAAAGTATAACGCTGCCTGCCGCGAGGAAGATCGTTGCCGCGCCTGCGCCTCTCCTAGCGGCCTCGCAGCTTTAACGCCTTTTGCGGTCCGGCGGACGGTCCGGCGTCCAGGACGCCGGCCCGCCGTCAGCCCTTTAGCTGCGTTGCCGCGCCTGCCTGCGCTTGCCCTAGCGGCCTCGCCGCTTTAACGCCTTTTGCGGTCCGGCGTCCAGGACACCGGCGCGCCGTCCGCCCTTTAGCCGCGTTGCCGCGCCTGCGCTTGCCCTAGCGGCCTCGCCGCTTCGACGCCTTTTGCGGTCCGGCGTCCAGGACGCCGGCCCGCCGTCAGCCCTTTAGCTGCGTTGCCGCGCCTGCCTGCGCTTGCCCTAGCGGCCTCGCCGCTTTAACGCCTTTTGCGGTCCGGCGTCCAGGACACCGGCGCGCCGTCCGCCCTTTAGCCGCGTTGCCGCGCCTGCGCTTGCCCTAGCGGCCTCGCCGCTTTAACGCCTTTTGCGGTCCGGCGTCCAGGACACCGCCGTCAGCCCTTTAGCCGCACGCGGCAAGCAAAGCGAGGGGGCCGGTTGCGAAGCTTATTCTGATCTGGGGCGGCTTCGGCGGCCGGCGTAAAGAAAACCCCCGCCCCTGGATGGGGATGAGACTCACGCTTCCGGGGGTTTGTTTGCGCGGTTTTGCCTCGCGCCCCCCCGCCCATGCCATGCACCAGAAGCCGAGAGGCAAAAGCGTGCGCGAGAAAAGTGACTGAAGCCGGATAGGAAAAGCGTGCCCGGCAGGAACGAAAGAGGTGGCAAAAAGTGCCTGCCCGGAAGCTCTTGGCCATCACTCTTGCCCGGCTGGCCGACCGGAAAGCGATGGGCAAAAGTGATGGCCATGGAGCACTTGGCCAACACTTTTGCGCGACCCGAAAGTGGCGGCCGTGGAGCTCTTGGCCAACACTTTTGCCGGCGCGGGGCGGGGGAAAGTGACTGATGGCCGAAAATGACGGCCAGGGAGCTCTTGGCCACCACTTTTGCCCGACCGGACCGGAAGGCGGTGGGCAAAAGTGATGGCCTGGGCAAGGAGCTCTTGGCCACCACTTTTGCCCACCCGGAACGAAAGGGATGGCCAACGAGCGCAAGTCGATGGCTGGCCAAGGAGCTCTTGGCCATCATTTTTGCCCGATCGGAAATGGATGAGGAGGGAGCTCTTGGCCATCACTTTTGCACGGCGGACCGGAATGAAAGCGATGGCCAGAAGTGATGGCCGAGGATTTTTGCATGCCCGGGCGAAAAGCGGTGGCAGCGGAACTACCGGCCATCACTTTTGCCCGACAGGAAAGCGCTGGGCAAAAGTGGCGGCCAAGGAGTTGTCGCCACCGTTTTTCTCTGCCCGGCCGAAAAGTGATGGCCAGGAAGCTTCTGGCCATTACTTTTGCCCGACCGGAAAGCGATCGATGGCAAAAAGTGATGGCCGCGGAGTTCTCGGCCGCCACTCTTGCCCGACCGGAAAGCGATGGCGAAAATCGCTTTTGCTCGAACGAAAAGCGATGGCCGCGGGGCTCTTGGCCATCACCTTGGCCCGGCCGAAAGGCGATGCCCAGGCAGGGGGCTCTTCGCCATCACTTTTGCCAGCGCTTGAAAAGGGTTTTTTTTTATCGAAAAAAACCAGCGCCAAGCTATTCGAGGCCCCGCGCTGTCGTCAGGATACGCCTCGCGACAATATCCTGGCGATGGATAGCAGGGGGATTCGGACCCGAAAAAATGGCTTTCCCATTTTTCCAGTCCGAGCCCCCCTTCTGTCGTTAGCAAAGTATCCTGACGACAGCAGGGGGGTTCGGGGATGAGAATGGCTCTCACGCTTGGGCTGCAAGTTGTGAAAACCGCTCTCAGGCCCGAGCCCCCCTATTGTCGCCCGGATGCTGTCTTGAAGGCTTTCGCGACAGCATCCCGACGACAGCAGGGGGATTCGGACAGGAAATCGGTTTTCACAATTTGCCCGCCCAAAGTGATAGTCCTGGAGCTCTTGGCCATTACTTCAGCCCGAGCGACCCGCCGGGAAGCGATGGCCAGCGGGCCCTTGGCGAGGACTTTTGCCCGGGCGGAAGGCGGTGGCCAGGGAGCTCTCGGCCATCACTTTTGCCCGGCCGGGAAGTGAAGGCTCAGGAGCCCCTGGCCAACACTTTACCCGGCCCGCCGGAAAATGATGGCACCAGAGGAGCTCTTGCCCACCATTTTTGCCCGGCCGGAAAGTCAAAGTAGTGACCAAGGGCCCGACCGGAAGCGGAAAGTGATGGCCCAGGAGCTCCTGCCCTTGGCCGTCTCTTTTGCCCGGCGGGCCGGAAAGTGATGGCCAAAATCGATGGCCAGGCCGGGGCCCTTAGCCATCATTTTTGTCCGGCCGGAAAGTCATGGCCAAGGGGCTCTCGGCCATGACTTATGTCCGAGCCAGCGGAAAGTGGTGGCCGACGAGCTCTTGGCCGCCACTGTTGCCCGGCCGGAAAGTGATGGCCAAAAGTTTCAATTTTGCTCGAGCGGAGGCGATGGCCAAGGAGCCCTTCGCCGTCACTTTTGCCCCGCCCGGCTGGGCAAGGAGCTTCTGGCCATCATTCATTCACATGATTCGGCCACTCTGGCCATTCTGGTGCTGGCATTCACATGCTCGCCAGGGCGTGCAGGATAACACTTTGCACGACGGTACGGGGTACAGATAGCGGGAACGTGTTCAATCTGTTACACGAAGCCTCTAGACGAGACCGCCTGAGCACATTCGTTTAGAATTATTTTTCTAAGTGCCTCCTATAGATTAGAGCAAAGGGGGAAGCCAAGTTCGTTTCGCTATTATTATAATTATATGACCTCCTTCTGAATAGTTATTAGTGTATCTATGCACCCATGCCGATGCCTAAGGGGCCGGATATTTTTTTCCTACTTCCCCGGACGGCGATTTTGCATACCATACGACTAGCTACTGTGATTAACAGCCTGTTGTCTATCCACCCAGCCCGCCGCGGGAAGGGGGCGAAGCAAGTAGACAGCCAAAGGTCGTCGGGCCGAAAGCCCTCGGACATAGGTGACAAGGTGGATGACCGTAAAAAAGCCAGTTTCTAAATTTCAATGTTGGTGCCCGCAGCGCTGTCGCATGATGCCAGTGCCGATCTTTTACATGAAGTGGCTAAAGTGTTGCATTGTGTGCGGTCCAAAACGCACAACCGGCGTAGACACCACCGCAGAAAAATCCGACCGAGGGGCTGTGTTTTCATTTTCCAGCAGCCCCGGGCGAAGCCTTTCGAAGGCAGACAGAAGCCACGGCCAAGATGGCGCGCGCCCAATGCCTTCCTTGCTTGCCCGCCCCCCGCCCCCTTCCTCGGGTCTGGCTCGTTGGTTTCTGGCTTGGAGGTCCTCTTGTTGGCTTCCGGGCCCCTTCTTTTGTGCGATTTCCAAAACGCCAAACCGCTGGCGGGACCACCCCCACAAAGAGAAATCAAGGGGACGCAAAACCGGCGTCACCACCAACCGGCAAAAACCAAGGGGCCGCATTTTCTCGCAGCTCCGGGCGAGGCATTTGGAAGGCGGAAGAGAAGCCACGGCCAAGATGATGGGCGCCCGCTGCCTTGCTTGCCCCCCCGGCCCCCCTTCCTGCATCGGGTCTGGGTGGCTCGTTGGCGTCCGGCTGGGGGGCCCTCCGGCCGGCTTCCGGGGGCTCCGCTTCCTTTTGTGTGATTTCCAAAACGCAGAGCCGGCGTCACCACCAGCCTGCCGACGAAAGCCATCCAAGGGGCCGCATTTTCTCGCAGCTCCGGGCGAGGCATTTGGAGGGCAGAAGGGGAGCCACGGCTAAGGGCCCGCGCGCGGCCTTGCTTGCCGGCCCTGTCTCCCTTCCTCGTGTCTGTCTGGCCCGTCGGCGTAAGGTTGGGTGGTCCCCCGGCCGGCTTCCGTGGGCCCCGCTTTTGTGTGATTTCCAAAACGCAAAAACGGCGCCACCGCCACCCAGAAAAAACCAAGGGGCCGCTTTTTCTCGCAGCTCTCCAGGCGAGGCATTTGGAAGGCAGAAGGGAGAAGCCACGGCCAAGAAGATGGGCGCCGGCCCGCTGACTTCTTACTTGCCCCCCCGCCCTGCCTCCCTTCCTCGGGTCCGTCTCCCTGGCTCGTTCGTTAGCGTCCGGCTGGGCGGCCCTCCGGCTGGCTTCCGACGGCTCCGCTTTCGTGTGATTTCCAAAACGCAAAACCGGCGTCACCACCACCCAGAAAAAACCAAGGGGCCGCATTTTCTCGCAGCTCTCCAGGCGAGGCATTTGGAA